CCGGTGAGGCGATTATTAACCAGAGTTAAGGGCTGGCACAGACTTGGATTCTTCGTTCACTGTTTGTGTTTCTCTTCATCCGCGGGATGGAAAGACACTAGCCAATAGCACTACCCTCGCCGAGCAATCTGATGTCCGTTTCCCAGGCTGCACAGGCCCAGCAGGCACTGGATTGGAAGTACATGAAAAGGTTTCAATGTTGTTACCACATTCCTAATCCGCGACCACCTTTGACTCATAGGCTCAGAAGGCTCCCGATTCCCTACAAAGTGTGATCTTTGGAGTTTCCCCTTCGAGAGTTGATCATCCTCGGTGCGTAAGATGCTCAAAGCTGTCTTTGTCCTTGTCCTGGTCTCTGCTCTTGTCCTTGTCGTTGTCTTACATTTCGGCTCCGACGTTATGATCCTCTAATTTGCGGTTACGTACACTGGTCTCCGCCTTCACTGTTGGTGTTGGCGTCTTATACTCCTTAGCATGCCCTAATTGACCGTGCTCTTTCTTTCCTCGAGTTCCTGAGTCCTTTGCTGTTGTCAGCCACACCACTTGCCCGCTCAGCCTCGCTCTGGTCAACGTTTCCATCCATCAAACCATCAACCGAATCCATTATGATTTCGGTATTCGTGCTGCTCCCTTCTACGCGCATGGTGGATCTTTCCTCTTCTCCCGTATTCCCTACTTGGCATCGAGCTCCGAGGGCTCGTTGCCTGCTTTGCTGACAATAACCCCATTGTGCTTTGCAGGAACTTTGAGGGACTTCTCTCAACACCTACCTCGCTGTTCGCGCATGGTGCCGACGATGCCTCTAGTTACCCTGCGTACATTTCGATTCCCAAATCCCATCGTTGACGCCCGACGTGGCCTCGTCGAACCGGTCGGCAACGCGCCTCGGGCATCCGCAAGCCTTCTCCGTCTGCCAATCCACTTTCATTGTCACCTTGATTCCTATCCTGACCGGCGGACGGTCATCTGCATACTCCTATATCCGTCTATCCACCTTTATCGACATGCATTCATTTCCTATGGTCAAACTTGCGACCTTGACACATCGAAAACGCCATTCCAATCACTACGACTGACCGTTGACGCCTCCTTCCTCAGCCAACATCGCCTCGCTACGCATTAATTCGCGATAATTAAGCCGACATACGTCAGGCGGACCCCAAGTTTGGCTTCTACAAACATGTGACGAAGTACTTCACACGTCACACGACCTCTTCCGTATCAACCGATCGTACTTGGCGTCCTTGAACGTCCTTGATGTGGTTCCTTCCGCCTTCTGATCGCTTACGATTCTACTCTGCATTTACCGTACGACCAGCTACACATCAGGACCATCGCGATCAGCCCTCGGGAATGTAACTGGTCAAGCACGATGAGGCACTTGACTCGGATCTAGTGGTCAATAGACTAGGGGCCTCCTCTATGGGAATCTCCCTTCTCATGGGCTGCAAGCGTAACCTGCCTGCGTATCCCTCAACAGAGCAAGCATGTTGCTTGTCGCGTTGCTCCAATCAGTCAATCCCTAGCGAGGAGCTGCCCAACAGAGACCGATAACCAGGGTCTGCAAAACTACACACTTGGTCAGAAGTACGGGTACGCGGAGCCCAATCGAACCACGCCAGGGCTACGGGTGTTCCTCCTGCCTTCCCTCCAATGGACAAGGTGATGTCAAGCGCTGACAAGGAAAGGAAGGTGCGGAATAGGACACTCGTTGATTTACCTCGCGCGGGAAGTGCGTCTTTGCAGCCTACTAGGATGCTCCTGTAATTCAGATCTTGCAACGCCCGCTTGAGTGGAGTCGCTCTATGCCAAAGACCACGAGACCCACGTAAAGGAGCAGGAACCTTCGATCAGTTTGGCTCGTCCCTCCTGGTGTAAAGCACGTTCTGTCCGTTCCAGGTCGAGAGAGGCCTGAAACGCTGGTGGGCATCGATTGATCCTTGCCTGCTCCTTCCCTCTGTATGAAACTCCCTCGACATAAGGTGAATCGCGTGTTTCGCCTGTAATATTTACTAGAAAGAAGCCTGAATAGAACTGAATCTCTGGCCTCCTCGAAGCAGTTGTTCCCGCTGCGTTGACTTTCATTCGACTAATCTGCTTAACATGCCAATACTAGTGCGTATTCGATCGGCTTACTAGAGTGATTTGATCTCTTTGGACAAACCCTCACGCATCACCTTATCAACACCAGAGTCTTACTTGATCCACTAAGCCTCGCTTCGAGTTCCAGGAGCATCAGGAATCGCATTGCTCACGACTCTCCACCATCTCTATTCGAATTCGGTGAATGGGGAATTTTCAGCATTCTAAAGACTCGCTTCTGCAGGGGCCAATCATATGAATTAGCGATAGTCGGTTGGTGGGAATCGTAGAAACAATTGATGTGCTCATCGGGCCGCACACCACACCCCCTCGAGACCACCACACCCAGACTCCTCCTCAATACCCCCTCGCATTCGCGCGCCTGCGCCCGGGTATGTTCTCCATCTCCCACCCTTTTCTACCTATATTAAGCTGACGTCCTCCTCCGTCGTTGATCAGGACCGTGTCCTTTCGACATATCAAAATTTCCTGGGCAAACCCGAGTGCTGGCTTCGGCGCATTTACGCATATTCAGCCGCCCTACCACAGTTTTCATCGATTTTTGTTTCCGAGGACTAAAGCCTTCCGTCGTTGGTATCCCTGAGGAAGTCCCAGTCGCGTCCGCAGGGTACCTCTGCTAGCCCCTGACCATAGGTTAGGATAGAGTTCACGTAAGTGCCCATGATCTAAGTCTTATCTCCGGTGTATAACAGCAAGGTCTAACACAAGCACTCACGTATAGGCATATTCTATCCTTCATCCTCGTGTCTCTCGCCCAATACATCCACACACTCGCCATGAGTCTCAACTCCAAGGCAATTCACGATGTCGTTCATCCCACTGCGGCTTTTGTTCAGAAGTCTACCTACGAGAGAGCCGACGTTTTGACGGAGAATAGCCCACACAGTGGGCCTGTCAAGCAAGGCTGGGTAGCATCTCAGCTCAACCCGAAGAATCGCATCGACAGCCTTGACATCCCAAGCAATCCCCTTTGGCGGATCGATGGCTGTGCGGGGTTGGGCACTCAATTCTTCGCCGTTCCTCTTTTCATCACCCCCGCCTTACCTTCGCGTGTCGACGTCTTCATCCCAGAACAGTCGACTCAGACTCCTGAGATTCGGGCCCTCCTACAACTAGATGACGCCTTCCATACGAAGGATCGACCGAGAGTGGCCAACCTAGCCATCACCAGGCTTATTGTTCGCAAGCTCCAGCAATGGACGAAAACCTTTCCGGACCCCGCCGCGTGGTACAGCTCTTTGCCGTTTGGGTCCCGGATCGTCTTTGAGAACATCTCTTTAGTCCTCGAGGATATTCGCATTCGGGTCGCCCCGATGCACAATTTAGAGAGACAGCTCAAATCAGCAGATTTCCTTGGCCAGCTGTGGGGACAAGAGCAGGGACATAACATCATCTTTCCTCCCCAGATCCCTTTGTCCAGTCTTGAGCTGGTTGAGCAGTTGCATGACAGTGTCTGCATTGTGAGGTTCGAAGACCAGAAGTGGATTCTCAAGGCACTGACAAGTTACCCCAAATATATCTACCATGAGCTGAGGAATCTCCTCACAATTGAACCCCATGAGAACATCATAACCCGCCCTAAGTACTTGGCGACGAAGAGGTGCTCATTTGGAAACAAAAAGGCCGTTGTTGGGTTCCTCGTAGAGTATCATGAACACGGCACTCTACGGGATATTCTACCGCTTCGCCGCATTCATGGCCTCCTTAGTCTCTCCGACCAACTTCGATGGTCCCTCCAGATTACTTCGGCGCTACTCCATCTTCACGAAAGATGCCGTTTGTTTTACCCTGATCTTCGTCTCGACAATGTCGTCTTATCGGCCTCTGGAAATGCCATTATCGTCGACTTGGAGCAGAGGGGCGTGTGGTGCGAATTCTCAGCCCCCGAAGTCAATTTTATCCAATATATGCAAATCTTGGCGGGCTCAGAGGACATCCCCGAGTCAGTTCAAAGTCACTTCGGCGCCAGAATCAAAAGGCTTCTTCGCGGGTTTGACGATATCGCGGAGTTCATTGGCACCGAGGAGCATGTTCAGCTTTTGCCGAGCTACAACATTCCTTGGCTCTGTTTGACTCGTGAGGAGCAGGAAGCAGCTGAAGTGTACATGCTGGGCCGAGTGATATGGTGCATCTTCGAGGGAGTGAGTGCACCGCACCGGACTGCATTCTGGCAATCATACAAGTGGGAGTCAGACCTGGAATTCCCCAATTACCGCCGTACTCCGGGAAAGATTCGGGATTTGATCGACCGCTGTACAAGGGGAAGGCGGCATACCCTTAGCGAACAAGTGGGCCGTGTAAGGAGCAGGCTAGAGTTATCACCGGATGCTCTGAGGACAATAGAAGCAGACGTTGATTATACTCCTGAGGCATATCTACACCCGATCGCGAAGAGGTGGTGGAAGCAAGAGATCCAACATGCTGAGGACTTCCTCGATGAGAGGGAGGAGGGTATTGAAGAGGGCCGGCTGCCTGGTAACTACTTTAACCGCCCTAGTCTGAAGAATCTCTGGGCTGAGTTAGACGAGTATCGTCAAGAGATGGGAATCGCCCGATTTTGAAGCACACACACAGAATTAGAGTGGGAAGGGTCTCTTATAGAGAGAATATTCGTTCATATTGTCATTTGAAAGGGGGTGTTCTCATCTGGCAGTCTATTCGGTGTATCGCATGTACCCATGAAACTAAGTCGAGGCACAGTGGGCGCACAACAAAGAATGAGTGAAATTTCAACTAGGAGAGCGGCGAGTTAGGAAATAATGGAAACCTTATGAATGTTCAACATTCAGAACACCACCACCGAAGAGAGAAAATGAAAAAGGAAAAAAAAGTCCCTTGCGGTGCCCAACTGTAAGAATTGTAACTTAAGGAAGCCACAAAAGGCCAAGGTTCCTCTATCACTTGGCCCTCTTAGTATCTCGACTCGAGCCTGGACCCTGACTGTGTCTCTTGGAGCCAGCGCCACCTGGAGAGGACCGGCTGCTCCCCGGCTGCGGAAAGCCCCTGAGTGTAGTAATAAGATCATTGAACTTCTTGATGTACGATGGCGGAGCTCCATGGACGCCCAGGCGATCCTGGACCACTTCCAGGTTGTGGAGGAACTGGGAGGCGGCTTCGGGCAGATGGGCAAGAATCGAGATGATGAAGCCATCGTCTTGAGTGCCGATGAGGCGAGCGTACAGGTTCCGATCCGAGGGGTTGGCGCCCGGGTGGACATCGCGATTCCGATCCGAGACGTTGGAGAGGATGCGGACGAGGGCTCGGGCGGCAGCGACGCGCTGGGCAGGGGAGGAAGTATGGGGAGGGAAAATCGCCGCGCGGATGGCGGAGACGATGCCCAGGATATGGTGGGCAGCCCAGCCCACGTTACAAGGGGTTTCGGAGCCGGAAGACGCGAACTGTGGAGAGGACGGGTTCTCGCAGTACTCGTCTAGCTCGGCAAGGACGCGGGTTACGCGCTGGGAGAGCTTGCGAAAGGGGTCTTTGATAGGGTCGGTGGAGCGGGTGAGGGAGAGGAGGTAGTTAAAGAGCTCGTTGTTATCGAGGAGTATGCGGAAGAGCGTGCGTTCTAGGTCGCCTCGCTTGAGGGGCTTCTTGCCTCGGCGGGGGTTGGAGAAGATGTCTGGGCGGAACTTTTCTGGGGGCACGGCGGCGATGGAGGCGAGAAGTTCTCGGGCCTCGAGGACGCGGTAGTCGTTTAGGTCGTCTTCGTCGTCCGAGTCCGTGTCGTCGACGACTTCGCAGTGGAGGCTTTCGGCGAGGAGGTCGAGGTGGAAGTTGGAAATGTCGTTAAACGGGTGGCCAATCTCGGCCGGGTACCCGGCAGGTGTGAGGGTCAGGGGTGTGTCGGAGTCGTGGTTGTAGAGGGTCTGTTTTGATAGTTGGTCCATAAGCCAAAGGACGTGCCGGCACGGAGGAGAGGTTTTCCCGCAGGAGCAACGAGGATGGGGTCGACTGCTGTTCGGGGACCCAATGCGAATAGACCGAGGTACCAGCTCAGTCATCTGGAAGGCATAAACGTCGTCCTTTAAACGACAGTACTGGAGGGTTATCTTTGGTGGATCTTCGAAGGCATCGCGGACAGCGCTCTGGACTTCAGGTTGTAGTCCGCCGATCCTGTAAGTGAGCCTAGTTGGGGAGCGAACCACGGGGGAGTTTCCTTCGCTGTCGCTGTCGTCATCTGACATGGAGCCTCCGGAGTCGCTCTCGTCTTCTGAACTCGACACTTCTTCCTTTGGCTGACCTCGAGAGGAAGCATGGCTGCGGTAGCGAGCAGACGGCGGCATACTACTTCCGAGAGAGAGTTGGCTAAGCTCGCGGGTGGGAGTGGACGGCATGGGGACAGGTGGGGAGAAGGATGGATTTTAACCTGGAGATATATGTCGCGAGGGTGCGATGAGGAGTAGGATTGAGAGTGAAGAGACGAAGGAATGACAGGGAGTTTATATGTAGGATCTGGAATGGGGGAGACGGGGAGTCAAGACGACAGCAGGGGAAGGGAAGGGGGGGGGGGGGGGGGGGGGGGGGGGGGGTATAGCCATCCAGCAACGGTGGGAGAAAGTGGTGTGGGGGACGTTAGCCCGAAGGCCAGACAGGCATGCCGTTTCCGAGAAGTCCCATATATCGAGCCAGTTATGAGTAGCACTGATCCATGATTGACTAAGGGGAACGACCCATGCGGCCTTTGCGATTCCTAACGTGGAAAACCTGAACGTGCGAGGGTCCCGCTCCTGTGCCTGGCGTGGAGAGGGAAAGGGGTCGACACCTGGGGAGAAGGCGAGAAGGAAGGAAACTGTACGAAAGGGATGGTGGTGTGAATTCTGGGGCTAAGAGGCTGGTGGAGAAAGGTTCTCTCCGAATAGTGGAAGGGGTGGGAGGGGGGTGAAGAACCTCAGGCTTCAGGATCCATGTAGGTATATCTCATGGCCTCCCCCGTCTGATCCCGCTTGTGGAGACTTGGATCGTTGATGTCATAAATACAAGAGACAAGACCACCAAGCTCGAACATGGGGCGGAGTGGCTTTGCCCACGACAAACCGGTAAATGAAGAGAGACATCAGATACTACCAACAAGAAAGCATCTCTTGGCAGGACTTATTGAAGCGCGAGGGGACGTCGTGGCTAAGTTGCTCCATGCTACAAGCTACAGCTTGGACGGTTTGCCAGGGCTGAGGATAGACGCCAGACGCGGCCCAGAATCCTGCAAGGCCGGTTGGGAAGAGGCCAGACAGGGGCGGAGGTGCAGTATCATTGACAGCTCGAGTCACTTAATCCAGTTTAGTTTCAAGGGAGGAGAGAGAACGAAGGAGACGATATGAACTTCATAAGAAGATACTATCGCTTTGATACTGAATGGTTCAAACGGAAACAGCATTGATCTACATATTGTGCTAGACCACCAGCGGCCTGTTGATCGAGGTTGATGGCAGTGTGGTTTGATGTGGGAGCGGTCAAGATGTCCGTATAGATGCAACCAGTTGGCCATGCTCCACCAGCGCTCCGTTTTCTCGACCTCGTCTCTATAGTCGAACCCGGCTCGTCGCCGTCGTCGTCGCCCTCGAACGTTGAAGTTCAGAACGGAAAGAACGAAAGAAATGTCGAGAGGTACATTAATGTACCCGAAACTTGTTCGTGGGCACAGCCAAATTGTAAGTACCGATACCGTGTGTAGAATTGGCAAGAGGAGTCCTCTTACTAGCCACATCACCGGCTCACACAGCCACTTTCTAGCCAAATCGGACACTTGAAGTGATTTCACCGGCTCGGATCTCATTGGGTTAATCCGGAGTGGTGGAGCAGGCGGTCGCCGAATGGGCCGGGTTTCGTGAGGCTTGACGGCCTTGCTATAACAGTCGACGAGGAAGCCACCGGCCCATTCTGCGGCCACCCTGTCCGGCCCTTTCGAATTTTCTCTCTCTCTCTCTCCAATTTTTTTCTTGCCAGCGCGTCCTTTCTCGTGTCTTTGGCAGCACGTCGAGCATGGTACATCATTTGACGGCATCATCAAGATTGACACCACTACTCTCTCCTCTTTTCCACTTCGTTACTCGCCCTTCATACAGCGCCAAGAACAATGACCTCAGATACATCGATTCGCACCTTTGGCCTTCTTTTCCTTCCTTCACAGCCATGTTTGGCCGCATCGTGGGCCGCATCTATCAGCAATTATTTCTAGGCCGACCTTTAGTTGTTGCGCGGAATCAAGGCCATGCCACTGCTAGGTAGCAAGCAAGCATCTCAGAATTGAATAGTACGCCGTACATTTCAATGGCAATCAGTCAGTGCCCCACGCGCAGGCTCGCCTTATCTGAAAATGATGTCTACATGGAAAGGGCTTGGGAACTTGCAAAAAGGAGAAGATGCGAAGCCGTCTTGCCTCCAATGCTAGTACGCCTTGCAGTGTTGGTTCTCGTCGCGATGCCTGCGACCTACTGTCGCAGTGCATCTCATGCCAGCTGCGGAATTTAGTTGGTGGCCAGAAGTCCCCGGGATTTCTCGAACACTCTTCGAGACTAACCCTGGGACCAACTCGTCTCCCTTTCTGTCACCTCGCATCTCCAGCATGTCAAGTGACTTGCCTCGTCGAGTCGACCGGCCTCTTTGGATGCTGCAGAGCAACGCGCTTGGGCGAGTTACATGTGCCCAACGAAGGAACCTCTTGCCTTGCTTTCTCCTTGCCCGGACATTGCCTTCATGGCTACCCCCATTATTTGACTCATATGAAACTAAATGTGACAAATCTCATACACGCACTTTTTCCTTTCTTCTTTCAAAGGCGGCTGCCTGATTTCTAGTGACTAACCTGCGGAGGCGGTTTGCTAATCTGGGTTGCACGAGCACCGGCACCAATTTGTACAATGTTTCTCAAGGCCGTCCCGAAACAATTGTAGATAGATGTTCAGGTGCAGACTTGTTCTTGCGGCCTCGCCGAGCCCTATCAAGATCTTATTATGACATGCATTTACACTTAACCACACACACACCATTGTATTCAGGGAGGCCACCAACTCTATGATCTTGTGTGTTCACATCATCAATGCCCCTTTTGCCAATAAATCTATTGCTAGTTTTCTTCACTTACCGTCGCTATGTCGCTTATACTCTACGTATTATAAATGGGAACTTCGAGATAGGGCGGCTGGAGGGCCTGGTCCTCCCACCAGCCGCATAACAGTCGCGCATCATGCTCTTCTCATTTTCTGTTACACTGCTTTATTAATATGGCGGGATATGCAAGGATGGGATGTGAGCAAACGAAGCCATGGCGGGGATTGATCTCCGCAATATTGGAAGTGTATAAAGTCGCCTCGGGGAAGGGTCGTTTCGAGGATCGCCTCAACGGGCACTGCGAGCCATATAACCAACCTACAAGTTAGGCTGTAAGTCTCTGCGGGCCTACATATTATGACACGATACTTTGAATGCAACATGTAATTATAACCGTGGTGCGGATCTTCCTCAAAGGCGTCGACAATAGTATGTACATGATATCTAGTTGCATGGTGGCAATGCAAATGCAAGTTCATCCAGGACGGGGTTTGAATAAAAAAAACGACCTTCTCTGCTGTCAACTCGAGGTATTCTTTTGGAGCCGGACCCGACAGTTTGGAACCGGATGGGGTTGATTCATTTCGGGGCTGCACAGCCTCCATCTCCGAAAATTGTCTCGTGCGTGTTTCGGTGTTATTATCGGGCTGCAAATGATCCCTTGGACGGAACCGAACGAAGTAAGAGAAGGACATGCATCGTAACACGATGCTCTTCGTGTCACTTCTACTTGCCCCTGAGCTCGGGCGGCATTCACGGCGTTGAACTCGAGGTTTTTTGCTCAAGAAGGGGGCGCGGAATGCCAGAAGGTATCAGGACTTGCCGGGTCCCAGTAGAGTGGTTCACTTGGGAGTCACAGCCACCTCGGCTTCACTGCTAGGGTTGAAACATTGACGGCGAGCGGCGACGAGCGGGGAGCGAGGCAGTCATGGAATCTCTTCCTCTCTTCTTCATTCTTCTTTTCTCGTGGCTTTAGGCATCAGCATTGTGGGGATGCCGTGGGGAGCATCTCTGTTTCTTGGGGCTGGAGCTGGGCACTGCGTTTCCTGGGGGGTTTGCGATCCCCCTGGCGAGAGCGAGAGTCGAATGACCTTGCTTCTAACTCTTCTTCCATTTTCTTTCCTACCACGGCAGTCTTTTTTCGTATGCTGCATGTAAAAAAAACAGGAGGACTGGGTGTCCCAGGGTGTTACAACATCGACGGATCTCCAAGGAAGAAGGAGAGACGACGCCACACAGTCCAAATATCCATGCTAACGACATATCTTCAACATGCTCTCCAATGAACTGTTGTTTCCAGCTTGGCGCCGGCCAAGACGGATCAGTGAAGGATTGGCAAAGGATTGAAGGATTTCATGCTGAGGTGGTCAAGTTGAGCGGCCAAGTGTGTTCAGCTGTCATACCTTAGTGTTGCCCCTGGCAACCAGATCTCGCATTTCCTCGTTCCGCCAAATCAGACACTCAAAGTAGAAATAGCCGCGATGTCAATATTAAGCCAGAACCAAAGACCATCCTGCTTCCTGTAGTTGATTGGACACTATAGTTATCGCTGCCATCGTCGATCCTACCTCGATTTTCTAAAAGCCCTCACGGCCAAGTACGTACTCAGACGTCTTCCATCGCTTCCGTGTGATCGACGGTCCTGTCTTCTGCTCTACAAAACTAAACAGTGACGGCTTCGTGAAACACCGACTGAGTTTGGAGACAAACAATCCTACCTCTACTACTTTATTCACCCATCATTCTTCGGCAAGGGGCGGGCGGCTTTACCTGAGGCGTGCCGAGCCGCGGCGACACACCATTATTCATAGAAGCCCCAAACAACGAGGTAAGCTAAAGCTTAGCGAGACCAACTTGCCTTGTGCTGCCGTGCCCTCCCAGCTGAACGATACTGACATACCATGGACAGTCCGTCACTGTTACAATCCATGCCGGGTTTCACAGGGATCCTCTCGGGTCCTCTCCGGCGATTAGGTCGATCCGAGCCTCCCTCTACATTGCCCACCTACGAGAAGCTCAACAGCCCTACAAAAGAGAGGTTCTCCGAAGAATGCTCCGATTATTCCGACTACGGCGACGATGACGAAGATCCTCGGATGCCCTCTTCCTCCTCCTCTTCCTCCTACTACTCCCACAGCCACAATGGCTCCCGCTCAAGTTCCTATTCCGAGTCTAGTGCCACAGTGATGCTCGCCTCCCAGAGACGGCCAACTGCTAAGCAACGTATGAGGCGGATATATCCCTACCGGCTACCAACCCGCGCTGGGCGATACCTTTCCCTCATCATAATATCCTCTCTAATTTTCATGGCATATACACTGGTTAGCGCCAGCAACGCTGAGAGGACGCGCCTTGCCAAGGGAGCGTTCAAGAAACCTCCGCCGCCTTCACCACCCGCCTGGGAGAACTTCCCGACTTTATCCCGATATTACGGTGGTATCCGGACGCTGCTCTCCGCGGAAGAGAATCAACCGGAGTATCCTAGGCGGGCGGAAGAAGTTCCCGCGTCGACCGGGACGCACCGGGAGAGGAGCTTGTCTTCAAGCAAGAGCTTTGCCGCGGAGAATCCGGAGGCTATATTTGTCACTTCTCCCGAAGAGCTGACTGAGTGCTTTCTTGATGCGGAGAACACGATGCGAGTTCCCGGTATCAGGTATTACGACGGTCGACCGAAGGGATTTCCGGACCATATAGTTGGATCCTACGAGACTCTTTCTCTGCCTGAAGATATCTGCTTCGACAGGTTTGGAAGATATGGGCCGTATGGCCTGGGTTATTCGCCTCGACAAGGTGGCGTTGGAAGAGGTGATGTGGGTGATACGGAGGGCGCCGACGTAGTATGGGCGGGTGGATCTCAAATCGACTACAGAAAGGTCGACTGGGCCGATGCCCAAAGACGCTGCTATCAGGCCAATGCTGCGAGATATAACCCTATTCCTGCACGGGCTCCCGAACCTCACGGTTTCTTCATCGAGGAAAAGCCTCAAGGAACCCCAGTCGAGCAAAAGAGCCTCGAAGACAGGGCTACCGATTCAAACGACAAAGGCGATGCCGGATCGAAGCGTCAAGGTAGGACGGCCCTCGTCCTGCGATGCTGGGACGACATGGAATGGCAAGCTGATGAAATCATGTACGTCCGCTCACTCATTTCCGAGCTCTCCCTGGCTTCTGGCGGTCGGTACGACGTCCACCTCCTCGTCCAAGTGAAAGACGAAGGTAACGATCCAATCTGGGCCGACGCCGCGTCTTACGAACGAGTCATCCGCGAACGCATCCCGCGAGAATTCCGAGGTCTCGTCACGCTGTGGACCCAGACCCAGATGCTGGCCTTGTACCAGGGAGTCTACGACTTGTACGTCAAAGGGCCTGAGTTGCCCGTCCACGGGCCTTATCGGGGCCTGCAAATGGCGATGCAGCACTTTGCGCACATCCACCCGGAGTACGACTACTTTTGGCACTGGGAGATGGATATCAGGTATACCGGCCACTACTACGACTTCTTTACCAAGATTGAGAATTGGGCCCGCGAACAGCCGAGGAAGGGGCTTTGGGAGAGGAACGGGAGGTTCTACGTGCCGGAGGTGCACGGCTCGTGGGATGAGTTCAAACACCTAGCCAAGGTCCAGACAGAGATGGCGCCCGCGGGCGTTCCTGGTATAAGAGGCGGTGTCCCCAAGGAGTTCGGCCCCGAGAAGCCGATCTGGGGTCCTGAGCGTCCCGCCGGTGAGAATGACTGGTTCGAGTACGAGAACGACCCGACACCTCCTACTTCCCACGACCAGGACAAGCACGTCTGGGGCGTAGGAGAGGAAGCCGACCTCATCTCTTTCATGCCCATCTTCAACCCCGAAGGCACGACCTGGGGTCTATCCGACGACATCACCGGCTACAACACCACGGGAGGCCGTCCCCCACGCCGAGCGCACATCAACACGGCATCGAGAATGTCCCGCCGCCTCCTCACCATGATGCACCGCGAGACCACCTTCAAGAAGCACTTTGCCTTCCCCGAAATGTGGCCCGCCACCGTGGCATTGCAGCACGGCTACAAGGCTGTGTACGCCCCTCACCCATCGTTTGTCGACCGCGACTGGTCTCCCGATTTCTTTGCGCAGGTGCTCAACGGCGGGCGGAACGGCGCGAGCGGCGGCTCGAGGACCAGCGTCTTTGGCAATAGGGAACATAACTTGCATGGCCTGAGTTGGTTCTACAGGTCGGATTTCGCTCCTGAGCTGTATAGAGCTTGGCTGGGCTTCAAGACCAGGTATGGTGGTGGGGCAGACTTTGAGTTGGGAGGCGAAGGACGCATGTGTCTTCCTCCTATGCTTCTTCATCCTATTAAAAATGTCGGCATGGTCGTCGAGGCGCCTCCCGAGGAGGAGATGGCGATCCTTGAGGGGGCGGGTGAGGAGGCTGAATTTGACGCTGGGTCGTGAAGAGCGGATTGGATGGTTGGATGGTTGCGTTGTTCCTGTTTCCTCGAGATCCATTTTCAGGGCGTTTGGGTGTTTCTTCCGCATTTCATGTTAGATTTGATGCTTTAGGACTTGGGAGCATAGTTTCGAGTAGTGTTTTTCCGGGACTTCAGTTTGAAATACTAGGATAGAGGGCATCAGACATGAAGGATGTTGAATATGACCTCAAGCATGGCTTTTCTCCTTATTCCTTTCACAGCACCCCCAATCCCCTGTAAATGAGTCCAGACACACAGAAGCCTTTATACAATCATTAATAAGTAGTGCTCTTGTTATCATTTTATAATGGTATACGTAGCATGTACACATTTCCAGGGGAGACTCCGATCCCTGGAACTGCCTCTCGACCCTTTCTTTGAATTGAATCCGAGTATTTCCCTCCCAGCTATTATTCCTTTATGCGCCCCCAATCCAGAACCCAGAATGGGAAATGATGTTTTCCGTTTTTTGAACAAAAAGTGTTAACCAAACCCATTCCTTCTTCTTCTTATACGACTCGCTTGACCTATATAAACGAGGTGAACGAAGGCAGAGCAGTCAGCAGCAATTCTGCAAAAAGGCTCCCTCTCAGGACTCTTCAAAAATACGACAGAATGGCGTATATATGTGTATGCATATTTGCACACTGCGCGGACGACACGAAAAATCAAGAACAGTAAAAAAGCAGAGAAACGTCCAAAAAAAGATGTTTTCTACTTCCGTACCTCGAAGAATCGGCGGAGCCACCAGACCTGGAAGAGGGATTCGCCGATGACGACGCCGATGACAAACATGTTCCACCACTTTACTCGACTGTTGGTACTCTCGGCGGTGTTGCGATGGGTTCGTTCTCGTACGATGATGTAGGACTGTTCACCACGGACTTGGTTTAGGAGATCGGACAGCTTGCGGACTAGAGGGAGAGGGTAGGAAATGTTAGAATAAAACATAAATAGCTGGCTAGCTAGCTGGCTGTTGTGCGATGCGTCTCACCTTCTTTCTCGAGAGGGTCAGAGGGGAAATCTTCCTCGTTGACGTATACTATGCCGTGGACGTTGAAAGAAACCTCCTTGGAGTTGGCGCCCCAGTGCTCGTTTCCGAAGCAGTAGATATACCTTCCGTCCATCTTCGCCGTGAAAGAGAAATCGCCGTTTGAAACGGACTTTTCGAAAGTCTCGTACTGGCCTGTAGGGGTCGTGATCTATATCAGGTCAGGAGTTAGCAAAATAATCATGTCGACGTCTAGAGCCCAATTGCGACAGCCATCATCCTACCCAAAAGTCAATGTCGAGGTTTCCGGCGCTGCCAAATTCTCGATCGCCAACTTGGAATGTCACGGTCATCTTATCGTCCCTGTGGAGGGTCTCGTGGAAGCATTCTCGGCCGTGGGCGGGTAGGGCGATGTTATGGGCACTGGCAGCAGTGAAGAGCGCGGCACCCGCGAGGAAGAACCTCGCGACTGATGAGAAAAGCATCTTGAAGTGATGAACAGGGGGTTAAACAAAGGGACGGAGTTCTGGAAGGGGCGTGTTTCGGAAAGGAGATAGTCGCGCAGATGGGACGAGCCTCGAGGATGGTTGAGGCTTGTAGCGTGCTCGGCTCCTGGGTTTGGCTAATTGAAGCTGTAGTTGACACTTTGGCGTCTTGCACGGGAAATTTTGGTGTACGAAGTACAGTCACCAAGTCACCAAGCTCAGCTGCGCCAGGAGCAACAAGGAAAGGGGGTCTTGGAGCCGAGGTTTTGGCGGCCAGGCTAACAAATTAAGGTACCTTCGTAAGGCACAGGACCACAAGATAGGACGTTGATAGGCAGCACCTTAGCAGTGTACATGCTTGTACAGGGCTTGTGGAGTAAGAGTACTTCCAAAATACTTACCAAATCTGACTTGGCCTCGATGAAATACCGTGCCTCAATATGGAATTTTTGTAGCTTATCAAAGTACTCTGTGAGCACGAGCCAAGTACTCCAGGACTCTTCCCTACTGGACACTTTTCAACAATTGACGAGGAATTGCACCACCAATCCACTAGATTCTAGTCAAGACACTCCCAGTCTCCAGCAAAAGGCAGGCACAGCCCTTCTCTCTCGAGCCCCTATACTTGCAATCTCTTATTACCTAAACATTTTCCACCCTTGTTTTGAGCCATTGGCCACGCCTCCAACCACCACCGCCTCCTCTGTTCCCCCCCATACACCGACAAACATATCCAGGACATCAGTCTGCCTCTTCCATAACTACCACGAAATCCATCATCAACCCCCTTCCTCTCGACAGTTCTGAGTACCGCGCGGCCTTCGTGTGAGTAAGTAGCGAATCCTCTCCTTGCTCTAGTCCTTCAAGTGCATCCTCTTCCTCTCTCTCTCCACTGGCACCCCTCGTTATCACCTGTTCTGTCACTTGGCACCCTCCCTAGTATGGCGGCGAGTCGGAGCCGTACAGAAATTCTTCTGCCTGCTCCTTTTGCGCTCGTGCTCGCCTGCCACCCCCTGTCTCTGAGGATTCATTGTCGCCTAGATCACGAAACAACCGCTCTGAATACGGGCTTGGGTATAGCTGGTTGACGCCAGTCTTGTATGGGACGACTGCTCGATGGCTTAATCCTGATATCTGTCCTTTGTGTCGTCTGTCTTGCGTCTCGCCGACCATAAAAAAGGCCCCCATTCGCACCCTCAATCCCCTTCAGCGCCGTGGTCACTACGAAGTTGCCAGCCCCTGTCCCAACCTCATACACTTTTTGCAGCAACACCCATTTTTTTCTTTTCATCCGTTCAGTTGCTTACGACCTGCCTTTCCGCACTTCTAGGTTTCAGAGCATACTTAATCTCCATACCTCTTTTTCTTTTCTCGTGATATCGCTGGGCAACCGCCTCTCCCTCCGCCAAGATGGGTATGTCAATCTCGAAGATGTTGGAGCGGCTCTGGGGAAAGAAGGAGATGAGAATTTTGATGGTTGGTCTCGATGCTGCCGGAAAGACCACCATCCTTTACAAGCTTAAGCTCGGTGAAATCGTCACTACCATTCCCACCATCGGTACGTAAACGCTCCAAGCCCACTACCCCATCAGACCGGATCGGATCGGATCGGCGCCGCAGGGCGTCTTAGATGGCCTATTCAGGCCCATTCGATCCTACATGGATGTTCTTCTTGAGCATCAGCGAACAAACCGACTTACAGTCATGTCCTCTCCTTAATCTAGGTTTCAATGTCGAGACCGTCGAGTACCGAAACATCTCGTTCACCGTCTGGGACGTTGGTGGTCAGGACAAGATTCGACCTCTGTGGCGTCACTACTTCCAGAACACCCAGGGTATCATCTTCGTCGTGGATAGCAACGATCGAGACCGTATCACCGAAGCCAGGGAAGAACTCCAGCGCATGCTGAACGAGGACGAGCTCAGGGACGCCATCCTACTAGTCTTTGCCAACAAGCAGGATCTTCCCGTACGTATATCATCTTCTAACTCTCGATATCTGCGCCGAATCCATTGCCTTTCTTCGGGCTCCCTATTTCGCGACAGGATACTAACATGACGATTCTCTAGAACGCCATGGCTGCCGCCGAGATTACCGACAAGCTTGGCCTCCACAGCTTGAGACAACGCGCCTGGGTAAGCCATGGATAACCATATATTTTCTGACCCTTACCGCTAACGTCTTTTCCCCACTACAGTACATCCAGTCGACGTGCGCCACATCTGGTGATGGTCTCTACGAGGGTCTCGAGTGGCTCGCCACCACCCTCCGAAGTTCCAAGCGTGACGGATAAATAGCGACACAGACACCTACTCTGCGAAGAAGAAGACGGAAACGATCGCGTCTCGACCCGCTCACCCCTGCTTCCCCTCACTATCTCTCTGGTTTTCGGTTGTAATTTGCAAATCTGTCCAGGTGAAAAGGCAATCGAATAGTTCATAAACATCGCATTCTCACTTTTTTTTTTTCTTCCCGTCTGTTATCGTGTTTCATTCCCTCCTCCCACAAGATGTGTCGGTGGTGGCTTTCTTGGCGTTGTGAAGTTGTGTCTTCCGGCCTTTGGCGTGCCTCTTCATGTTAATGGGAAATGGGGCGTTGTCGTCTACCCCAGTTGTTTAATGCTAGTACAAGTTCTTGGATGGAGCGGGATAGCTTTGCCACAGGGGCTTGGAAGGCACTCTACTTTGAAATCTCTGCTTGTCCACTTTTGCTGGTGTCCGTCTCTGTCTCATGGCTGGTTAATTCCTGTCTTTGTTATGCTCTCATGCTCCAAGAACCTATCTCTTTCGCTCATATCATGGCATGTTAAAACTACGGGGGATGACTGCTTAGTTAGATTGATAAAAAAAAAAAAAGACGACCAGAAACTTTGCAAACGCGATCCGTATCCTTGGCCAACGACGTTCCCCATGCTGCGGTGTTTTTACTCTCTTTCTACTTGCCGAGACCGGCGGCTCGGGGCGGTCACATGCCCCGAGTTGGGCCAACTGGCGTGTTTAGGTTCTATCAGCAACCTCTTCAGCCCAACATCAGACAACATCAGACGACAATACTGTTGCCTTGGGTGACTAGTATGACATTATGGCAATGATGAAAAGTTGGAGAAATGGAGAGCGAAGTTACCCCAAGCCGGAAAGAAATTCATTATTTGTAATTTGCGTATGGCGGAAAACTGAGAAATATACTGTAGCTCGAAGCGTACTGGATCCGCTTCAGCACGACTCGATTATGTACAGCCTGCACGATGTGTAGAATGTGGCGAAATATCATGAGCGATATATCGAAGAAAGTCTTCTCCTTTTCCGCGCAACGGATTTGGCAAGTCTCCTCGAGGGATGAGCGAAAAAAGAAAGCCAGCATTCCCTCCTCCCCGTTCCCTCCTCTCCCTCTCCACGCACTCCGAACACCAACGATTCCTGTCATATTCCTGTCATATTTCAGACTCCGTCCCCTCAGCGCTTCACTAGTCGTGACGTAAGGTTGCAGCTGATTGATCGAGATCCCGCGATCGTTGTTCGTGAGAGCTCGCAGATGCTAGAGTGTCCATGCGGGACATCTTCTTCTGGGCTTCTAGTTTGCTGCCAAGCTTTCCCGTAGGTTTGGAAGCTTGCGCGCGGGCCTAGGCGAGTTGTAAAAGCTTAGTGTTAGCTGAGTCCAAGAACGGATGGCGTTGTCTGTTTGTACGGAGGAGGATGAGGGGGGAGTCTTTCGTAGGGAGACGGGGCTCGAGAGCAGCAATTTCTGGGAGAGCTGTCGTGCATATTGAATAACGGGAACATTCACGGTATATAAAGGGGGAGGGGGTCGCAGGATCTACATACCTCTGCAGCAGCTGCGGCTTTCCTCCGGGCTTCATCCGGGGTATCGCTGTCGTTGGTCGCCGACGCGCCGCCTAGCGTCCGAGGCGGACCACCGACCTTGATGGTCTTTGGGACGGAGGAAGTCCCGCCTTGTGGGGGCGCTGAGCCAACGGGGCGACCGGGGCCGGCGAAGTTGTCGGATTCCTTACTGCAGAGAGCGCCCATGGTTTTGTTGACGAGGTTTAGTTGCGCGGCGAGGAGGGTGAAGTTGGAGGAGGCGCAGGGCAACTCCTTTTTTCCTTTCTCTGTATATTTCTTTTTATTTTGTCTTTTAGAGAAGGGTTTTTAGGGTTGCGTGGCCCTCCTTAAGGAAGGTAGCCGCAGGAATACTTGGCCAGGGAAGGTGCGGGAGTTGCGGTTCTGCGATGACGAAGCTATGTGCAACGGGGGGCTGGGACGTGTCGGTGTGCGGGCGGACTCGGTGGGAACCTAGCCGGGACAGTGGCGGGGTTGAGTTTTAGACTCATTTGCTCCCACATGGGTTGCCTTTTGGAGATGGGACATTAACATTAAAAGGCGTGGTGGCCAGATTAATAGAGATTCCATATTCCGCTATTCTAAGCTCCAGCAACAGATTTAGCGGGGCAAGCTTGGCAAAAGGGAAATAAATCCGCCATCATTCAAGGGATCTTCATTGGCATGGTTTCGGGGAAACATCTGAAGATGGGCCATCAAAACGAAAGAGTCCGAAGGGCCCAAGTGATGGGTGGAACATGTTTCGAAGGCCATGGCAATAAATGGTGAATATACATGGTCCCCTCACAAAACTTGACACAAGACTGGGCTGGGTGCAGTGAACGATCGAAGGTCTCAACGGGGCCGATGTTGCATTGAAACAAAGAGCAAGAGCTCTTTTGTTGGCAACCCACAAACACACGTATGGAATGGATCAACGACGTGGTTGATGCGGCTATTTGGCTAGGGAAATACAACACTGCACTACATGGACAAAGGGACATTCCAGTTAGACATTCCTAGTCAGGGCCTGGTCTAAAAAAAATGACCGCACGATTTGTTCAATCCACTTGGATGAGGGTGGAGCCAATGAATCTCATCTCCAACAGAGACCGGGATCACTGGCGGTCATCCACCCCCCCAAGGATGTAATCTATGTGTCGACAGATCTGGACTTTTCATGATGTCGATGAAATGCCAAGGACAGAGGAAAGACAAAAACCAAGCCCTGAACAGCTGGCAACAGTTGCCACTCGGTGAAGAGCTGTGGAGATGCCATGCATGCTGTGCAGATGGCCTAATTCAACGGGTTTCTATTGGCCAGATCGTGCCACAGCCCTGCCCCCCACTCGCAGAACCGTCATATCACTGATTCAAGTACTTCGTACATCCCGCTCCAGTGGAGTGTACAAGTAGACTACCTGTGTACACCCTAAGCCCATTCACACACGCTGGGTCCAGACCCTGCCGGCTGCTATGTAGTGGAAGTCTGTGGAAGGCACCAACCAGCCGTGCTGGCACCTGCCTGCTTGGCTGGACACACCTGCCCCTCCCCCACTATACAATTGTAACAATTGTACTTCGTACTGTCAGTTGACTTCATCGCATCAGCAAGTACTTGGTACTTCCACTCCCTCTGCCCTGTCCATTCTCGCCTGTTCTTGTCCCCGTCAAGAAACAAAACCAACCGTGGAGGAGGCCATCAAGGTGCTTTCCGCCCACGCCCACACACTCTTCGTCTCGCCCTTGCGACCACGAACTGGGCCACTATGGAGTCTCCGCCGCAGTCTTATCCGCCGTAACTTGCTGGAAAGAATGTTGGTCAGTGGTCAGTGGTCAATGGCTTGCATATCTTCCAACAAATCGAAATTTGCATCCTCCGAGCTTTGGACCCTTCGTTCCTCTCTCCTCCGTCATCCTTCATCTTTCAAAAGCAAAAGTGATTCTGCTCTTCTCTATCGCTGCTCTGCTCTACGCTGCCCAAGATAGATAGCACCCTATTGCCTGCTTGCAAAGGATCTTCGCAAAGTACTCATCTGAACCTACGGCTCAGTTCCCCGGAAACATACTACCCCGAATGGTCTCGGACTCGTCCACTGTACCGCCACTGCCGCTCATATACTACACAAGAAGATCGCAATATGAACAGTTCTGATTACTGTACTTCTGATAAAGATCCTGCACCATCTATTGACGACCCGAATCTGTCCGGTTATAACCAGATCACTTCCCAGTCTTCTTCTCCCTCACCTTTCGATGTCCAAACACAAATACAAATACCAGACTCATCCTATGCCGATGCGCTGGCAGACACGTCCTTTGTCACTTCACCATTCTCCCCATACCCGGAATCCGGTTTCCCTCAGTCTCTAGTCTCATCACAGTCTCTCTCTCCTTGGCCCGACCACAGCGGCGGAGTGTCGCCTGTGCTCCCTGACCCCGCCGTCATGGATCCGTCACACCTTTTCCTATCCATGGCGGACTCAGACTCTGTCTTCCCAAGCTATGACCAAGCCATGGCTTCTAACGGCATGTATCTGGACCGGTGCAACTCGCCGTGTCCAGAATCGTGCCAGAGTCAGTGTGGCGAAGATGGCGAAGCTGATATTTGCTGCGACCCCAACTGCGACGAGATCTCGGATCTCTGCACTGACTCGAACTGCGTCGACCAAATCAAGTGTTGCCCGAGCTCCTGTCCAGCCCCAGTGCTTTCTGAAAACGACGAGGATGCCGCCGCGACGCTCGCGTCCATAGGATCGGGCGACCAGCCTACCAACCACCTCGTCGATGGCGACCTATCAGTCCAGACCCAAGGCTCACTGCGTCTCGCGGCTTCTTCCTCGCCTCAGAGTTCTCTCATGTCTTCGCCGCATCTATCTTCGCAGTATCCTACCATGTTTCCCAATTATTTCATACAGCAACCCTTGATGATGGGCATCTACCCACCGTTCCCTGGAGAATTCGGCTTAAACCTCGAGCTCGTCGACGATTTAATAATGCACCACAACCCCCAGCAGCAGCCATCTCAATCAGCCCCTCACTTCCGCCCTTGCCCGCTAGACAATGCTCCTTTTCACACGAGGCGATGCATGTTGCCCCGACCCGTGTACCACGGAGCTGATACACAACAAGCTTTGACACAAACCGCGGATACTGCCAACCCGCACATGCTGCCCAGCGCCTGTGGCGTCTTCCTGTCAGGTCCTGATGAAGTGTTACCGCACATTGCGAGCACACATCCTCATGCCTTCAATACATTACAGTCCTACCTCGAAGCCAACGCGACAGACCCTAGGTTGAGCGAATCAAATAGGCTCGCGTTCGTGTCGGCCATGGAGGCCATGGGTGCTGGGAAGCTGCAGGGTAGCCGAGGAATACTCGACGCTTGCAGTACGGCCACGCCTTCATCGATTTCCCATGACTCGGCCACTCCACGAACCCAGCAGAGCGACGCGACGCTTGACACGATAGACGTCACGCCGCAATTCACCTGCCGGTGGCGAGAAGATACGGGAGTCATATGTGGCCAACACTACGACGACGCGGAGGGCTTGCACCAGCATGTCTTGACACATAGCCGCCACCTGAAGAAGTCTGGCAACGGTCATCGCTGCCGCTGGGTTGGCTGTACGCGACCTGAGGGACCAAAGGGCTGTTTCCCGCAGAGGACAAAACTTGAACGTCACCTACAAACCCATACAGGCTGTGAGTATGCCCTGGTTTCTTTTTTCCTTCTTTTTTCGAGTCGAATTGGCACTAACTCTTTAATCCAGACAAACCAGCTGAGTGTTCCGTCTGTGGTCTTGCACTTTCTGGGACCCAGGCATTGGCCCAGCATATGAGAACTCACACAAACGAAACCCCTTGGAAGTGTCCTTTCGAGGGGTGCGGAAAGGAGTTTAAGCAACAGAGTGCTTTGAGTACGTATCTTCATCTGCATACCCGTTCAGTTTCATGTCTTTCTAACCATTCTTTAGCAATGCACACTCGCACACACACAGATGAGAAACCCTTGGCCTGCGATATATGCGGAAAGCGCTTCTCAGAGTCGTCGAACCTGTCCAAACATAAAAAGATTCACACAAGAAGTTTCAAGTGTCTCATCTGCAACAAAGATTTCAGCCGTGCCGACCAGCTCCGAAAACACGAGAAACTCCATGAGGCTGCTGGAGATGGCACTACGGCATTATCAAAGACGCATGGAGGGAGGGTATCGAAGAAGACCAAGGCTTAATAATGATGCTGAGGCCCAAATATGTACGACCTCACTCTCCCCACCCGCCGATTCTTCTTCTAGTCTCTGTTTCTTTTTCTCTTTGCATTTTCTATGTTTCTTATTCTTGGTGGGTCTTTGAATGGGAGGTTGTCAAAGGTTTCTGGTGTTCTGGTCTGGTTCAGGTTGAAGGGGGTTAAAACATGAAAGAGAAAAAAAAATAGTTCCAGTGGAATCGCGATATGGTTATGGGCGGCTATCTGGTCATGTAATGTTTTATCGAGGTTTCAACGAAGGAACGAACGGGAAGAAGCTCAGTACATTAGGAATTAAGATTATACGAAAATCCTTCCCTGAAGCTTACGTGTAGTGTTAAGGAAGAGTGCAGCATTTTGAGGGAGCAACCTCCCCAAGAATCCTTATACTAACTCTCCTAGACCTAGTCACCGGTTTGTTTCTGGACATTGAGGGCTCTGCGCAGACCACCAAGATTGCACCATGCTAGAGCAGTTGAGCTACTCGGGTCACGATTGGGATATAGAGAGGATGTAAGTTCGGGAATCCTGAAGGCAAAGGCTCGAGATTGCGTTGCTGTAACACACTTCTCCGTAACCGCTATATCGACTTGCAGAAACTCCTCACCTTCTCACGTAGGTGCACGTTAACTCAAACCCCCAACCATACATGGCTCGGACTAGAAAATGGAGGCCTTGGGAACAAGTAATTTGCGTCAGAGTATCATGAGTCTTGATTTTCGGCTATCTACCCTTGCCAAACCGATTGCAGGATAGAAAAAAAGTTTTTTTTCTTGAGGGTTCCTTCGTCCTCCAGCCTGAAATGCCAAGAACACGTAAATACAGACGGGGGGAAAAAAGCTGTAAACCCGAAATCCCAGAAGACCGATGCGATGCATTGGAGAGAAAAAACGTTGTTGGAATCTCTTTTGCCAGAAACCTACGCCACCGCCCCGTTTCGTTTGTTTATTTTTTTCCTTCTCATCGTGAAATCAAAAAAAAGTCATGGGTTGCCCGGAGAATTTAAGCAGCCTAACGACAGAGACAAAAGTTAGTCCTGCTATCCATGAAAGAAGTATTTTGTTTCTAGCTTGAAGTCCTTCGTACCTTGACAGCAAACTTGCGCTGGGGGAAGTGGGTGTTTCGCTTGCGCCTCTTCTCAAGAACAACAGAGCTCTCCTTCGCAGATAGACGACGGCGGATAGCGCGGGTCTGCTTGGGTCGGAGGTCGAGGGGAATGTACTTCTTGTTCTTGTAGAACAGACGGAGCTGCGCTCGTTGCTTGGCGTTGATGATGGTGAGGACACGGGCGATAGACTTGCGGAGGTCGTGGCTAGAGGCAGAAAACATATCAGTATCCCGGTTCTCAATGTCCCGAATCCGTCTCTTTCAACCTCGCCCTTCGCTCTCCCCCTCCCTCTGGGCTACCGGAAAATTCCCCTCTCCCCTCCATAACTTCCCGGGATTCGAAAACAGCGGCGGAAACGTACATCTTGTTGAGCTTGGTGCCAGAAGAGACAATCTTCTGGATCCTGAGCTGACCGAGCTCGGTCTTCAACTCGTTGAGCTGCTTGGTGAGCTCATCCTTGTTCTTGTTCCAGAGCTGGCCGGCCTTGACCTTTCCTGACGACTACGATTCACACACAGTCAGTATCCCCAGCCCATTTCGTATATCAAAAATAAATTGCAACGTGGTGCATAGAAAGGAAAATTCTTCGGACAATGGCTCAATCGTCGCATGGCGAGAAGAGAGTTGCGCGATGAGGATGTGGGACGGGTTTCGAGATCGGTTCGATTGGGGGCTAGATGGACGATCAAAGGTGACGAGACAGCGAAGGGAGACTTACCATCTTGACAGTAAGTCTGTGTGGTTAATCGAGTCTAGAGTCTGTTCAGGAGATGATTATTAGACGACCCTTCGATATGGGACGGGTGGTGAGGTTGGGCGCTGGGGGGGGATGGAAATACGTTGGTCGTCGGTTTCGATCTTCACGCTTCTCAGAACGGCACCCTGCTGTGTATGGAATTGACCTAGCCTTGGAAAATTTGCCCTAGGGCTTGCGGTGTGGGAAGGGGGTGGTGTTAGTCAGCAAGACGATTTTCTCTGGAGGGGAGGAAAAAAAAAAAAAAGATTTTAAGGTGCTGTGGGTAAACTTGTGTGAAGTTAGCCTGTCACGTGCAGGGAGATCCCAAGGTTAACTTGGTCTGCACTCGGGAATTTAAGCGGTATTATGCCGTGAAGCTGATGCTCACGTTCAGGGTAGGTGAGAGGGACCTCTACTACTTCGTCATCCAAGAATTTTGAGGTGATGGAGCTAAGAATTGACTTTCCACTGGCTTCTTCATAGGTTTGACATCGAATTGGATCTGTTCATGATCACGAGGATTAGAAAGGCGTGATGCCCTAACTGAGCCGATTTACCAGATAGCTTAAAGTTATATTCTAGTTTCCAGCAATGATTGCGACACTCTTCTGTTCACTTGGTGAACCTCGTGTCTTGGGTCAAATTTTAGAGCCTTAGTTATCGAGAAGGAAGACCAAAGCTTGCATAACCGGGCGACATAATGAATAAATAGTCCGCAGTTTACAAAACGTCTTCCAGAGAGAGCCCGAACATCATAATTCTTTGACGGTATTTGCATGGGGGATGGCTTTGGCCTGTTTCCCTACCTCTGGCCGATTGGCTCCCGAGTTCCTCGTCATCCTCGGCGGGCGCTTGAGACTCCCCCGGCCAGTGCAACGAGCTCTTCACTCCATTACGCCCGTCACATGGGGCAGTACCACAGCGCGCAGGGAATTAGAGAACCTTATGATAGGAAAAAATGTTGAGATTCTCTTTAGGATTAACCTATCAAACAATCGCGGACATGACCTAAAATCTATTAAACACTGCTGTTGTCTCTTTCAGTTGTAGCCTTTATAGCCTCCCCTCGGAGCGATTTTCGCTAGTATTCCGATGGCGGGGTAGCAGAGCTTTTTCTCGTCGATGAATGGCACCACCACCAATTCGACCAATCCACCCCACCACCTTCAGTTCGCTTTCTGCCCGTCTCCTTCTAAATTCCTTGCCCACTTGTCATCGACACGGCAGATTTGCTCACCCGAGGACTTTCACCCACTCACTCCCTAACCGACGGATTCAATTGTTCGGCACCATGTCCAACCAGCAGATCGCAATCGTCTCCGTCTACGACAAGACCGGCCTCCTTGATCTTGCCAAGGGCCTGGCTGAGAACAATGTCCGCATCCTGGCCTCTGGAGGTACTGCGCGCATGATCCGCGAGTCCGGGTTTCCTGTCGAGTAAGGGACAACCAAAAACCTAGCTACGAATGGATTCTCATGTCGAGAGTCGCATGATTAAGGCGTTAATACTGACGCAATGCATTTTTACCTGATTTGTAGGGATGTCTCCGCCATCACTAAGGCTCCCGAGATGCTCGCGGGCCGTGTAAAGACCCTTCACCCCGCCGTTCACGCGGGTATCCTAGCCCGAGACCTTGCCTCCGACGAGAAGGATCTTGCCGACCAGAACATCAACAAGGTTGACTTCGTCATCTGCAACCTCTATCCCTTCAAGGACACCGTTGCGAAGCCCGGTGTGACCATTCCCGAGGCTGTTGAGGAGATCGATATCGGTGGCGTTACACTTATCCGGGCAGCTGCCAAGAACCACACCCGCGTTACTATCCTCACCAACCCCGCCGACTACCCCGAGTTCCTGAAGGAGCTCCAAGCCGGAACCATCTCCGATGCGACCCGCCAGCAGTACGCCCTCAAAGCGTTCGAGCACACCGCCGACTACGACGCTGCCATCTCTCAGTTCTTCCGCCAGCAGTATGCCTCCGACGGAACCAAGCTGATCAACCTCCGCTACGGTAACAACCCCCACATGAAGCCCGCGTGCGCCTACGTGACCGAGGGAGAGCTCCCCTTCAAGATTCTCAACGGCGGCCCCAGCTCCATCAACCTCCTTGATGCGCTCAACGCTTGGCAGCTCGTAAAGGAGCTCAAGGCCGCCCTCAAGAAGCCTGCGGCCGCCAGCTTCAAGCACGTCTCGCCCGCGGGCGCCGCCATTGGCATCCCCCTGACGGCGGAGGAGAAGCAAGTTTACTTCGTCGATGATATCGAGGGCATTGACGCCTCCGGACTTGCCCAGGCATATGCTCGTGCTCGTGGTGCTGATCGCATGAGCAGCTTTGGCGATCTGATCGCTCTCAGTGACATCGTGGATTATCCCACTGCCAAGATCATTTCTAGGGAAGTCTCGGATGGTGTTGTGGCTCCCGGATACGAGCCCGAGGCCTTGGAGCTCTTGAAGAAGAAGAAGGGCGGCAAGTACCTCGTGCTCCAGATGGATCCCACTTACCAGCCTCCTCGCATGGAGTCCCGCATCATCAACGGTGTCACCATTTCTCAGCCCAGGAACGACGCTGAGATCACCCCCGCCTCCTTCACCAATATCATCACCCCCAAGGACCTCACGACCCTCTCCGAAGATGCTCTCAGGGACCTTACCGTCGCCACTATTGCCGTCAAGTACACTCAGAGCAACTCCGTCTGCTATGCCGCCAGGGGCCAGGTTGTCGGTCTAGGTGCGGGTCAGCAGTCCAGGATCCACTGCACCCGACTGGCCGGTGATAAGGCGGATAACTGGTGGCTTCGATTCCACCCCCGAGTGCTCGGCATCAAGTGGAAGAAGGGCACCAAGCGTCCCGAGAAGAGCAACGCTATCGACCTCCTCGTCAGTGGACAACTGCCCAAGGACGGACCGGAGCGAGAGGCCTTTGAGGCTGTATTTGAGGAAGTCCCCGCCGCTTTCACGGATGCTGAGAAACAGGAGTGGCTCGGCAAGTTGACCGACGTCGCCGTCTCTAGCGACGCCTTCGTAAGTTGCTCCAGATGTTTTCCCCTCTGTTACATTCGATCTGACGTGCTGACACCAATGACAGTTCCCCTTCACCGACAATGTCTACCGGGCGGCTAGGTCCGGAGTCAAGTACATTGCTGCTCCCGGCGGCAGCCAGAACGACCAGCCCGTCTTCCAGACCGCCGAGCAGCTAGGCATTACGTTCGTCCAGCAGAACATCCGCCTCTTCCACCACTGAGTTGAAGCGGTGCAAAATCAATAGTTTTCATGACGTGACAAGAGATTTATTGCAGAAACGAAAAAGGAAAAGGGGAAAGAGGAACAAGGAAAAATGAATCTCGGATGGCGGGTACGGAGTAAACGGGATGGGATACCAGGACCGGACGCAAAGGTCTCAACTACCTTAGGCCGGGCGTGCTTGGCCTCGAGAAATTTGTTCAGGTATATAACTGTAACGGAATTGATTTCAACAAAAGCATGATAGAGGATACGGTAGCGAAGCAAAATGTATTTTTCAATGTTAAATTTGGTGGCCCTGTCTCGGCCTCATTTGTCTTGTGTGTGTTCATTGATGGTACCAGGACGGCCCAACAATATGGGCTCACAATTAATAAGGAGAACGGACGAGATATCCTTCGTAGTTGTAGTCAAATGTGCTGGGTTTGTGGATTACGTAAGCGTCTGGAGCTGATATGCACAGGGGCAGCTTTGGGGCGAGCCAGACCATTTAGACTACAGCACAGGTACGAAGTATCCATTATCCATTATCACCAGCCGTCCCTGAGACGTCATCCAATCCACACATCATGGCATCAACCACAGGAAACTCGGGCTGGGCCCAACTCCGCCAACAGGCTCGAAGTCTAGAAACTCAGGTGAGCCCACCTAGATTCCTTTCTGGTCCTGTCGCTGTCTTGAGACCATTTCGCGCTGACCGAAGATACTCTTAGACGGAGACGCTATTCCAAACGTACTCGCAGTTCTCGCAAGCGCCGAACATACCGGCGAAGCCGACGGAGGAGGAAAAGGCCACAGAATCAAAACTAGAAGAACTCTTGGAGAAGGTATGGTTATCTCTGATACTTCATTTACATTTCACGGCTTTCCCCCCTCCTCTGCACGGGGAAGCACCCATAGAACGAAACGCAGTGGACTGACGCTCTTGGTTCAACCAAAAAACAGCGAGAGAATGTAGTAGGCAAACTCGGCCGCCTCCTCGACTCCGAAACAACCCTCACCTCCTCCGCCCTAAAACAAAACAACCTCTCCCTCCTCCGCGAAAAGCTCGTCGAACACCGTCGCGACCTCACCCGCCTCCGCAACTCCCTCCAGACTGCGCGCGACCGCGCCAACCTCCTCTCCAACATCCACAACGATATCGACGAGTTCCGCGCGAGCAACCCGGCGGCCGCCGAGGCTGAGTACATGCTTGCCGAGCGGGACAGGATCGATAATAGCCATGCGATGGCTGATAGTGTCCTGAGTCAGGCGTACGCGGTTAACGAGAACTTTATGGTGCAGAGGGAGACGCTAGCGAATATCAATAGGAGGATCACGTCGGCGGCGGGGAAGGTGCCTGGGTTGAATGCGCTTATTGGGAAGATTTCGGCGAAGAAGAGGAGGGATGGGATTATTATGGGGGCGTTTATTGCCTTTTGCTTTTTGACTTTTTGGTGGTTCCTATGAGGGAGAAGAGCGAGTTGAATGTTGGGGGGTCTCTTATCTCCGTAAGAGGGAGAGAGGAAAGCGCAGGCACACTGCAAGGCACGAAGGGCTTGTTACGAGGCGTTTTTTTTATTGTTTATTGATTTCAATCCTTTCTATTATGTACATCAAGACGGATAAGGGGGAGTCTACATTGTATTCTATTATACAATCGCCATTGTGGGATGCAAGGGCGCTTCGGGGTCTCCAATACACACAACATACAATTACACATTTGCCTCTGTAGGGTTGCCCTCCGCGAGCTGAGCTTGCTCTGCAGTCTTCTTCTCGGCGGCCATCTGCTCCGCAACTTCGCGAGCTTCCCCGACGAGTTTCCTAAGGCCCTTGACGAGGCCCTCCTTCTCATCCGGCAAGCTAGGTCCGCTAGCCGCCCACCGTATCCTGCACTGAGGATCGACAAGATAGACGTATCCGACCTTGCCGTTAAGCAAACCGATTGACTCCTTGATGTAATCGCTAACGCCCTTCCTCACAAGGAAATACCTCCCCCAATTCTCCTCTCCCAACCTTCGCCTCAGAGATCCCATGAACATCGTCACGAGCCACGCCTTCATCGAGTTATCCTCAACGTTCACCCTAACGACCTGTCCGTGGATGGGATCGCTCGCGAGCACCTCCGCTAAAGCCGGGTTCGCTTTCTCGGAGATGAAGGAGTTGACTTGCTCCTCGCCCCATTGGCTGCTGAAGACGGCGATGACAGAGGCGCGGCCCCAGAGCTGCGGGGTGGTGTCGCGCTCGGCGCCGTCCTTGTGGAGGGTCTGGCCGTGGAGGTTGGGGAAGTAGAGGGCCTTGTCGGCGCGGAAGAGGCGGGGAGGGGCGATGAAGGATTTGCCGTCGTGGTGTTGGAGGTTGGTCCAGTCGCGGAAGTAAGGACGTGAGATCTTTTCTTTACTGCAGAGGAAGAGGAGAGATTAGTTGGGCGGGGAGAGAAAAGAGCGGGCGCCATATTAACACTTACAGCTCCTGACGCCGGATAAGATGTTTGTCGTAGTTCACAAAGTCATCACGCCGTTCTTTTATGGATCGCAGATCAATGCCGGTATTCTCCCCAGGCATGGGAGGGTGGGGCATGCCAATGGGTCGGGGAAGAGGCTCCGGAGTGAAGTCCTCAAGGCGCTTGCCGTAGGATCTCGGCGCGTTGATAGCCGCGCCGGCGGGGACATGTTCAGCTCGGACAGAGGCAGTCGGGGCCGGAGCCGGAGCCGGGGTGTCGGGCTTGCCCGTCTTCGTCGTTGACGGCTTAGGGTCGGGGAGAGAGTAACTAGGGGTTGTGGAGATGGTGCGATGCCACTGGCAGAGCAAACAGGGGAGGGGCCGTTTCGAGGGACCCAGGAGGGCCACCGCGGCCCTCGTCCTAGGAACGGCCATCTCTGCGTGGGGGAGGGAGGGGGGTTATGCTAAGGGCTGTCGGTTATCGGTTGAGTCGTGGTTGCGATGGAGCCGATTGTGTTGTACTCTTTTTTTTCCCGTTCGGCTGGAGCTGATAAGAGAAAAACTTGAAAAACTCGCGTCCAATTGCTCGGGTATAGTTGCTGACGAAACCATGCTCCACGTTGTTGGGGCCCCAGTAAATTCCCACGCTAAACCCCAGCAAATCCTTAAGCCGCGCAGGGCCAGGCCAGGGCCGGTCAGGGACCACACTGCCAGGAGCTGGGCCTGGCCCACTAACATTTAACGGGGAATCAATCAGGGCGATCAATTGGAATCAGGAGCATCAATAGCACCAAAATAGCCTCGACGTCACAGTGCGGCTTAAGGAATTACCGACCGGCGATTTCCAGCCCTTCGGTTATCCGCGGGGAAATCAGTCGACGATGACACAATGCCTTCCAAAGCCGAAGCTGTCCACAGCGAAAGCAAGGTGCTCCGGGGGGGAAGGATGGTCCTGCCCGCTAGTAATGCTAGTAAATAATGAGGGGAAACTGAGAATGTTTTTGCTTTCTTGAAAACACATCCGCTCCTTCTCGTCTTCCCTTCTTCCAGAGCGTGAGAAAGTGATATCCTGCCTGTTCAATTGACAAGAAGCTTCAAAGTCATGTTTCTGCAACGCGGTTCTCGAGCCATCCGCGCCGTACACCGGCAATGGGTGGTGTCCGGAGGTAACGTAACCAAGGCCGCCCTTGCGGCGAGCGCGGGAGGTCCCTCCAGATGGTTCCACGAGACGAGGAGGCAGCAAACTGTCAAGCCGGTCTTACTCGCCGACATTGGAGAAGGTAAGGCTTCACATAAGAAGAGCCCGAGGCGAAATGTAAAAGGGAAACACCGTCACTAACACCAATTGCCGTCCCCCATAGGCATTGTCGAGTGCGAGGTCATCCAATGGTTTGTGCAGCCAGGCGCGAGGGTTGAGGAGTTCTCACCGCTCTGTGAGGTCCAGAGCGACAAGGCGTCGGTCGAGATTACGAGCCGTTTCGCGGGCGTGGTCAAGAAGCTCTACTACGAGGCCGGTGACATGGCCAAGGTCGGCAAGCCGTTCGTCGACATCGACATCGAGGGGGGTGCGGTGGATCAAGTAGATTCTGCGGCCAAGCCTGACGCGGAGACACCCGCGGCGCCGGTGGAGAAGGCCGACGAGGACGTAATCCAACAGGATTCCAAGTCTGATGTCCCTCTTACAGCCGAGGAACAGAGGCGGCTTCGGATCAGGGAAAACAACAGGGCGATCGCAACTCCGGCAGTGCGACACCTTTCCAAGGAGCTCAACGTGGACATACTACAAATCCAGGGTACAGGAAAGGACGGCAGGGTACTCAAGGAAGACATCTACAAATTTGTCCAGCAGCGGAATGCCGGCGCGCAGACCCCCGCCGCCCCCCAAATATCACCATCCGCCTCAACCGCACAGCCCTCGCAACAGCAAGAGGAGACTGTCGTGCAGTTGACCAACACCCAGGTGCAAATGTTCAAGGCCATGACCCGGTCCTTGACGATTCCGCACTTCCTTTACACCGACGAGATCGACTTTACAAACATCAGCGATCTCCGCACGCGGCTGAATAAGGTCTTGGCCACTACGGCCAAGGTCAGCACTGGCGGAAACGGCACCGTCATCCCCTCCGGCCAGAGCCAGCAGGACTTGGTCGCGAAGCTCTCCTACCTCCCCTTCATCATCAAGGCCGTCTCCATGGCCCTCTACAAGTACCCCATCCTCAATGCCCGCGTGGACGTCGACCCTACGACCGAAAAGCCCGTGGTCGTGCATCGCAGCCAACACAACATTGGCGTCGCGATGGACACCCCTCAAGGACTCCTCGTCCCCGTCATCAAGGACGTCGGCTCTCTCAACATCCTCAGCATCGCGGCCGAGCTAACGCGCCTGCAAGCCCTCGCATATGCGGGGAAGCTGACCCCTCGGGACATCACCGGCGGTACTATAACGGTGTCCAATATTGGTAACATCGGCGGCACCTATCTCTCGCCTGTCATCGTCGAGAAAGAGGTCGCCATTCTTGGCGTCGGACGAATGCGAGCCGTGCCGGCCTTTGACGAGGCGGGGAATGTTGTGAAGAAGCAGGTCTGCAACTTTAGCTGGAGTGCAGACCACAGGGTAGTTGATGGTGCGACTATGGCCAGGGCGGCTGAAGTGGTCAGGGCAGTTGTGGAGGAACCGGATGTTATGGTCATGCACTTGCGGTAAACGCGCTGAAGCGGAAATAAAGGGAGTAAGAATCGGAGAGGAGACGTGGCATTTGAAGGAGCGTTGGAGAAGTCTGACGACGACTTAATTCCCCTAAAGAATGTTGGAGCGGCTCGAGATAGCGGGGTTGGGCGCATTCAGAAAGGGGCATTTTTAGCTGTATGCAAAATGCAGTGGAATGTGAGGAAGCACAGTTCATAGGTTGCAATGAAGAATACCTTAGAATACTGTATTTTTGGACGTTTCGTTTATAGACAAATCTATCACTGAAGAATGGATGTCTATTTTCTGACCTGTTTGGTGCCAGTGCCTCACCCTCTTTCACCCCCAGAACTTACTGAAGAATGCTGGGAGACTCGGAATCGGAATGAGAAAGAGGAAACGGGAAGTATGAAGTACCGAGGTACTCGTTGGCGGTTCCAAATATCCATGGACATGGCCAATATTCCGGCTTATCGCGGTCAGACTGTAGATTGGAGAGAGGGTGATGCAACTTACCCCGGAGCCAAGACGACGCTCCAATCCCTGCCGAAAAGTCAAAGAAGGCGGGGTGCGTAGGGTAAAATATCCAGAAAAAGCATGGCGGAAAAAAAGGTAGCGTTGCAACGCAGCCACCGGGCGCGGGGTGAAGAGTTGCTCCCTCCCAAATCCCGCTTTCCTTCCTCGACCAACCCCCGTGGATCTCCTCTGGGACACATCATTACAAGGTAGGTAAAGATAGCGGCTGACCGCAACAGAGGCATACGGAAGATATAATAGAGTATGCAGCACACTGCATAGCCCTCGATTAGGTACTTGCAACTAGTTCACGGGCCGCACCTCCAGCTGGGTCACGTTAGCAACACGCCCCCCTTTTCGTGGAGGACAATCTGCAGCTGACAGCGTAGTTGGAATGGATTCGAATGGATTCGTGTCCAACTTCTGGTGGGCTCCCGCTCTTGACACGGGACATAGCCGTCTCCCGTGGCGAATCGAACAAGGTGCTCATGCTCAGTCGGCGTGGGTCTATTGCAGAGCCAATATTTAGCATAGAACTCGTTCCATTCCATCATGGATATTAATGACACCCTGAGAGGAGGGGTTGAGCTGGAGTGTTAGGGGTCATCCTACGTGTCAATGCAAATGTAATTCGCGCTCAAATACGAGTGAAGTGATAACCCATGGAAGTGGCAGAAAATAGTCGAATGTGAGGGACGGAGCACATGTAACCCCGGAGCAGGCAAACAGACATGGGGATGAGAGAAGAATGAGACAAGAGTGTGTTAAAGGAAACGCCTGTTTGTGTATTATGATGCATCTTGTGAAAGACGTGTGAAACCTTGTAGCAACATACTTCGTAGCGAACTTGGCGATAGAGCGTACATGGAGAAGACGGGACGAAAACCATCATGACTACCCAAAAAATGAAACCATCTCATACGTATACATATTTCATCAAGATTGTCCCAGAAAATTATGCTTCATCAAACACCGAAAACCCCAATCCCGATTCCAACCCGAGCTTCAAGAAAATGTAGGAAGACACCAACCGAGAACGCCCATGTGTTATCGTAGGGTGCACAAGACATCTGCCGGAGGGACAGAGGGAATTGCCAGCAAGAAAAATGAGTAGGAAAACACCAGCAAAAAAAAAAGGACCAAAATAAAACTCCTGTCAGGAAAACACACTCGCACGCGCAAAATGCACTTTACTCGTTCACGCGAGAATACGATTCGTTGGCAAGAATTTCGGAGACTTTCCTCAAAGCATCCTCTTGGACTTCGTTGAGGGTTCCGCTGACATCGATGCTGATGACGTCTCTCTCATTGGGGCCCGGGGGTTCGAGGACCTCAAATTGGCTGTGGACCATATTGGCACCCATGTAATGGTTCTGCCTTAGCCGGACTCGTTCAAGCAGAAGCTCCTCAGGCGCGGAAAGATAGATGAAGTGGATCAGAAGGGAATGGTCGAAATAACCAGCCACGCGGATGACGTCTCGGTACTTCTGCTTCAGTGCTGAGCAGGTGAGGACAACACCCTCAGAGCCTGACTGTATTCTTCGCTGGGACTCCTCCCGGAGCGCAGTGAGCCAGTCCCAGCGGTCCGCATCAGTCAAGGGAATCCCGTTGCTCATTTTCTCGACATTGGCCCTAGGGTGGAACTAGTTTCAATTGATTTAGTGACTTACACACCTTAGGTGGGGAGAGAAGGGGCACTGGAAGACGGAATGCATTTCGCGGTGCGGATATGGAAAGGAGCGCTCAACGGAGACTAACCTCATCGCCCTCAATGTAGGGGAAATTGAGCTTCTTCGACAGATAGGCAGCCACACTGCTTTTTCCAACACCGGCTGGGCCTGTTACAAGGAAGATATGATGGGGCTTCGTCGTCCTCCCACCGGAGAGTGTGGCGTCGGTGGAGCCGTTCGCTATGGTCGGTCCCCTTGCCGATTGGGCTACATGGACGCGACCTGGGGTATGGGATCCATTCGGCGACATATCTTTCGTGAAGGAGGTCGAAGGGGTAGTGTTCCCAGTGACGAGGAGGGGGGAATCAACGGAAAGCATCGTTGTTGTGAGAGAGTGGACAGGGAAAATAGGAATGGGCGGGATATCGGTTTTTTTATAGGTAAATTGACGTGCGGTTTGTCTCTCGTGGAAGAGTGTCACCAGCTATTGCATTGTAATATAATGATTTGTTTGTTCTGCCGCAGCGGGAGGCGTGGCCGTCTTTCGGAGTGGTCGCGGGAGGAAGCAGGTTAGAGAGACTTGATAGGGAGAGAGCCAGGAACAAACGAGGCCCTAAGAATAAAGAGCCACTTATAGGTTGAAAGGACAATGGAAGACGGGAAGGACAGTAAAGCAGACAAATCAAAAGGGGAATTAAAATAATAAAACGCAGAAACCGAAATTCCAGAGGCAAGGGGAAAAAGTAGTCAGCCAGGACTAAGAAACAATGAATGGCGCTGTGGTATCCTTTTTATTATAAACAAGGTTTGGGGGGAGCGAGGCGAGTTTCCCTCACGAAGCCGGCATGGGGGTCCAATTGTCGTTCGTGGGCTTCAAGTTACCTCAAGAAGTATGGAGTCGGCGTCCAGTTCCGGAAGAAGGAAGAAGGGGGTCTGCCAAACGGCAAACTAATAATACATCGTACATTGATCCTACTTCGTACATCGTGCGCGACACCCCCATCGTGCAAGTATTTCTTCGTAGAGGGCACTAACACTACGAAGTACGCAGCAGTTGGTCACGACCCCAAGGAAGAAAGCTTCCAAGTCTCGGCTCACTCCCAATATTGATGACCCGGCCCCGCCGTGTTTAGTTCCGGTATGGGAAGTTGGCGAATGGGAAGAGAAGTTGAGCCCCCCCGCCTGGTGCCCCCGATCACAAAGTGGGAATAGGTTTGGGGGTAAAAAGGGAGTTCCAGGGAAAGAGGCGTGTACTTCGTAGAGATACCTCATGACTACTGCACTACTACGACGCACATTTTACCCCGGACCGTTCTTGCTTCTTGAAAAAGAAAAAAAAAAAAATACTTCGTCACATTAAGAGACCGGCGGTGGGCTGTCTGAGAAATGGCGTGTGGGAGAAACCTGGTGTGGTGTACAAGTACAAAAACAACGCGGAGGTTTGGCATGGCAGATCCACAGATTGATCAATCATGGGATTTGCTTCAAACGCTGATGAGAGACAAAGAGAAAACACGTTAAATATTAATCAATACTGGATTAAAATAACATGCCCATCTGAAACTGAGGGAGGCACCCATGTTTGCTTGAGAGTGGGTGGTACAGCAGGCGTCGTTACGATGACATCAACAGGAGGTCTTGTGATGGGCGGGGTTGAGGGTTGAAAGAAGGTTGGATGGACTCACGGCTGGCGCGGGCCTCGAACGCTACTTCCTGCTTAGAAATTTCACATAAGCCGACGGGAATACTTTGATTTATGGGAGTAAGTATAGTTCTCGGAAGTAGAGGCTTGAGAGAAGGACGGCTAAGAGAGACTGCTTGCCTTCTCCAGGATGTAACTGCCAAAAACAGTATCTGAGGAGCTGCGGCAAGAGGCTCAATGTTCAAATGCTTTAGCGACGGCTCCCTGGTACGACTGGCAATGAGGTAACTCGTCGAAATGTAATATATCAATGCCCAATGGCTGTCCGCAGCTCCTCATGTATGCATCCTCCCCAAAACGGACCCTCGCTACTAAGTCGAACCTCCAAAACAGTAGCGTACATCCATGATCCTGTCGAGGAGTCGATCGGTGTGATAAAAAGGAGCACCCGAGCCGGACCCAACCGTTGACCTCACCGACATGTTCGTAAGGGGAAAAGAGACATGTCACATTCTGGGGATGGGCTCAGCATGACTGAGCAGGCTGGACTAGTGCGCTCCCGCACGCAAATCTAACCGGGAACTCCAATCTAGGATTGAAGCTTTTGGAGGGAGCGATGGAATAGTTACCAGAGTGTTGGGATTCACTTTCCTCTTGTCCTCTCTTCCCTTGTACGAAGTACTTGTAGGGCACTGTATGAAGTAGCCTTCTGGTTGTTTTACCAGCAGGAGCTCTCCGTCAACCAGGCGAGTGACCGTGAAAGGTGGTACGAGACCCCTTGCCTTCTTCGTAATACAAATAATAATACTACGAAGCAGGAAGAGCCTGGGGTACCCTGCATGTCATCAAAGCGTACTGTGAGTCTGTGAGTACCAGCTCTGACATTCATACGATCGACTCAACTCAACAGCCAGCTAACCCCACTGTCCCCGCTCTGCATGACTTCCAGCATCTGTCCCTTCCCCAAAGTCTGGGTGGATGACAAGGGCATGACTCTTAGCGTGGGGGTGACCTGCGACTAGCCCTGTCCGGTACAGCCAGTCGGCTCGGATTTTATGCTCAGTAATACAAAGAGGACGCCTCAAGTTTGCTGAAAGACGGACGTTTTGATGTTTCCAATGAATATCACACTGCATTACTTGTGAGTTTTTACCGACCTTGGTTTCGTGCCCTTTTTGCTTCTTCTTCTCCTCTTCTCTTCTTGTCCCAAAGCCGGGGCGAATGCTCCGGACTTGGCTCGGCGACCTCCTTTGTAAGTCGGAGCGTGGCTGATGCTCAATAATGAACACTAGCGCGAAGTACAGGCCTCCCGAAGAATTGGGGGTACACTCGATGATACGAGACTCTCCTTTATTACTCATAGGCAATTAACGTGTGCTAATTTTCTCTCTAGTTCGAAGCAAACATTTGAAGTATTGGCGACAAGAGTTTTAGTTGATGGTTTTGACATGATCATTGGCATCAGCTTCTCCACTTCCACTTTGTCAGTTCAAGGGCACAATTGCACTCTTCTTATAAGCCCACACTTAATTTCACGTATTCTGAACAATTTCTACAAAGTACGAAACAAGCGGGTAACCGGCGATGGAGGGATTGGCAACAGATGACCATTCTTGCACTTTATGCACGTACGAGGTATTTGATCGATATTGCAGGATGGGCGGGCAGTATATTCCGCAACCACAGGGCCTTTTTCTACACAGGGAGATGCACAAACCCACCCCCAAATTTCAAAGTCCCCGCCGTCTAGAAATGCTGCGGACCAATGAGGTCTATTGCAATACATGGTTACGCATTTGTATTCGCGAGAAGCTGCCCGGCTTCCCACTCGGATCCTTCAACTTCCTAGTTTCAGAGACCACTAAAGACGGTTGCCAGATTAAAAAAAAAAAAAGGAAGATGAAAAAAAAAGTCAAATTCCGAAACCCACTAGGAAAACAAACCCTCAGCCCATCAGCCAACCGCCGTGACGAAAATGCTTAGCTCTTGCGGCAAGGGTCTCCCCCACAACTGAATGTGTGTGCTGCTTCCCCAATCTTCGAAGGCTTTCCGGTCCTCGATCCTTGCTTCGTAACTCCCTTGCTCTTAAGAGTCTTCATAAGCCTCTCACGTCCGTTCTTACTTTTTCCATCTTCACACCGCTTCGACCATGCAGCGAGTTTGCGCAAGCGAAGGTGTGACGCCCAAAATGGCTCGCAAGCACGGCTCCTTCGGCGATGTCTTTCTGTCCCCAGGTTGATTGCGAAGATGTACTCGTCGTGTGGGATGTATGGGTTGAAGCCTGCAAAACCTTTGCATCTCAATGACTGTCTTTGTATAATGGTGGGGTGAAGATTTGGAGGCCTGGGGGTTGATAGCCAGGCCGAATGTTCATCCCAACATGACATATCTTGTTCATTATGATGGAGAAGGGGGTCAGTGGAGCCAGACATCCCGGTAAAATCCACCATCTTCAACATCTTCGAACTATGTTGACGTGAGCTCTCCGTCTGATCTTTGCATTTCTATGTGTCTCCATATTGGGATTTACACCGTTGACCCAGCGGGATGGCGAGGGTAATTGAGGATCAGCATGATCAGCATGGGGTTCCGGGGAGGCATTGAGAGTCTCAACCCGTTCATCTACTTCGTCGGAATGCTTTTTGTGAGCCACCACCCTCGATATCGGCGATTCATTGCCCGAGCAAACATTCACAATTTCGTCACTCTGGATTTGCGGTAACAGACGCGGCAGGCTGCGTTTGGTTATTTAATAGACGGCGTGTTGCGTTTATGACATGTTATGCACCTTGCCCCGTCCATGTTGCTTTCTCGGGGTGCCCGCAGTCAATGGGGTCATGTGGTCTTGTGGCCTGTTGGCCAGCCTGGCTGACATGCAGAATCTTCTCCGGAAGTGAAGCTGTGGGATGCCGAAATGTGGTCGACATACCTGTGCTGCGCCTTTCCAAAGCAGCCACTCCTCCAATGGGCCAAATCGGCAGACTTGCATCCTCTCATGCCCTGTACCAAGACAGCTGATCATGGAAACTGGAGCGCCAGTCGTTACATATTTAGAACAGCTTCATGGAAATGCTTGCTAAACATTTGCCATGAGGGATCCGTCATATTCGGGGAAGCTTTTGGAGCGCCGCCCTCCCAAGTTTCGCTTATCATGAATCGATCCATTTTGATTTCGGACGACGAGACGACTCGTCAATATAAAGTCATACTACGTAGAAGCTCCAGCTTTCCTGTCTTGCGATTATTTACAGCCAGGCGGCGGTTGCCGGAGCTGCCTGACATATGCCAACAAAGTTGCACATCGTAAATTCACCTAAGCTCCCAACATTCCTGCTTCCTGTACAGTCGAGCAATGATGCTTCAAAAGCAACGAGTTAGAGCCCTTGTTGTAAGCTGTTTGGCAGACTTGGCTGCCCAGGCCCGCCCATGGTTCCCTGAGGATTAAATCCCCGAGCTTCCCGGATCCAGTCCAGCGGGGATGTTCAATGGCACCTCTAATAACACCCTGAGACCGTTAGACCCTGCTTTGGACCCTGAAACCCGAAATGTTGGAAAGATCAATTGGCTCCAGCTCCCCACCAACCTGGGTGTTATCGATCGGTGCCTCAGGCACAGCACCACCACCTTGCCATCAAGACTAGCGCAACTGTGTTCTTCAAGGGGAAAATTTCCAATTGACGAGCACATGCCATCAAACCGACTCTTTCCAGGCAGCCATTTGAACCCTCAAGTGCTCTTTCTCTGAAAGGGTAGGTGCAGAAAATAGCGAGGAAGGAGAAAGTTCCCTCCAGACGTTTATGGAAGGTCCAAAAATTCAATTGTTACCTCGGCGTGCCACTTTTGCGTTTGACCTGCTTCGTACGTAAGCAAGGAAAGCTCAAGTTTGCTTGGTCTTACCCTCATTCGAGAGCATAGTTTGCTTGGGACCCTTTGTTTGTTGGTTCAGGTTTAGTAACTGCACCTGTGACCTGATGCACTTATCTGGCAGCCTGATCCAATGAGTCTCCCCCGCCGCTGCACTTTTGCAGCCGGACTAGGGCAACCGGTGTTATCCGCCACGCTCCTTCGTTCCTGGTCCTCGATGCCATCTCGAGGTTCATCAATCTTTCATATACACCACCTTCGCTCCAGACGCATCACCGCTCAACATCTGCTACCGTCTTCCCTTAGATCATTCTCTGCCTATACTCGCCGCAATCTTTCCAAGCCGCACCCGGCCCACCTTAGCCAACACCCAGCTACCCCTCGCTTCGCCTACCGTCAGTTTGCAACAATGAATACCGAGGATCTCAAGCACTACCTGGCCGACTCCCCCCCAAGCGTCGTGAGGCTCGAGATTGAGAAACATTTTGAAGCTTTGAGTGATAAGCAGAAGCGTTATGCTCACTATATTAGCAAGTAAGAGTCTTGATCTCCTACCATAATCTTAGCCTAGCGAGCTGTTCGGGCGAACCCCGCAGACTCATTATCCCTTGCTTACATGCTTACCCCTCCTTCCCCTCCCGCCCAGGGCTGCGTTTGCTGGCACTCGAATTGTGCTGAGGCAGATCTCGCCAGAATCCGAGGCTATCTATGATTTCATTTTGAGCCTTCATGAGGCGTCCGGCGGCAACTGGGCCTCTCTGGCTGAGAAGGCCGGTGTTAGTGAGAAGGATCTGACCTCCTTTCTCGAGTATGCTGCCATGTTCCTTGGTAACAACGGCAATTATAAGAGCTTCGGAGACTCCAAGTTTATCCCGAGATGCGATGAGAGCGTGTTCAAGGCCCTCGCGGCCACCTCTCCGAAAGCTGAAGGCTTCTACAAAGCAACCAATGGTGCCATTTTCAGTGCTGACAAGCAGGGTTTGATGCATCTGGGATACGGCGACGACGGCCACATGACAACCTACTACCCGGAAACCGCAGATATCACAAAGGCGGAGATCGACGCTGTCTCGAACTGGATGGAAAAGAAGGGTCTCTTGCCAGAAAACACCAGGCTACGCAAGACTAATGATGGCCATTTCGAACTCCTCATTGCCGCGGCTGTTACCCAAGTGCCCTCTAACGGCGGTGATATCGGCAAAGAGACCGAGTTCATCGTCGAGGATGGACCGTTGGAGGGGAAGACGATCAAGCTCACTTTCGGAGACTATTCCAAGGAGATGCAGGTCATTGCAGAATATATGAAGAAGGCCGCCGAAAATGCCGACAACGATACCCAAAAAGATATGCACACCGCGTACGCCAAGTCCTTTGAGAGCGGCTCATTGCTCGACTTCAAGGATAGCCAGAGGTTCTGGATTCGAGATAAGGGTCCTATGGTTGAATGCAACATTGGTTTCATTGAAACTTACAGGGACCCGGCTGGCATTAGGGGCGAATGGGAAGGATTTGCTGCTGGTTAGTTGAACCCAAAAGATGAGAACCTTGGTGAATGTGAAAGCGAGACTAACACAACGTACTTCCGTAGTCGTAAACTGTAAGAATGACCCCCTGTCTATCCGGAATGGCCAGTCTAACCCCGACAAATAGTGGAACGCACGCGGGCCTTTGCCGAACTCGTGGCATCCGCCCCAAGCCTCATCCCTCTTCTTCCATGGAACAAAGATTTCGAGAAAGACGCCTTTTTGTCCCCCGACTTTACATCGCTGGAGGTTTTGACGTTTGCCGGTAAGTCACCTACTTACTTGGGGCTATCCGGGACAATTTAATCCGTGGCTAACGTCAATTGATTTTTAGGTTCTGGCATTCCTGCCGGCATCAACATGTTAGTCGCCCAAGCAGTTTCTTCTAATCATACCCTTTAGCGCACACCTAACTCTTGAACAACTCTAGCCCCAATTATGATGATATTCGACAAACCGAGGGCTTCAAGAATGTTTCTCTCGGAAATGTTCTCAGTGCCAAGGCCCCGAACGAGAAGATTCCGTTTATCGCCGAGGCCGACCTCGAGCTCTACAAGAAATATCGCGATGCATCCTTCGAGGTTCAAGTTGGCCTCCACGAACTTACTGGTAAATGCACTCTCCCTTCGTCTGCGTAGTTTCTGTGGCTAACTGGAGCAGGTCATGGATGCGGCAAACTTCTTCAAGAGACGTCCCCCGGTGTTTACAACTTCGACCACGCCAACCCCCCCGTCAGCCCGTTGACTGACAAGCCCATCACAACCTGGTACAAACCCGGCCAGACATGGGGCTCCGTATTTGGAAGCATTGCTGCTTCCTATGAAGTATGTGTCTGATCTCAGATGGGGAAAGAAGGCTAGGAATATTAACAAGTCGACATCAGGAATGCCGAGCTGAGCTTGTCGCGATGTACCTGAGCTGTGAATTCCCCGTCCTCAAGATCTTCGGCTTTGGAGATGGATCCAATGATCTCGATGGCGAGGCCGGCGATGTACTCTACGCCTCGTACCTCTCAATGGCTCGAGCTGGCCTTGTTTCTCTCGAAATGTGGGACCCGAAGAGCCAGAAATGGGGCCAGGCCCATTCGCAGGCTCGCTTCTCTATTCTCCAGGTATGGGTGCTATGATGCTATAGTGCTATATCTCCTTCGCCATTCAGGCTAACCGTGGCTATCTAGTGTTTCCTCCAAGCGGGCGACGATTTCTGCAAACTTGAGTACAAGAACGATGACTTGTCTGACTTGACCATCAAGCTTGACCGATCTAAGATTCTGACGGCTGGCCGGGACGGTACGTGCTAGCACCTTTCACAGCTGTTCGACTCATCTTTGCTAACTGGAATGTCTTATAGCGGTTGGTAAATACCTCCAGAAGTTGCATGTCTACAAGAGCACCGCGGATGTAGAGAACGGCACCAAATTCTACACTGACATGACTACTGTCGATAAGGACTTCTGGGGCACCAAGGTCAGGAATGTTGTCCTCGAGAACAAGCAGCCGAGAAAGGTATTCGTCCAGGCCAACACCACCGTCGACGAGGCTACCGGGAAGGTTAGTATCAAGCACTACGAAGCCAGTCTCGCTGGTATCATTGAGAGCTGGGCCGACAGGAAACTGTGAAAACCAGTATCGTGAATGGACACCCCTCGTACTTAGTTTTGTACATGTATAATATACATACTCCAGCTTTTACAGGAGGTCTGCAACTGGTGGCGGCAACCCGAAGCTTAGAAAATAAATAAATGAAGACATAATAGAGATGACTATGTTCCATAGCATCTACTGCGCATCACGTCTCACATAGTAGGAACTGGTACTAAAATCACATTGTTGGCTGTTTCCTGTGGCTAGCCATCAATACATTGCCTGTAGTTTTTCCCGCCGGTGTCACTCCTAATTTCAAAAACAAACCGTAATGAGATATGCATGCCCTAAAACTTTGACTTCATGCCACCACACAGCCCAGACTGGAAGGGGAGTTGTGTCCTTTTTTTTGCGTCTTTTTATGATCTTTTGTGTTGACTGTAGAAATTCATTACCTACAGACGCCAATAATGAGACCAAAGCCCGTTTGTGAGGCTTCCAAATGCAATTGGCTGAGCCAGACCATTTCGCAAAAACCGGCCCTCTAACATAATCTCCTTTTCCGCTCCAAAGATCCGACCCCACACACGCGACGTCCAAGAACCAGAATCGATACCGTTTTTCTTCCCTGCGCTGCTGTTTGCTCGTTTACCACTTCATCTCGTGGGGCTTGTCGCCCTTTCGCAGGGAGAAGGAAGTAGCGAGGTAGCTGGCGAGGAACTCGACCTTCTTGATGTTCGCGATAAGGGCCTTGTCGACGGCCTTCTGGTCCTCCACACGGTTCTTGCTCACCTCCTTCTTCTGTAGACAAGATAAACAAAAAGGCGTTAGCAAAAACCATACCATATCATAGGAGGGGTTACCTGTCCCACCACCCCGCCTAGGGAAGTTGTGGGAAAAAAAGGGGGGAGGGGGTTGGCATGATAGCCCCCTTTGTTGTTCCAACATACCGTGGGCTGCTCTCCTTGCTTGAAGAAGGCCTCCTCACCGGCCTTCTCCTTCTCCTTCTCGCCGACGAAGTACTTGGGTTGAGAGATCTCCTCGATCTTCTTGGCGTCCACACCGGAGATGTCGATCTTGTAGGATGTCGCAATGACGTATCGGGCGTTGACTCTTCGGAGGGGGACACCGTTGATCTTGAAGGGGCCGGTGACAAGGAGGACACCCTGGTCGAGGGCCTTGAGGAGGACGACGCGCTTACCCCGGAAGCGGCCAGCGAGGAGGATGAGGATGGTTCCGGGCTGGAGCGTGGATCGGGGGGCCCAGGGGCGGAGAGCCTTGCGGACCTGCAGTTCGGAGGAAGAAAGAAGTGTTAGCTGTTTTCGTGTCGCCGAGGTATGCATTGTGTGATTGAATGCGGATCAGATGCCAGCTCGGCCTCGCAAGAATCCATTCACCGCCCTATGCCACAGTTCAAAGACATCGCGAGATTCCGATTTCCTTTCTTCCCTGGTGTCGAGGAGGTGGTGCCGTCGATTTCGAAATCTTGATATATTTCCTTCCTTCTTTGGGAAACCCAAGACCCCTCCATGCCCTATACCGTCCGAAATTTTTGTGTCCCACGCAGATACCGAGCACGAGGGTGAAGGGAGAATTATATCACACCACCAGAATCAATGCCACATACCTGCTTCTTCTGAGGCTCGTCAGAAGTAGGATACCACTTCTGGGCCTTCTGAGAGGCGTGAGGGACCGCCCGGGTCGACGAGCCGAACTTCTTGGTGGTAGGCTGAGCCGACATTGTGGATGATTGTTGTCGAAGTGGACTGTTGGATCGTCGAGGTTAAAGGGGAATTGGGGGAAAGGGAGGAACAAGAAACAGGAAGTATCAGAAGGAAGAAAAGGAAATTCGAATCCTGTTGACCGAGCCCTGTTGTCGTTTGGTTAGTATGCGCCCGGATTTCTTGTTGCTTGGATTTCTTTCTCGTGGAGTAGGAAGGCCAGCGATTTGTGCGAAGCAGCAGCGAAAACCCTCAGGCGCTAAACCCTATTTGGAAAAGTGGGCGTCGGCGTGCAACAGATTTCTTTCACCTTCTTCGAGAGGTTTTGCCGGTCAAGGCGCCGAGGTTCAGCCGGATGTTCTGAGGTCCTGGCGCAAGAAGAGCAGTGAAGGAAGGCATGAGTGGGCGAGTGGAGCCTTATCGATAAGGTCCACCCTCACACGACGTGATTTCTGCCACCTGCCAGCGGAGCTTGGAAACTGCCAGAAACTTGACGCTATCTAGAAATCTCATGACGATTCCATGAGATGATGATCCATTGGGTCTATATATGGAGCGTCATGTCTGTCAACTCCTCCTGCTAAAAGGGTGTATTTTTCCTGCTTAGAAACTCTCTTCAATTCACAATCCTGCACTGTATAAATCTTCGTTCCGTATTCGAACCTTGGTGCTTGCATTGCCTTGCCTTGTACACCAAGCATCGAATACGGCTAGAAACTAAAGAATTGCCAATTTAGCTCACAGCCATGTTAGCAGCACGCCGGCAACTCTTAGCCACCACCTCGAGGAGGATAGCACTCCCAGCTTCCTCTGGGGCTAGGCTGGTCAAACCAACCTCGATACTACCCCTACGAGCCTCTTCCGCTGCGATACCGATCCTCCGCTCCCACCTTGGTCCTGCCATCGCCACCCGAAGCTACGCAAATGGTCGACCTCATCCTCCCGGCGGCACCCACCGTATGAACCTTGGTGGCGAACCCGAAAAGTCTGCCCTCGAAGAGTTCGGCATCGATCTCACGGCCAAGGCGAAAGCAGGCAAGCTCGATCCCGTCATCGGCCGAGACAGCGAGATCCAGCGAACGATTCAGATCCTATCGCGAAGGACGAAAAACAACCCCGTGCTGATCGGAAATGCGGGTACAGGAAAGACTGCCATATTAGAAGGGCTCGCCGCGCGGATCATTCGGGGCGATGTCCCCGAGAGTATCAAGGACAAGCGCGTGATCGCGCTTGATCTAGGCTCTCTCATCGCCGGCGCCAAATACAGAGGTGATTTCGAGGAGAGGTTAAAAAAGGTCTTAACAGAAGTCCAACAAGCAGAGGGCAAGGTTATTCTGTTTATCGACGAACTTCATATCCTGCTAGGACTAGGCAAGGCTGAGGGCTCCATCGACGCATCGAACCTTCTCAAGCCCGCTCTCTCTCGTGGCGAGCTTCAGTGTTGCGGCGCCACTACACTAAACGAATATCGGCAGATCGAAAAGGACGCGGCACTTGCGCGGCGTTTCCAGCCCATCCTTGTCAACGAACCCACCGTCCAAGATACCATCAGCATCCTTCGCGGTATCAAGGACAAGTATGAAGTACACCACGGTGTGCGGATTACCGACGGTGCTCTCGTTGCCGCTGCGACCTATTCCAACCGATACATTACCGACCGATTCCTGCCCGACAAGGCCATCGATCTCATGGACGAAGCGGCGAGCCACCTCAAGCTTCAGCACGAATCGAAACCGGAAGATATTATGGCTCTCGACCAAAAGATAATGACCATCCAGATTGAGCTGGAAAGTTTGAGAAAGGAAAAGGACATTGCGAGCCGCGAGCGAAGAGAGAAACTCGAGAGCGATTTGAAGGCACTCCAGGATGAGGTTTCGCAACTGACCGCTCAATGGGAGAAGGAAAAGAGTGAGATTGGCGCAGTGAAGAAGACTCAGGAGGAGCTTGATGCCGCCCGCATCGAGCTAGACCAGGCCCAGCGCGAGGGAAAGTTCGCCCGGGCCTCGGAGCTACGATTCGGTATTATTCCAAGCCTTGAAGCAAAGCTACCCAAAGAAGAAGAGCAAGCCGAGTCGGAGGGCAGCAGCGGTACCACGTTAATTCATGATGCGGTCACCGCCGACGATATCGCCGCCGTCGTCTCGAGGATTACGGGCATCCCTGTATCGAAACTCACATCCGGCCACATCGAGAAGCTCGTCCACATGGAGGAGATGCTCCAGCAGTCCGTCCGCGGCCAAGACGAAGCCATCAAAGCTGTGTCGAATGCCGTCCGTCTGCAGCGCGCCGGCCTAAGCGGCGACAACCGCCCTCTCGCCTCCTTCTTCTTCCTCGGACCCACGGGCGTCGGCAAGACCGAGCTCTGCAAGAAGCTCGCGGGCTTCCTCTTCTCGACTGAGTCGGCCGTCGTCCGCTTCGACATGAGCGAGTTCCAGGAAAAGCACACCATCTCGCGTCTCATCGGATCGCCCGCCGGTTACGTGGGTTACGAAGACGCCGGCCAGCTGACGGAGGCCGTGCGCCGGAAACCCTATGCCGTCCTCCTCTTCGACGAGTTCGAAAAGGCGCACCGCGACATCTCCGCGCTGCTCCTCCAGGTCCTCGACGAGGGTTACCTCACCGACGCGCAGGGCCACAAGGTCGATTTCCGAAACACCATCATCGTGCTCACTTCCAACCTCGGCGCCGATATCCTCGTCGGCGCTAACACCATCCACCCGTACAAGGAGTCTCCAGACGGCGAGGTCGCTCCCGAGGTGAAGCAGGCCGTCATGGATGTCGTGGCGGCGAACTACCCTCCCGAGTTCCTCAACCGTATCGACTCCTTCATCATCTTCAAGAGGCTCGGCGAGGCGGCCATCCGCGAGATTGCCGACATTCGTCTCCGGGAACTGCAGGCGCGTCTGGATGACCGCCGTATCGTGCTCGATGTCCCCGACGATGTGCGGGATTGGCTTGCCAAGAGGGGCTATGATCCGCGGTTCGGCGCGAGGCCGCTCAATAGGCTCATTACTAATGAGATTGGCAATGGACTTGCGGACAAGATTATTAGGGGCGAGATTCGCACGGGTGATACAGCCAGTGTGGTCATCAAGGGCGACGAGTCTGGCCTCGAGGTTGTCAAGGCTTAGGGGGGCAAATGCGAAATGATGTCGGAATTAAAAAGAAAGGAGGCAAAATATAGCATGGTCGAGGGTGGCCTGGTTTGGAGTTGGTTTGATTTAGAATAATGTAGATTAGATGATTGATATCCGTGTAAGAAACTATCCACATCGCTCATAACTAAGTTCACTGTACAATATATATATATATATATATAGGTCGGTCTACCTATCCTCGAGCCCTGAAACTTGATAAAACTCCCGAAGTTCGAGTGCCAATTTCTCGTTCAGGATAGGAATGTTCCAGTTCACGAGAGAATGTATGTCACAAAGGCATCAATAAAAAAATTCTTTTCTTTTCTCCGTCTTCGTAGCTAGGTCTAAGCTGCCTAAGGAAAACAAACAAACGCCCCGTTTTGTCCAGGTGTCTCGAAGAAAAAGGACACTTCCTTCGAACGCATGCATCAACTCCGCTCCGTGAAGCCCCCTAGGAACAGAAAAAAGGCAAACGTCAAAAATATGTCCTGTAGAATATATAAAAAAAAAAAAGGAAAAAGAAGAGCGGGACCTTAGGTCACCGTGTATCTTCCCGACGCGGGAGCTCTGCTCATAGCATCCTCCGCAGCTCTCGTGCCCTCCTCCAACAACCTCGTAAGTTCCTGAAGGGCCATGGCCACCACGAGCTCGGTGTCTCCCTCGACGAGAATGTACAGCTTCGGGTCGGCGCCGGAAGGTGGCTCCTTGCCCGCGGGGTAAAAGGTTCCCTTGGTGGTGATGGACGTCCCAGTGGCCTCGAGGATCTTGGCGACGTTGGTGCGGTTGGTGACAGCCCAGCGAGCCTTTTGAGGGAAGTCGTTGATCTCGAGGGTCGCGTGGAAGGCGCCGGCATCGGGGCCCTTGTTGTCGATGGGCTGGCCCGTGCGGAGCTGGCCGGCCTTGCCAAGACGGGTATTGATGGCGCTGACGGCGGAGGAGACCTTGTCGAGGGGATCCTTGGACGTCGAGGCATCTTTGGCAGCTGCCTTCGCCTCGGCCTGCGCCTTGGCGGCGTCGCGGGAGACGATGGCCGACACGGCCGCCTTGATCGAGACGCCCGCCTTGGACTTGTCTTCCTCGGTGGGCTTTTTGCTGTCCTCCTTGAACTCTTCTTCTTCACCCTCCGCCTTGTGGGTCTTCCGCTCACGCAAGCGCGCCGCTTCCCGTTCTTGGTCGAGCCTGTCGAGACCCTTGCCTCCGAAACCAGAAGATTCCTTGGCCTTGCCAGACTTCACCTTTTCACGATAGGCCGTGCGAAGCTCCTTGATGCGATCCGGCACGGGTTGACCACTCTGCTCAAGAGCCTTGGCGATGCACGCGGCACAGTTTTCCTGCTCTTCAGTCACAAAAGTGACGGCGGTTCCCTTGTTTCCAGCGCGGCCCGTTCGGCCAGCCCGGTGCACGTAATCCTCCAAGTGATTAGGAGCGTCATAATTGACAACCAGCTTCAATTGCTTGACGTCAAGTCCCCGAGCAGCAACGGACGTCGCAATCAAAATGGGCACGATACCCTTCTTGAAATCAGAAATGGTGGAATCTCTGTCGACTTGATCCTTGCCGCCGTGGATCGACATGCAAGGGTAGCCCTTGATCATGAGCTCCTTGAGCAGATCGTCTGCCTTTTCTTGGCGCTCCACAAAGATCAGCGTTCTTGCATCCTCATCCTCCTCATACAACTCGCCAAGCAACTCAAGCAGCCGAAGGAACTTCGACTTCTCTTCCCTGACTTCAACGAGCTGCGTGATCTCGGGTGCGACAACACTCCTGCCGCCCACCGTAATCTCCACGGCGTTCTTCAGAACCTTCTTAGTCAGAGCATCGATGATGCGAGGCATGGTCGCGGAGAAGAGAATTGTCTGCTTATCCGGTCGCATGTTAGCGAAGATCTTCATGACTTGCGGTTCGAAGCCCATGTCGAACATTCGGTCGGCCTCATCAAGAACGACGTAGGTGACTCGTTTTAGGTTTGTCACTCGACCTTGGTTCGCTGCGAGTAAGTCAATCATGCGGCCAGGGGTGCAGACCACGATTTCGGCGCCGCGCTTCAGCTCCGAAATCTGCTCGCTAATGGGAGCACCTCCATAGGCGCATACTGACCGCAGACCCATCGTCTTTAGGAAGGCCTTGCAGTCGCGGTGGATTTGTACAGCCAGCTCTCTCGTCGGGGTCATGATGAGACCAATAGGCCCCTCGTTATCCTTGAGCGGGGACTGGTCCTTGATGTGTCGAAACATGGGCAGCAGAAACGCAATAGTTTTACCAGACCCGGTCTTCGCCACTCCGACCACGTCGCGGCCCGACATAATGACAGGCAAAGCCTGCATCTGGATAGGGGTGGGCTTCTCGTAGCCCAAGGTTTCAATAACATCCAAGGTTTGGCGAGTCAACCCGCACTGCGCCCATTTCTGGACGGGCTTGGGGACATCCTTGCCAGAGACCTTGATGCCATCCAGCTCCAACCGCAACTCGGTAGCCTCGGCTTCCGTCAAGGCGCTCAGCTCGGCGGGCTCGACCCAGAAGTTCTTCCTGATGGGCTCGAGATCTAACTTGCTGTAATCGATCGTTGGCAAGTCCTTGTTTTTCCGGCGCTTGATGGGTTGTTGCGCAGCTGCGAGAGCACTGGCATCCGCCTTATCTCTAAAGGCAAAGTCATCGTCACTAAAGTAAGCTTCGGGCTCGGGAGCCTTTTTCGTTGTGGCTGTCCTACCCGGCGCCCTCTTCTTAGTCTGGGTTTGCAAGTCCGCCATGAATGCATCGAGGGGGTCGACTTCTTCCTCTTCCTCCTCTTCCTCTGCAGCCTCCTCATCAACTTGCATCGCATCAGGTGCTGCCTGTGGCGCGGGTGCTGCAGGCTCGCCATTTTCCTCGGCTAGTTCTGCGGCGGTCGTACCGTTGGTCTGTGGCGCAGCAGGGCCGTCCACCATCACAGTGTCTCCCAACTCCTCGGCAGATTGGTTGTTTTCCTGCTGCATACGCTTCTCATGCGCAGCACGTACAGCGGCAGCCTCTTCTTCTTCAGTAGCGACGACGTCATCAGCATCCGACTCTCCATCATCTTGGTCAGCGTATGGGGTGTCATCAGCCTCAATAGGAAGCGAGGGCAACTTGACTAATTTTCTCTTGGACGCAACTTCTTCATCAAGGTCAATCTTGCGCTTGTTGGCGAGCTTGTCACCTTGCTTCTGGAAACCGAAACTGTTCATGTTTCCATGGTTCGCCCGGAAGTCGGCAAGCTTCTTAGCGGGCTGGACCGAGAGAGGCTTGGCCGCACCGTTGGGGCCGGGAATCGAGCCTAGGACGGATCCGGTTGCCGGTTTCAATGCAGTAGCGGATGGGGGTTTCTTCGCAATAATGGCTTTAGGCTCGAATTTTCCTGTGAACGACGTAGCGGGTGACGCATCTGCTGGAACAGACGGTTGCCTTGCGGCAGACGATGCAGAAGCGGGAGACTCAACAACAGGTGAGGCGGCGGCAGAGGGCCGGTTAGCCTTTTCGTCCATTTCAGCGAGCAGTTTCCTCGTCTGGAGAGGGTTGGCGTCGTTCTCTTTGGCAGCCTTGCTTTCCTTCTTCTTCTTCCAGGCCTCAATCCTGGCGAGCCTCTCGGCCTTCTTGTCAGCCTCGGATTGCGGTTGTGCGGACTTAGCCTTGGCAGTCTGCGACGACGAGCGCGAGTAGTTAGCACATTGCATGACGATGGATGATGGTGAGGTTGATGCCGATGATGGCGCCTTGGTGCAGGGGTATGAACGTACATCGTTGGCAGTCGAAGAAGGGCTCATGCTACTATCTTTTGAGGGCTGGGCCCGCTGACGACTGTCATCATGCCTGCTGCGAGGCCGGGAGTCAGGTGTGCCATCTCGACGGCTACGAGTACGGTCTCTGGAGTCGTCTCGCCTACCACGATAATCTCTATCATCGCGACGGCGCCTGTCAGGCGAGCGGTCGGCGTATCGGTCGCGCGATGATCTTCGGCGGTCTCTCCGGTTTCCTCTATATGCGTCGTCATCTCGGCGGTCTACCGATCGGTCTCTGCGTCGGTACGAATCATCGCGATCGCGATCGCGGTCCCGTCTGTCGCGATACCGGCGCTGCAGATAATGGTTAGTTGATGATGATGATGATGACGCCGCCGCGTCATCGGCGGTCCTGCGATGGATTTGTCGTCTTACATCTCCAGGGCTGCGCGACCGGGCGCGATAGCCCCTACCGTCATCACGGCGATCCCTGTCGCGTCGATCGTCATCTTTCCGGTGGTGTCTTCCTGGCGATGGTGAGCGGGTGTCTCTAAGACGAGCCATGGTTATCCCAAATGTAGAGGTTTTTTTTTTAAATTTTTTTCGCCCCCCTCAGGACTACTTGTGGCTCGTCGGCTGAGATCTGTGTCAAAAGTCCGTACTTTTTTGATGATATGTCCCTTTTTGTTATCTTCAGGTTGTATTATCGATACCGGCATCCATTCGAGGGATATAACAATGTCAACGAAGGCGGCGGATGGCGGGGTGGATATCAAGAGCGATGGATGCCTTGAGGCGGACTCGGTACGACGAGACGAGGCTTGTGAGACGAGGCTTGTGAAGTGCTCCGTGTGAGTTTGATATACTTTTGTTAAATGGGCTTGATTGGAGGTTGTGTTAGTAAGCCGACGTTTTGCCGAAACCCCCACATTTGACTGTACCGAAGTCACTTTCCTTGCTCCAAGCTTCGCGATCATCTCAAACTGGACATTCGGACTAGGCTGAACGATCTCAGTGTATAAATTTGACTCTACTCAAGCCAAACGGTGGTGATTTTTAGCATCAATACGCACTTCTAGTTGTTGGGAGAGAATTATATATAATTCGTTCTGGCTTAATTGACCAATTTCCCTGACAGATAGATCCCCGATTACCGTCATGGCCGGGCTTGTTAGTTATGAGAGCAGTAGTGAGGAGGAGGATATCCAACTGCAGCCTCCTGCACCTCAAGAGGTAAGACATCATTTGCAAGCCCCCTCGACTTATATCATCGTAAACTGACATCGCCTTTCCAGAATAAATCCAGGCCATCATCAAAACCTGCAGATGAAAAGCTACCAGAGCCCCAAGTACCCCCAACAGGGCCACTATCTCCAGCAACACCATCACCATCAACACCAACGCCTTTCGTCGGTCCCATGCTTGGGCCCAGCGAGCCAGCGATAGCGGACCTCCCGGAGCCAGATCAAGAACTAGATCTCCCCATCCCACCAGGCTCCCCTTACACCTCCACCCGCGCCCTCCTCCGCGATCTCACCCTCCCCAGCCATCCCAACCTAGACCTCCCACCCTCACCACCAGGCTCCCCTCCTCCCGCCCTCACCAAAAAAGTCACCAACTTCCTCGAACTCAAAGACAAAGGCATCCACTTCAACGCCAAGCTCGAATCCTCCCCAGCCCTGCGCAACCCGGCCCTCATGGACAAGCTCCTCAAATTCACGGGTCTCGACGACGACCCGACGGCGCAGTACGCCACGACACTACCCAAGGATCTCTGGGATCCCGGAGCGTTTCCGGATTGGGCTCATCGCCAGGGGTTGAGGGCGGCTCAGGAGAGGCTGAGGAAGGAGAGGGAGGTCGAGAGAGCCGCGACAGGGAGGGTGGAGTTTGTGCCTGCTTCTGGTTCTGGTGGTGGGGTGGGGGTCGTATCCGCCAAGTCGGGGCCGGGGGGACTGTCGAAGCGGAGAAGGATGGAGTAGATAACACCACCCCCCATGTTGGGAGCTCGTTCGTCCTCGGTAGCATATGATCGTGGACCTCTTGAAAAATCTTCCCCACGGGGTAGATCCTTATTACACTGCCATCCGGGTGTTTCACCTACTCCGTAGTTTGATGCGGGGGACGGTTTATTCCGGGTTTCCTTTCACGAAAATAAGAGGGCATTGGTTTTGTAGATACCCCAGTGTAACTCGGAGTTGGATCTTCGTGTTCACGTTGCGGATTCCTCGGTAGAGGTTGCGATTTTGCAGGTGAAAATATTGCACCATCCTGGGCAACTTTGTATCCATCGATTGATCTCCATTAGGTATGCAGTTAACTGGTATCATGAGAGCTGGTTGCTAACTGCTAACTGGATATCCCCATTCCATTCCATTCCGTATATCCACCCCGACTCAGAAACTCCCGAGAGGTATCAAGTTCCATTCGGGTTGGAAAAAGCTCATACAGCACAATTCATCTCGACCCAAGCGAGATTTCATAGATAAACATGGAAAGAAAAAAAATTACTTTCCCCATACATCTTCCTCATCAGACCTAATCCAAATTGGCAACCCCCTCGCTAAAACCCAACAAAAAGTGGTCATCTACTCCTTCTTACTACTAACGTTAAGACATTTCAGGTCCTTAAGACCAGCGTCAGCAAAGGCTTGCTTGAGGGGAATATCAACCTCCTGAGTGAGGGCCCTAAGGGCGCCGGCGAAGTAGGGGATCTCCTCGCCGTCGCGGGTGACGTCCTTACCCTTCATGCTGAAGGGGATAACGCCGTCAACACAGTGGGGCTGGGTGGTCATGGCATTGAGGACGGGGGCCTGATCGATGTCTGCGTAGATGGAGACGGTGGTGACGCCGGGGGAGAGGATGAGGTTGTCCATGTAGACGGTGCCAATATCCTCGCCATTGTACATGTTGACGAAGGTGGCATTGCCCTAGATTTGTCGTTAGAGACTAGTTTTTTTTTTTTTTTTTTTTTTTTTTTTTTTTTCTTCTTTTTTTTTTTTGCGAGAACAAATATAAAGAAAAATGTGGTAAAGGGAACGTACGATGTCGATGGTGAGGATGGAGGCATTGGGAACGTCGACGACACCCTTGTAGTTCTTCGTTTTCACCATAGGGTCCACCTGTGATTCGTCTTCGTGGACCTTGAGACCCTTGAAGCCGTTGATGCCCTTGAGCTCAACAGTCTTCTTAAAAGTAACGCCAAACTTCTTCGAAATACCCTTAACCTTGACGTGGGTATCGCCCTCGATAGTCAACCGAAGAGTCTCGTTTAGGAGCAACCAGGTGTTGAAAGTAGTGTACGCATCCATGTTAGTGACCTCGACGAGCTGGTCGACCTTGACGATCTGCTCCTTCTCCGAAGTGGTCTCGGGGAAGTTGACGCTGGCGAAGGGCGTATGGGGCTCGAGGTCCTCGAGGTACATGACGCCGGTGAAAGGGGAAATGGTGGCGTGGGTCTTGCCGTCGGTGCGGATGGTGGAGTTGACGGCCATGTTGTAGGAGTTGGGCTTGGTTTGGGAGATGACGATGGAGTCAAGTGTGAGCTCGGCATCGTCAAGCTTGTTCTGGGCGATGTTGGGAACACCGACAAAGATGCTGCAGGTGGGAAGCAGCTCATGTTAGTGAGGGAGTCACTCATGGTAGAGAACAACGAAGATCTTGGAAGATTGGCAAAGGAAGTTGCAAAGGTGCGATGTTTTCACGAAATACCACTTCGTGCAATGCCAATTGCCGTGTTAGACCGCGGGGGAGAAGAGCAGTTGCACACTTACATGAGACAGACAATCAAGATGATTGCGGCGATGGTGCCAATCAAGTACACCCACCAGAAGCGCTTGCAGTGGTTGACGCAACCGCGCTTCTTAGCGGCGGGAGCAACGAACTCCGTCTCATTCTTGATGTCCTTGTCGCTCGCCATGGTTGTCGTTTGTGATTGCTTGCGGGATCGACGAGGGGAAAGACTCGATTCGAGTTCGCGACTATATACAGGGGGCGCGGAACGGGGATCGGCGAAGGAGATGAGAGGGAAGGGAGGAAGGTAGGTTACCAAAGAGACGGGGCAAGATGGGTCCTACTTATACTTCGTATAAGGGCGGAAACGAGAGACGACGAAGTAATAGATGAGAGGTGGGGAATGGAGAGGTGTCGACGGGAGGATGGGGCAAGGGTTCACGAACAAAGTTCTCGCCAGGATAGGGTGGGACTGGAAGTGAGACTAGGGAGGCCACTGGGGACGGGTGGGTGCGCTTGATCTATATATATTTACAGTTGTACTTTTAGATCTCGATTCTAGGAAGTAGTGACGGGTAACACAGGGATAGTCTGGTTCAATGGTGAAGCAAAAGCACATGAGAATGAAGAAGGGGTCCCGAACGACTAACTCGGACCAAGCAGCGCGCCAGCAACAATGTGGCGATGGGGAGTGGGAATGGGAAACGGGAGTGTACGGAGAACATCGTACAAATCATGATGAGCCCGGCCAGCCACGGTGGAAGAACGAGCATTGAAGGGGGAAGGGGGGTTCAAGAACACCAATCGCGTCCTCGTAGCACGAAGCAGGACGATGCATGTATCAATGTTGCAGTGGATAGGCCTGGGGATGCTAGGCAAGGGGAGGGGAGGCAATGTAACAAGAGGACGGATCAATAGGTTGGCAACCGCAATCCCCGAGACACCAGACTGGTCAACAAACATCACCAGTTGGCACACTTATACAATGACAAGACACTAACTCAGCACCTTCGCCTTATTCGAACCCGGAGGATCGAGATTGGTGGCACCCGCGATCAGAATTGTTCCCCAGTAACACTCAAGTAGGATCCTATGAGAATCCCTCTATCGAATTTGACTGTGGTGTCTTCGAAGCTCGCGGTTCACTGCTCAATCCAAATCTGGTAGACATCTCCGGGAGTAGCGTCAAATTGGCTTTCCTGGAGACCCCACAGATTTCAACAAGCAAACCCCAAGAAAAGGCACCGGATCTTTTGCCATGGGTTTTCTCCCCTAGTGGGTGGTGCGGGTGGTACAAGAAAGGACCAAGCTCATTAGTGTGGTAGCCTCATCCCCAGCTTTTTCACTCCGCATGGAGCGTGGAGCGGAACCAACAGCAGAGCCAGCAAGACACACTGATCTTGAAATCTTGGCACCTGAGTGTGCTGGAACTCCAACTCCATTGCACGTTTGGCGTACCGCCAAGGTACCATGCGCCAGACGCAAGCCCAGAAACGAGTGGGACGATAATACTTCGTACGGCGCAGTTGGTCGGTAGTGAGGGCCCGGAGGGGAAATTGAGCGAGATCGAGAGAAAAAAACACGATGCTGGTGAGGCGAGTTGGTCTCGACTAGGACTAGCTAGAACCCGGGCCAAGAGGAGGTGGTTGCTGGTCCAAACTGCAGTGGGGAGAGGAGGTTGTGGATGGTGTTCCCCATATTACTTGGCAGAACTTGGCAGTATGGGAGCCGATCCGGAATGGCGTCTAGCTTTTTGCACCGCAGGAGGAGCAAGAAATCAGCAAGGATTAACACGCACAGATCAGCGAAAAAGTTGACTAGGTTGGCCTGGTGCCGACCAGGGTGGTGGCACACGACAAGAAGACAGAGGGGAGGAATTGCCAAATTGGGAGGCACCCCGAGCATCTCCGCAAGACTCGGACGAGAGGGCGAGCCGGGGTTGAAGAGGCGGGGTGTGTGTGGCGTTGCCCTTCCCTCCTTGCATTACACTACACTACGCTACCTTTGTACACTAGTGTACCATTGAGAGAGATTACTATTATTATTATTACTCCGGAGGAAGATTGCAGTCCTGACGCAGAGGGTAACGGTGCAGCTGGCCTGGGCTGGGTTGATGGGTTGATACCAGCAAAGTACAAGCCGCATCGGGATAAGCTGGCACCATAGCGCGGACCGAGAAACTCCCCGCCGCAGTGCAAAAATGTACATAGCAGAGTAATCTATCGACGGCCAGCACCGCTTCATGCCACTAATACCCTCCTGGTAATAGAAACGATAGGGAACAAACATTCAAATGGAGACTGGATCGAAGTAGCCCGGTAACAATCTGGCACTAATACCCAATGCGCCATGGAGTGTACGAGGTACGAAGATACTTGTCTGATGCAGACGGACAAAGTACACACCAGGTACCGCTGCTCTTCGCTCTTCTCGGGAAGGAATTGGCTTGGGTTGGCTTTCTGCAGCTGATCGATGGATCAATCCTCGGCTCTTGAGCTTTAGCGCATGTGAAAGTGTCCTCCCAAGAATGTGGAAGGCGCATTCGACATCGAAAATGCAGCTTATTCTGATTTCGTCTCAACTTTCGCGGTCAAGATCTTCCAGAAAACCAAGAGAAAATAGCCACACTCTGAGATATCTACACTTGCACCTACACTAGTAACCCAGCAATTTTACCAGCCCGTTAGAGCAGCAGAACCCCAGATTAAACCTTAAAAACTCTTTCGCCAATTGTGCTCCCCAGGTAATCTACGAATACGCATCCGTGGTCCACTGGATCACTAGGGCTCCCCAGATGTCAGGTCATCTGGTGGAGAGAGCTTTACGGAGATTTCGAATTTCCTCCATCTGTTTGGCTATTCGAGACCCACGATGTCGAGCAAAAGGCCCCTCCATTTTCCGTGCCCCAACGTCCCGGTGGCAAGAGGCACGACTCTCCGGGGCATCCATTACCAAGACCCAGCCAGGTCCATGGCCCGTTGCCTCTTCTCCACCACCCCCCGTTCCTAGTCTGCCCAGTCCCCCATGGTCACCCTCCCGCAATTTTGATTTCCCACTGACGTCCTATGAGGGCTCGTACCTCGCCAATCTCCGTTTCATTGCAAATGTACGACCGACTGCGAGATCCACAAAGCGACATTGAGAGAAGGGATTTCCTGGCCAAACTGGGCAATATTGCCGGCATGAACACGGCATCTCTCGGAGCTTTGTTCCAAACTTACAAATTTCTGCTTTGACCCTTGAATCAGTGAATTAATCTCCATTTCGCTTGTTATAAGGCGAAGCAATTCTGTTCGGCGAGATATGTTTGATGCCAGCCAGCCATACCAAAGATTAAGATATCTATCACTTGAGGAAAAAAGAAGCGGAAAAAAATCCTTAAAAGAGAAGTGAGAAAAGAGGAACAGACAATGCAAAAGGATACCACCATTGATAGCCGAGCTGAGACATGCAGACTGGCAACTTGGACGCCCAAAAGAAAAGCAAGCTCGCCGTGCTCCCCGAACGGCCCAACCAATAATTAGTGTAATGCTTTGAGCCGCTTTTGTCAGTAGAAACTAAGTTCCTGTCATGTCGTTGATTGAAAACGAAGTTCAATTGTCGCCATGAGCACTTCGAAATCATTAATCATTCTCCATTCTACAAAGTACCTGTAGTTCTGGTTACACTTCCCAAACATCATATTCAGGAGCTCAAGTCTGGCTGTAGACTATGACCCCCTCTCATCTCGGACACATCGCCATCGCTCGTCTCACTTTGATTAACACCAACATAAAAACGGTCTTGCTCTTAGCTCTACTTGTACGGGGAGAACCTAAAATACCAACAGTCAATAGTTTCAAGTGCTCCGAGAGGAATCAAACAACTAGTCTGTTTGTGTCAGTCCATTGCCCAGTCCATCAGCCCATCACCGTTGCTGCCTCACCGAAACCTGGAGGCACGCGACACACAATAGAACATTTGGAGTATCAAGAGAGTCTTGGCCCTATCAACGACCACACGGGCATGCCCGCTCCACACCCACTTTGTGCATTGCGGCCAATTGATTCCTCTTACCTCTACTTCGCTGGTCCAACGCCTATAGCTCCCATTTTGGTGTCCACCACTTTCCTTCTCTTTTCTTTTTCTTTTTCCTTGGCCCACCAACACCCAAAAAGCTTCTCACGAATAATCGAGACACAATATTCAAAGTAACCAATATCTAAAGTGCTATCGCGGCGTGCCCGAGTGTGGCTTGGAACACCGTCACCTGAATCCTCCCATTGGTTTGGCGCGTACATTAGCTCTAACCGGGACACGGAAGAAAAGTCCTACAGATTCCACGGCCACATCCAGACTTGGAACCTGAGGGCTAGGGAGTAATTGTCGTCAGCGGCTTGGTTTCCCACAATCTTCTCGGCGAGAAAGTGAGAATATCCAATTATGGAAGGCGCCACTACTACTCAACTATAACGCCATATATCGGATAGTATAAACAAGTATCCTCAGGAACCAAATTCTTGTCAAAGATCGCCCACTCCCATCCCTTTCTACATTGATGGTGGACATGCCCCACAACTTAGAGCTTCGCTGTCGGCGCCGTCCACAGCCCAGCGATATCGAGGCCGCTTGGCCCATCATAGATATCCCTCTCGACCATGCGAGTGTTAACCTAAGAAGAAAGAAACTGTTAAAACATGACCGCGAGACTATAGGCTAGGATCGCCACTTACAAAGTGAGGGCCGAGTTCGTGAACCGAGTTGGCCCCAAGGAGCCGTACGCAAGTCTCCGTCTCTGCTTTCAAGACTACGTTCATTTCTCCGTTAGTATATTGCGGCACGTCTCCACAAGGAAACTTCAAGCCCAACTTACTCTCAAACGTCCGTTCAACGCCGGCCTGGCCACCGGCACCGAGCCCAAATAGGGCTGCCCGTCCGATACCCACGGCTCTAGCCCCGAGGCACAACGCCTTCACAACATCGGTGCCGCGCTTAATGCCGCCATCGACCCACAACTCGATCTTCTTAGACACCTCGGGACAGTATTTCCGAATCTCAAGTAGCGTATGGATCGCTGGTGGCGCCGTGTCGAGGGCTCGGCCGCCGTGGTTGGATAGTATGACGGCGCGGACCTGAGGCGCGTACTGCGCCGCGAGGTAAGCATCCTCATGCGTCTGCACGCCCTTGAGAACAATGGCCAGATCGGTATTCTTGGCGAGCCACTGCAGCGTGGTCTTCCACGTAAGATCGGCAGCCGTGCCCCAAAAGAGCTGCTGCCCCACTCCACCTCCGCCGGGCTTCTTATCCGAATCCCCCTTCCCGTCAACGCTCACTTCGAAAGCATTCTCGAACTGCATCTTCTCGTCGTGCTCGCGCTTCCCGGGAACCGGAGCATCGAGCGTCAAGCAGATGAACTTGAACCGGTCGCGCATCTTGTGGATCCGTTCCAGCATGGCGATGCTCCTGCTGCGCTCCTTTTGCACGTACAACTGCCATCCGAAGATTTGACCGGGGGCCGCGTTCTCGGCAATCTGCTCCGGCGTCATGGAGGCGTTGTTGGAGATGATCTGCAACGCGCCAAACTTGGCCGCCGCCTTCGCGATGCCGTGTTCTCCGTCCGGATGGGCGAGGCGAGCCATGGCCGCGGGGGCGATGAAGATGGGGAGGCCGACCTTGTGGCCGAGGAGCGTCGTGGAGAGATCACAGTCTATGCAGTCGATGAAAATGCGGGGACGGAGGAGGATCTGGCGGTAGACGTGGTTGTTGAAGCTCTTGGACCAAAGGTCGTCGCCGGCGGAGTAGTAGTAGGACCATGCCCGTTTTGAAATCTTCTTGGTAGCCAAAGCCTCGATCTCGCCGAGGTTGAGCAGAGACTCCAGGGGAGGGTCTCTTTCTGTCAAGTTGGCCTGCTTCTTATGCTCCTCGTTATCGGAGTCGTGCTTGGGCAACGCCGTGGCATCGATCTTGCCGACCTTTACGACGTTGCCCGTGTCGTCATCCAGAGTCCCGGGCGGGTGAATTGGGTCAAACTCTTCGGTTGCGTCCTTACCAGCAAGGCGCAGGATGGCCCTAGAGCCGCCAGGATGCTCGCTAAGGAAGTTGGTCACATCATACACCGTGCCATATAGGGTAACCCAACAGCTCTCTTGGGTGTTGTGCTTGGCAACTTGAGTTTGCACACTACATGTTAGCAAAGGGGTGCACTCGGGTTTATGTCACGAGTCGTGGCGGACAAAGTGGGAACGCAGTATATGAAGTAATATATACCTTCGCCTGGGCTTAGAATCTTTTCGCTCTCTCCCATCTTATCAAGAGGTTCCCAGTACCCCAGTACCACTAGAAGTTGGCTGTGGGGGCGATAGAACGGGTTCTGTTTAGAAGAGACGGGGGCGCTGTCTGTCCCTGCCTCACTACCTAGGCCCAAGTTACCAGCAATACAGTGAGTGATATTGGCAAGTAGAAGCGTGTGCCGTGTCAGACGATTGGCAGGACGTGTGGGTTTCTGGGGTGCTATTGTGGAATCAATGGCTGTTCGCTTCGTAGCCTCAAGGTGGATGTGTTTGGGCCTGAGAACAATGATTCGCCGCCGGTTGGGGGGCTTTTGGGGGTATAAGCCGACTTCGGAGCGCTGAAAAGCCGCTGCGTGCAACCCCCAAGAATCCGTGTTTCGCTGGATTACATCCGACAGCCAGCGGAGTCGGTGATTATCGGTTTTTGGGATAGAGGAGCCAATTCCTCCAATTCGATCCGTTCCCGCGGAGATGGTTGATATCTCTACAATTTCCGATGCCCGAAAAGCCGACAATATTAATAATTCTCTGTGTTGTCGAACTACCGGAAATCGGTTGAGCAGTTGGAATGCAAAATCACTGGACGGAGATGTGTACCACGTGTCGTCGTTGAACTCATCTTGCCTCTAATAGCCGAGACGACGCGACGTCATTCTAAACTCCGCCAGCTCCGAACCTCGAAAAATCTCCCAAACCCAACAGAGTCACAATTCTAAACTCGAAAAATAAAAAAAGCGACTAAAAAACCCCGACGCCTCAAACGACTCACAATAACGTCTCGTCAACATCAATCTCGATCCACAGCTCGATAGCCTTTTAAAAAGAAAGAAAAAAACAAAACAAACCAACCATTCCCAAATGTTACCAGCCAGTCGCTCCGCAGCGCGGGTCTGCTCGCGCAGCTGCACCGCCGCTCCGGCTTGGACAGCCATTCTCGCAACTCACACAGCTCCCTCCTTACAAGCCCGATCAAGCGAGCTTCCTCGAAACCCACAAACACGGACGCGCCGCCGCTGGCTCTCAACATCTAACCGTCTTCTCCTCCCTCCGGCCGCGAACCCCTCTCCCACCACCTCCCAACCCGATGCTAGTTCGTCCACATCCTCCACAACGACGACAACCGCACCAACAACGTACTACGACCTCTTCCCCGAATCGCTTCCCCAAGGGCCCCCTCCCCGCGGTTCTTTCCCCATCGACATCCGCGCCCTACGCCGCGAATTCCTCCAGCTCCAAGCCCGCGCACACCCCGACCTGCACGCTGCGAAGCACAAGACCCGCGCGCAAGCCACCTCGGCGCACCTCAACGAAGCCTTCCGCACGTTGACGAACCCGCTTCTAAGGGCGCAGTACCTCCTCTCGCTGAGGGGGATCGACGTGGCGTCGGACGAGGCGGCCAAGGTGGCGGATATGGACCTCCTTCACGACGTGATGGAGGCGAGGGAGGAGATTGAGGAGGCGCACAAGGAGGAGGAGCTAGAAGGGGTTAGGAGGGTGAATGACGAAAGGATAGCGCTGAGCGAGGAGGTGTTGGAGAGGGCGTTTGCTGAGGATGATTTGGAGGCGGCGAGGGGGGAGGCGGTGAGGTTGCGGTATTGGGTGAATATTAAGCAGTGTTTGGACGATTGGGAGCCTGGGAAGAGGGTGGAACTTCAACACTGATTGCGTTTCGTTGGATGTTGGGGGGTCTACGATGAGGTATCATGGTTGTGGGGTCTAGGTAATGGCATCTGTCTACTACTTTTGCATGGTGGGAATGTGCTTGGATACGTGTATGATAATAGGCGGATTTCACATATTGATATTTGACGCTGGCTAGGGAGGCCAGCGACAGTGGGCTTGATGATGATGTATCACAGCGGCATTACACAAAAGTTAGGAGGTTGATTTGAGAATAGGTGTGTATAGTACTGACGTTGAAACAAGGCTCGAGCTGAAGGGTCATGTTCAGTGTTTGTTGTTCCCATGTGGTGCGGTTCACATGATGAAGCTACGAGTGTCTGAGATCAACCTCAGCGTGATTAGTACCACGCCTGCAAGCAATAAATCAAGGCAAGCATCGAAGAAAACTCTCGGCGTTCCTTAGAACAAAAAACGACCGTGTACTGGTTCTCAGAAGATCAGAAGCCAAAACAAGGCTCTTGTTAAACCCTATGATCTAGGTTAGGGATGTATGTTTTCCAACATGACTGCGACACGCATTGCTCGACAGGACCAACCCTTGCATCATTCGAAAACTCCTGAAGCAACAGAAACTCATAAAGAAGGCAGCGGACCCGTCGTGTCCAGACAGAATAATGTTTGTCGGGTAGAGAGCCCCAGAGGGATCTGGGACAGCTTCTTCTTGTTATCCTACGAAGTCATTGCGGGACCGTATGGTATCAAACGTTCTAGTTACTACAGTAGCTTCATATCAAATCCGATTGATCCACTGGCGGATTGCGGCGTTGTCATTTGCGCTACATAGGCCACATCAGGCATCCGCAGACGCCTCTATCACATTACAATCACTGGACAGCGCAGCACGGTGTACGAAGGTATCTTCCTGATCCTTCAGTCCCAAGCGATAGGCAGCAGCAGCTCGCTCTGAGTGCTGTCAAAGTGAAGTGTTTGTCAGCACTGTGAGGCCGGGAAGGTGCCAAGCTGTTCCTCTATCCTGGGATGTTATTCCTGATGCCTATTCAAACTTCCCTTCAGCAACATTGAGAGCTTTACGTTACAGGGGCCACCTGGTCAAGCTCACTTAACCCCACGTCTACCCTCTCTAGCCCAGCCTACCGCCCATCCATCCCACTCCCACCGCCATTACCCCAACACGACATTACCCCCGCGCTCTCGCCAACCAACATCCCCACCCCCCGCGACTCCAAATCCGTTACCGATTCACCATCACCAAGCCCGCCCCACCAAACCACCAAATGTCCGGCATCAAGATCCTCTGCTTCGGCGACTCTCTCACATCGGGCTGGTTCAACTTCGGTCTTGGCGAGCACCCTTACGCCGAAACCCTCGCCGAACGTCTCCGGGCCGCCTTTCCCTTCCCCGTCTCCGTCAAGGTGTCGGGCGCGCCCGGGGATCTCGTTTGTACGGAGCGGTGGGTGGACCGGGCGAAGGCTGAGCGTCAGTTTGATATTCCTATTATTTTTTTTCTCCCGTCATCGAGACATGATTATCTGTTACATATTTTGGGCTTCAAGATGATTAGTGTACTAACCCGTCTTTTACATACAGTCGAGAAAGACAAGTACACATGGGCAATCGTCCTCGGCGGCACAAAGTATGTCACGACCCACCTCCCTTCTCCTCCGTCTCCTAGCTCCTCGTCCAAAAGCGCATATCCTTACTAACATCGAACAAGTGACATCGCGTTCCGCATCCCCGCCGACCAAATCTTCGAATGTCTCTCCGAAACGTGGGACATTGCCCTCTGCAAAGGCACCAAAGTCCTTGCCCTGACCGTACCCGAGTGCCGGTCCAAGATGCAGTTCGCTACGGACACGCGGAACGAAGTCAACGACCTCATCCGAAAGCACAAGGAGCACAACTTGTACGCTGTTACCCATCAACCAGCCCTCTCTTTTTTATTATTATTTATTTTCCTTTTTGACGGAGGAAGTAACTAACAGACAGCATATAGTCACGCCTTCGACCTCCATGCCCATCTCCCCTACCACGTCCTCACGCGCGAGCAAAGGCAAAAGTACTGGGACGACGGCCTCCACCTCACCGAGGAGGGCTACAACTGGATGGGAGAACACATCGCCGACGCCCTCATCAAGATCATCCAGGCCGAGGTGGTGCCTAAACCCGCCGCGGTGGCCAAGCCTGAGAGGAGGAAGAAGAAGCCGAAGGTGTACGGCGACGAGGCGAGCGTCGAGGAGGAGGAGGGAGATCCGAAGAGGTTGAGTAAGGGGTATGTCGTGGTGCGTAAACGGGACTTGGAGTAATGGACGTGATGGTACTTTTGGGTTAAGGGTTTTACTTCGATTTCGCATAGAAGGAGGAGGAAAGTGGTGCTCCATACTTGTTTCTAGAGGAGAGACTAGACACTGAGTCGCATGTTTGTCGTTCTACGGTCTGCTTATGGGTTTGGTTTGTTCTTTTGGGTTTCCTTTTTTTTTCATGATACTCCCAGGTGCAATCAGAATAGAAGGGATTAATCTCTTAGGCCTCGTTTACCTAGTTTGCTATGCTCAAGCCTGAACGCCAGTAGTTATGTTTTGTACATAAATCTTGATCTCCCCTTGGACTAAGAACCCGTCCAAACGTCTTTCCATACCCCGTCCCTCTATGCCCTAAGGTGGGCAGCGACAAACTCCTGCAAAATGAAATGTTAGCATCCTACATGCCCTCCCACACTCATGACGCTCGTCTCAGGGAAAAAAAAAAAAAAAAAAAAAAAGACTCACCGGATACTCAGTCTGCAGAGCATTAACAACATGCTCCACCTCCTCAGCAATACCCTGAACATTAGCATCCCACCTCCTCGTCTCCTTACCTACAAGGACATCAGCCTTCCCACTCCCCTTAACACCAGACGCCTCGCCCTTCTCAAACCAAATAACCCTATCCACCTGATCAATCCGTCCAAGAAGGCGCCCCTGCTCAATCATGCGAGCCGTAGTATCCTCAGCACCAGCGGCATCGAGCCCCAAGAGCGCACCGAGGGCATCGAAGCCGATATTCTCGTAGAGCCGCGACGCTCCGAGGAGATTGTGCTCGACGACGGCCTTGGCGAGCACGGTCGAGCCGGAGGCTGTAACGGCCAACTGATGGGGCAGCAAGCTCTTGGCGAACTTGTCGACCTCGTCCTGCCGGAGAAGCCGATCGAGGAACATCTTCTCGAGGATGCCGAACTCCTCGAGACCCGCGGACCGCTCATCTCTGTAGAGCCTCGCGAGGAGCCGACTCCTCTGGGGGCCCGCGGGGGCGAGGACGGCGCACTTGATGGCCATGCTCAGGGTGTGCAGCCTCTCCTCCTCGGCGATGGCCTTGGAGAAGCTAATGTCGTGGTACCGCTTCGAAGCGTCCAAGAAGTCCCGTTTAGCATCGCGGATCCTCGCCTGCGAGAGCTGGAAATGGAGATGCAGCTCCGGGTCGGCGACGGTGTGCATGATGTTCTTGAGCTTGTTGACGTAGGTATCCGCCGCGGGCGTATCGTCGACCTCGAGGAAGTTCCTCACAATGCGCACCCATATCCTCGCCACCTGCTCATTCGTGACCTGCCTCTGCGAAGAATCCAACGGGATCTGAGCCAGGCACCGCGCCGCGTCGATGTAATCCTCGTTGGACTCGTGCGCCGAGGCGATGAGGTCGCGGAGGGCGGCGATCTGGTCGAGGAAAGAAGAAGAGGCGCCTGTGGAGGCGATGAGCTCGAGGGCGTGGTTGCCGACTTCGATGCACAGGTCGACGTTTTTGAGGTCGCGGAGGGTGGTGACGAAGAGGTCGAGGAGGGAGCGAGTTGCCACGATGCCGAGGGAGGCGGAGATGATGGAGGTGACGATGGCGGAGAGGTCGGTGGTGGCGGTTGAGGGGGACGAGAGGTCTTTAATTTGACGGAGGATGGCTTCGTATTGCTCTGGCTTGGAGGCGTCGGGGGCGGATTGCACCTGGGCGAGGGCCGAGGCGACCTTTGGCGAGGGCGCCATTGTGAGAGGATTGTGGAAGGTAGAGGGGTGGGGGGGGAATTAGAATGGCAAACAGCCCAGCTCGAGGTTAAGAGGAAGAGGTATCGCAGAGATAGACCGGGAAATGGGGGACAGGGGAAAGGGCTGGGCTCAGTAAGACTCCCTGCCTGAAAAAGAAGGGTTGGGTTTTGGAGCTTGGGAGGATGGATTAGATCGACATTGAGTGTTTGTTGGTTGGAGTTGGAGAGGGAGCTTTGTGGAGGTGTGGGATGAATGGCGGGGTAGTTGGACCTTCCCAGCCCAGCTCGAAATTAGCGTCGTGTTGCTGCCATTAAGCCAGGCCCACCGAACACAGGAAACACAGCACGGGCGGGGCCTAAGACGAGCCTGGCCACAGGCGCCAACTTGTGATGTTGCTGCCTAAATCTCGTGGGACAGACCCTGCCTGTGCTCTGTGCTGCCTGTATTCGGAATTTCGGATTATAATCGACGTTCAGCAACATCGTCAGTTATTAATACTAGATTATTACACTTGATCTTGGAGTCTTAGCACTTATATTATATCAATCCATATATCAATTCGATGAGGGTATCTTAAATCTTGATCAATCCTAGGTATCCCAGTCATAGACGCAAACTTAGAAAAGAATAAGAACAACTCCCCAAAATTCATCGTCATTCTGCTTGCCAGACGTCCCAAAATGTGTCCAGTTTTCCCCTGTCATATCCAACTTTTCTCTTCTCTCATTTTTTTTTCTTCTTAATTTCATTCTTCTTTTTTTTTTTCCCTCCCCCTAAATGGCCCATGTCAAGATAGAAAAGTACGTACGTGGTATCAAAAAACTCCCCATATATAACCAAGAAAGCATTTTGTAGATCCTCCGACCATCCTCACGTCCAACTACCCTCAACACTCTCATAGCTCAACACCAGTCCACCGACCCCTTTCAGTGTGCCACCACCTCTCCTTATCCTTATCTTTGTCCTTCCTATCCACCGGCGCCGTCGGCATGTTCCACCGTCCACTACACATATCCGTGCCCCTCTCCCCACAATCACCCAACAAATCGCTGGCCTCGACTAACCCGCCATTCTCATCCTTGGCACCAGGGTCGGGCGTCAAGTCATACCGGATCTTACTCTCCGTCGTGCCGATGAACCCCGCAAGCCCAAACTTGTCGACGAGCATACCGTTCTCATCCACAACGTTGACATGGTACCGTGGGAGCCGCCATGCCGCCTCGAGACGCGCTTGAGCTGCCAATCGTGCCTGGTGCAGGTTCGTCGCCGGAGCGAGGATCGACGCGTCGGGTGCGAACGCGGGGCTCGTCGGCGATTTAACCCCTGCTGCTGTCGCTACTGTGGGCGAAGCTGGGACCGAGAGCGCAGACTTGCCGCTGCCGCTCATGTTTCGCGCGTGGCTGGTAATGGGCCTGAATCTGTCTCCCGGCATGTCGGCTCGGTCACGTGGTCGGCAGAGGCCCTGGAAGAGCCCTTCGGGGTCGTTAGGTGCGCGGAGGATTCGCAGGGCTGGGAAACCTTTGGCTGCGATGCTTCGGGCGAGGATCGAATCGGCGGCGTTGACGCAGTTCGTGTGGCTCGTGATGTCCCAGTGGAGTTTCCGCAGCGAGTTCGATGCGAGGTAAGGCATGAGGAGGATAAAGTTATCCTCGGGCATCAGAGGCGGGAAGGACTGCACAAAAGCGAGATTCTCCAAGCAGACGAGGTTCGAGAGGACACGGGCAAGCGCCGGCATCTCGTCGATGTTGATATGTCGGAGCACAAGCCGTTGGATCGATCGGCTGGCGGAGCGAGTCGCAAAGTTCGATAGACCGTTCGAGGTGATTCCCGACAGATACGACAGAGACAGCGTCTTCAACGCGGGGAGAGAAAGCAGGCTATCGTCCTTGAACGCAGTAAAGGGGAGGTTTGACAGGAAAAGATGCTGGAGAGACGGGAGGTAGGAAATGGCTGTTGTGATGAGGTTGTCGGGAGTCAGCGAGCCGCCAGGAAGTGTGTGAATCGTCAGTGTCGTCAGGTGGCTCCAGTTAAAATGGAGCTCCAAGAAAGCCGAGCTTTGACCTGGTAAGATGTCGTTCGGTGTGAGGAAGGGCCCTTGCTGCTGGCCCATCGGCGGACTCTTGATGAGCTGCTTGGCTCCAGAGCGAGTCTGGGGCCTCTGCATCGCCGAAACACCGTCAATCATCCAATCCATGTGCTTAAGCTTCCGACGCGTCGAGAGAGCGTGGAATAGGCGGTCAAATTGGTGCGTGTAGCGAGGATACAGCCCAACAAGACGCTCCAAGTTGGGACAAGCCATGATCACGGACGCGACTAGATCGTGGTAAGCCTCAAGGGGTGTGTCTTCGGGTACCGCGGGAACCTTGAGTGAGTGGACTATGACGGCAATATGCTGGTTTGCTCGTAGCGTTCGGCGAAGGAGAACGAGGCGGGGGTTCGCGCAGCCCTTGTAACGTTTCTTCATCGCCGCCGAGTCTGGGCCATTGAGTTGAATGTCCTCGTATCTAAATTTCTAATTAGCATTGCATGACTTAGGAAATGGAGGAAAGAGATATTGTACGGAGATGGCGCGACTTACAGCGATGTGCGGGCAAATTTAGACCACTTCCTCGACGCAAGCGAAATCGAGCAGAGATCCCTCGCCCAACACGTAGAGCAGCTCTCGGACGTCTTCTTGAGATGCAACTTCTTCAGCTCGTCAAGGATCACCTCGAGCACCTCCCCGGGAAGTGCCGCAAACAGCTCGCCAGGTTTGGATCGGTGCATCTGTGGCCTACCGCTGCTGGCAGAGGACCTTGAGTAGCCATACTCGGTCGATCGACGACTGATGAAATCCATAGATTCGAAGCTGGTGGCGCTACTCCACGACGGCGTCCTAGAGACCGACGCGAAGCTCTCACGCGACGTGCTGAAGGAACTAGATGTTGACGAGTTGGAAAGCTTCCGCGGGCGGTTGAGCATCCTCATGTCCGGGTCGGCATAGTTGATGGCCTCCATGGTGGGAGCCGGATGCCCAGTATAGGGAACGCGTGGTGCTAGTCCTCTCGCAGCGGCTCGTTCGGTCCGAAAGATGAAGTCGAGGGTCGACTGCTGCGGATGTTGTTGCGATTGCTGTTGGAGCTCTGTAGGAAACACGAACGGGCCCGCGACACCTTCTGGGACGACCGGCGGGATCAGGGGTAGATAAGGCTTGAATCGAGGTGGAGGCTTCAGGAGATTATTGTCAAATCTTCTTTCACCTCTCACCGCAGGCAAGGTCGCCGATCCTGACCTTCTGTGGATCGGAACTCGTGTTCGACTAATAAAAAGGGAGAGAAAGATATGGGGTTAGCTCTTTCTAAACTAGTATTACTTGGTAGCTTCAATCCCGGTCACACACACGGATGCAGGAACGCGAGAAAAGGTTTACGCAAAGGGGGAAAGAGAAGGGATTCACGGGAAGCGGCAGCAAAAAGAACGCGAGAAATCAGAATGGGAATGATTGGCAAGGCGCCAGAATAAGTACGACCAGGGAGGATGAACTTGTTGAGCTGGACCGGGCGTAGACTTTCATTTTAAACCGCCCATCTCATCATCGCCTCCCTCTAGGATAAGTGGAATAAGAGCTGTGTACTTCGTACTTCGGAAGACGAGCTAAACGACCTTTTTCTGCAGTAAGAAGCTCGAGAAGAGGGCTAGACCACCCACCCAGTCGAGGTGGGTTTAGTCATGGACTCTTGGCACGCCAGGCAAGCCTTGCTGCTTGGACAGGGGTAAGGTAGCGCTGACCGTTGACTGCCTGGTGAGCTGCACCATCACTGGACGGTTTGCGGCTGTGGGCAGTGTGGTGTGAGCAGTAAGATATTGATGGATGTCACTGGCCTGGTCTGTCCATCCAGCAAGGACAGGGTCAGCCGCTTCGGCGAATTTAACCCTGACTCTCCAATCTCGCGAAATTTGGGGAGAGCATCCAAGACTGGTAATAATAACAGTGACACAGCCGGATGATTCTTCCACTCCCTGAATTTATTCTAAAGGGTTTTTTGCAAGAAAGATCAGGCTTGAGCAAGAGCTGCTCTCTTGGCTCGAGAAGATCAGGCCTTCGACAAAGGCAAGACTCAACGAAGATGCGGGATATTATTAATAGCAACGATAAACTGTGCGGCAGATGTGGAAATTAAACAGAAAGGAGTAAAAGTGCTCGGGACATGAGAGCGCCACCACCATCGTGAGTAACGACCGCCAATCGGGAACCTCTGGTTCCTGGCAACGGCGCCAGCCCGAACGACTGCAACTTTGCAAGCAGCGAAGAGCATTTTAAAGAAAGACGGGGGAAACTTAGAAAAATAGGGGGGATGTGAGATGTGAGGTGATGTCGAATGTCGTATTAACACAACGGCTCTTGGTCTTGAGGCTAGCCCGTTCTGTACGCACTCTAAAACCTCGTACCTGGGATTGGTAGGCTAGCCCTGCAACATCACAAGACACAGAAAGCCACCAAGGAAACCGTTGCAACTACGACATCGTTTCCCCTTTCTTTTTTTCCACGTCCTGTCTTACTTTGTCTTGCAGACTTGAGGAGAAAAGCAAGAAGCAGGGCACATGGCTTCTTCATCGGCTTCGCGGATTGAGCCCAAAAGAAAAAGAAAAGAAAAACAATCGGAAGCAGGCCATGTGAGTGATTCGTGTTATCACGCAAAGTGTGGAGAGGTGGAAGAAAAAAAAATGTTGAAATGAACCAAGCCAATGCCAATTGCCTAGACCTTGACATCATGCCATGGAGATGAGGCGGAACAGGGTCAAGACCACTGAGCCAAGATCGACGGCCCCGCCTGGGCCGAGAGTGGTGGATAGCGTAGCAGCGTTCGTATGGAGTCGAGTTCCTGTCCAAGCCTCGGTCTGGGGGGAGGGGGGGCTGTTGCGCAGGGATCAAGTGCTGCCTATCCTAGTTGCTTGGCTCCAATCCCAATGAAGAGAGCCTCGCGAGCGTGGGCTGCGTGCGACGAATTCATTGGATGATACCAAGCGAGGATGCAACATTTGAACTCCCCATGTCAGAACCTTTATTGTTCTGTCCGAGTCCCGAGCCCGGCAAACGCTTATTCATCCGGACAAGGACTTGGAGAAACATTCTTGATTGATGATTGACCCACTTTGCGACGATCACCAACCCCGGCTCGGCTGTCCGGCTCGTCATTCTTCGCCCATCTTGCATACCAAGTGCAGGAGAGGCTTGACCCGGTCGCGTTGTCCCGGGCCAAGTCCACCCGGAGAATTCGGAGTCAAGCCAAGATGCCGAATGGCAAGCGAAAAGAAAGCCGTGAGAAATTGGATTGCGGGGGGTAGCATTTTGGGGGGTGCAAGGCGAGGAGGAGATTTGATTGAGGCGCACGAAATACCAATTGCTGGGCAGTGTTGTCATAAATTCAAAGCAGAGAAAATGAAATCCAGTTTCAACTTACAGCGGAGAGCCAGGCGGTTCGCCATGGTAAGAGTGCCTATGGGAGCTGGGCACCGTGCTGTTGACATTGATCCTCAAGCCGCCATTGTCCGATAATGTGTTAGAGCTTGCAGCGCGGCGGATGCCTAGACCGACGGGGTGCGGAACTGGTGCGGGGACCGAACTGCTAGTGGACCGGTTGGAAGTTTGCGGTTGCTCATAGTTCTGAGGAACAGTAACAGGGTTTTGGTGAAGAGGGTTCGGTTGGCGGTCGTGTTGGCTCGGTTTGGACAACTTGCTCAACCTCGAGAATCGAGATCTCCGGGTTGGTTGTTGGGCCGGTTGCACACGCTGCTGCGGCTCGACGACGGCCTGCTGGAGCTGGACCGGTTTCTCCGGCGTCGCACTCGTATATTGCAGGGGAAAGAGGTGTTGGTGGTGTTTGTTCTGTCGGTGGAGTTTGAAGTCAAGCTGGAGCGATGTGTGCGAAGATGGACGATGCTGTTGCTGTTGCTTGTTACTTGGCTGTTGGAGTTGGAGCTGGTGGTGAGAGTGAGAACGGTGGTGGTCGTGCTGTGGTTGAAAATGATCCCTGAACATGATCGGCCTCCCCTGGCTCGTATGGCTCAACATGGTGATGAGCCGGTTTCTCTACAACCAGCCAGGTCTAGTGAAATGCGTAGCCGGATAGGTTTTGATCTATCCCCAAAGACTTGTAGACAAAGTCGTAGAGAAAAGGCAAATGGGCTTCTACTCGAGAGAATCGAAGAGGAGGAGGAGCTGCTGCCGCATTGAAAAGTGGGAAAAGGAGCAGGTAGCAACAAGAGCAGTAAGCGAACCAAGGCAGCACGCTGCCCGGTTTAGAGTAGGAAGTAGGCCAAAGTCAAGAGCTCAGCCCCCAGGCACCCTTTTCTTGTTTTTTGACTCGCTCCTTTTTCCTGATCTCTTTTTTTAAACTTCGAGAAACTTGGTGGAATTACTGGAAACCCAAAGAGGACACTGGGCGGAAATTGGAAAAGCCAATGGGGGCAAAACAGGAGTGTTTCTCCGTGCTTCAAGGACTTAATTCGACAAGCCAATACTGGAGTTCTTCGGTGATCGAGACCCAAGTAGTAGAAGTGGAGAATAATCCTCGGGAGGGGGTCGCAGAGGGGGTGTGAGCCGGCGAGCGGATGCCGATGTTTTCGGATTATGATACAGAGCAGGGTTCAGTGTTGTCTTTTCCTTTTTATCTCCCTCCTGGAGTGGAACAATACCGCGTGTATTATGGAGATGCGTGGATCTGGTTCCTCTCTTCCTTTTAGAAACGTCGTTTCTTCGATCTTGGTAGCTGGATTAAATTTTTGATATTCCCCTCTTCGCCGATCCTAGTTGCAGTTGTTTATTTCTCGAGGGTGCGATATGATTGCAATGCGTGTGAGTGTGCGGGCGGGCGCGGGAGAGAAAACGGGATTCTCTGAGGATCTCGATGATAAGGTCCGAACTGTTCGCTTTAATGCCAAGACATACGATTTCGGTTTCGAGCATCTGTCGCAGGACTCGCAGCTGTGTACGCAAATGTAAACGCACAGATGCTGATGTTGACTCCTTGCACGTTGCTGAACCTGAAGCAGGCTCAGGTCCGTTCCTTGGGATGGACACAACCTCCCACAAGCTCCTGCGCTCGTGATAGGCTTGTCCGATGAGGTAATTGAGAGGGCCTGCAAGTTTGGGAAATTGGGTCTGAGGGACCAGTCTGGAGATCCAAACCGAAGGGAAAGAAGGAATCGAGCCAGGCAGCTAGCTATCTTGGGCAGATAAGGATTAAGAATAGGTTGAAAGGAAAATAGAAAAAAGAGGAGGGATCAATATGTTTGTTGGAGACGATTTTTGCCGACTGTGTTCTGATCTGATGACCTCCAAAGACGAGAGAAGCGAGGCAGATCCAGTGATCCTAGAGATCGAGACAGCTAAGACCCAGTAGGCGAATCGATCAAGACTAAAAGCGGACACCTGAAGGCCCTAATCCGTACCGTTGTACGAAGTAGTGATATCTGTTGATTCCACGCATCCGGTGACATCCAGTCGGTGGGATCCAGAGACCTTCTCAAACAATGGCCCAAGACACCGATGCAGGGAGAGAGGGCCACTCCTTTGGGGATGTGACGGCAGGCTCGGCGCCAGAGCCGATAGGAGAAGCTGAGCTGAGAGGCAGGCGTGGCACAGGGTCCGACGGAGGTGCGCCGTAACACTTAAGCTTCAGGTCGTGGTCTGGGCCGGATCAAATAGTTCGTATTGAACTGATTTGTTTGACACGATTAGACGAACAGGGTTCAATTCCCGATCCCCGGTTCTACTTGGGCAGAGTACGAAGTGAAGCTACGATTGCCAGATCACAGCGAGACGGCTCCCTCGTTCCTTTTATTATGGTACCTTGAATTCTACTTTGTATGTGCGCGGCATTGATGGGGTTCGATGTTGTTATTTCTCCTCATGCGGAGTGCGCAGGCTGCATGAGCTGGGCAGTGACTATTCTGCACATATTCCTGTTGACAAGGACAACTATTGATAGCCATCCAGCAAGCCTGCCATAGCCTCCCTATAGTTTGGGGCTTACACTTGGCAGGCTCTCGAAATCGAATGTATAGGGCGACATGTATTCGCAGCATCAGATGCGGTGTGCAAAAACAGCTTAAGCCATCCTGCATTCCCGCTCCTTCCATCCAATACATCCATCGAGTGTGTTGAATGTACATCTCCCTGTGTCCAGCACAACAACTTTGTAGGGCTTGACCAGCTGAACATGTCGGGAAGGGAAAGAGCCCAAAAAGCCATGGATGGAATTGCGGGCTCGATCGCTCGGGACCTTGTCGGCGCTAGGCAGTCGTGAAACGCCAGGGCATCAGTGTGAATGTGTTGATTCCGGAGGGCTGGTCCAGCTAGCCGATCACTCGTGTGTGTGGATGAAACACGCCCTCGCTACCTTTGTACTTCGTAGTTCATCCTCCGAAATAGGACGTAATACCTACACTGGTTCGCGGATTCAGAGTCAAGGAAGCACTTGGATGCATGATGTGACTTTGATCCTTGGGTCCTTCGATCAACAAAGCACACGTACTTCGCGGGATGGAGGTTGTAGTCCGTCGGACGAGTCAAGTCTAGCCTAGATAGGAAAAAAAAAAAAAAAAAAAAAAAAAAAAAAGGAAAATAGCCCAGGGCTTACCCCATTTCACCGCGTGTCTGTTTTCATTTCCCCCAACCTCCGCTCCGCATCCGTGGCGAAGAGACTTCAGACTGATCCTACTGAGGTACTGAAGTACAATGGGTCTGGAGCCGATGAATGATGACACATGCAAAGTGGACAATTGCAACAACCAAGACATCATTTGATCGCTCCTGCTTGATAATAATAGGACTCGTCATCTACTTTACTGGTAACGCCAAGCGTAATGAGGAGATGCAGCGCAGTGGGATTTTTATCACCGAAAGCCAGGTTCGTAAACACTCCTAACAATCGTCGTAGAATAGGAACACTCGCAGACGCTGAGGAACAGGCTTCAGTAAAAGAGGAGAGGGGAAAAAAAGAGAGCCATCCGCGATCCTATGTAAGACTTCGAGCCCTGCCTCAGCCCCATTTTGATGCCATTCTCAGACTTACATCAAATGTCATAAGCCCAAGCCTTGACACTCCTCGTCTTCCGATTCGAGACTGGCTGAGAATATTGGAAGGGCATCATTCCGTTGCTTCCTCCCGCTATGCGTTCTACGTTTCTGCTTCGTACGTTGATCCTCTTACACCTGCCCCACAATTGTCACCGCCGTTGTCAACTCGGTCTGGACATTTGTCTGCAATTGTGAATGAACCCAAGACAATGAACACCTCATCTCTCATCTCTCACCTCGCAAGCCTCGAATCCTGGCCAAAGGCGGGGTAGCTCGTAGCTTCTAGCCAGCCCATAGCAATGAAGGATCCGCCGATCGATCCCGGCATGCCCGGATAGCTTGGTCAACATGATGACCCAGACTGTCGGCGTGGGCGTCAAACTGTCCAGAGCTGAATGGGGAGGTTGGGCCTGAAATGATATTTGATTGTGCAGCGCAGATAACAGAGAATATTCAATGACGTTGTGTAATTTGCTCGTCCATTGCGTCAACTCTGCGTACTCATCATCTCCGCCGATTCATATTGGCTCCATCAAGTGGATATCGACACCAACATCGGGGCACACTGAGAGACATCACGAAGCAGCTAGCCCATAAGCGGCGCAACCGGCTTGAACTTTCACCTCCAATCCTGTTTTGTTCGTTTTGTTCGTTTTGTTCCCAGCCCGCCATGAGCTCGTTCCTGCCTCGAATCATAGATCAACATTGAACTCTCCCACTTCATGCCCTTCACCTTGAGTCCTTGATCGACACGTAACTACTCCTACTTCCTAAACAGCCCACTCTTCCACCGAAGCCGTCCAGCTCTTCCATCCTACGAAGCACGCACATGGACGCCGCCTCCTCCATCTCCCACCCCCTCATCTCTGACTGCGCATGACGAGAAAGGAAAAGCCAAATATTGCATCCACACTCAGTATCCCACCCGCATCCCACTCGACTTTGTCTTGGGCTATGAGTAGAATTGGCCCCCTCGCAGTGCCGAAATTAGCTCCTGCACCGCACCGCCACGGCCTGCATCCAGTTAACCATCCGCCCCCAACCTGACCTGGCAAGCATAGGATCTCGTTCCCTCATCTACTTGGTACGTAGTGACGAATACCAACCCCGCCAAAGAAACAAGACAAATTTTGGAGGGCGGGCTGAGCCGCACCTTTGACACCCTTTTTAGCATCAAATAACACAACCAGCCCTAGAGAAGGAATGCGAAGAAGTCCTATGGCAATTTCCTGATGCGTTCAGTACTAGTGGCAGCCTGCAGCAAAGTGTGCCGTTTCTGTGTCTGTGCCTCCAACAAGGAGATTGCTCCTTTTGGGAAGTCCGAATCGGCCTGGCGCAAGGCGGCACCGGAGGTATGGCATGAAAACCTTCCGGATTCCCTCATTGGCTTTTCATTCGATGCAGCGTGGTCCTTGCGAGATCGAAAGGGTCTCATGATGAAGCATCTGGTGTGGAGCGTGGAGCAGCCCTCACAGCCAGACGTGCAGACACACTAATCCAGACCTATTGCCGAACAGGGGTGTCAAGTAGCAGCCATCCAACTGCCTTTGCAGTGTTTTGCAGTGCGAGATCTGAGGACAAGTCGTCCTCCAACCATCCTCAACCCTTGTCTTCGTCTTCAAGAGCGGACGAACACCTGGGGCTTCGGAGTTATCAACCGCTGCTCCTTGTACTCTGGAAACAGGGAAAATCCAGGTAAACAAACAATATCAGTTAATATTTCCCTAACGAGAACGATCTCCCAGTCGAACCAGGAAAAATAGCCAATCCAACCACCCGTAATATCGGAAATAAGATCAGAAATAAGCCAGAGACAGCACCGGGGTTGTGCAAGCGAATGACGAAAACGAAAAGTAGAATCTCCCGCTCCTCCTCATTGACACTTCCGCCTACACCATCTCAACATGGACCGATCATGAAGCCAATGGAAGGTTGAGCACAGGCAACGACGTAGGACTATCGAGTATCTAGCGCTCATTACGAAGTACCTTTGTCCGGGAGGATGACCTGCCTGTTAAATGAGAGAATGCGCATCATCTTTCTCGATGACACCAACCTCCCCCCAGCATCCGCCCATCTCTTTGGTAGATTTCCCACTCTCGGCTTCAATATTCTCCATACTTGTAATTTCCGATACAATTGTACCCGCTCAAACTATCACACGAAGAAGGCTGAGTTGCCAATCTCGCCTCTCGCTCGGCATTTGTCCGTGATGAAACCCCCTTCGAGTCCGGCCATTGAATTCTCCGAGCTCGACTTATAACCTCCAACAGCTCCCATCACGACAAATCCTACCTTCCGAAATCGCAACAAGTAGACAACATTGATGTCACAGGGGCATATTACTATGGACACAATAAGCAAATAGAGCCTGGGTCTTCGTTGCTTTCTCTCCCACCAGCTGACCACCGCCCACTTATTCGGGCGTTGCTTTGCATACAAACAAGCCGGGTCCTGTTTCGTTTCAAGTCGGAGGATATTCCCAAACTTCAATGCAGCTCTCCCCACCCCGGGAGCCTTTGGAAATCCTCTGAACGAACTAGGGGTTGAAACAGAGAACCACACTGAGTGGTACTCTCCATGTACCTATGGATAACCTCTCCTCTCGGAGGCACTCTTTTCCAAGCTACCACTCCACGTCGCAGATATAGGCATTCTAAGGCATCATGTTTTGTCTCCTCGAGTTTCGAACTTCTTTTCACCTTCCGATTCGATCTAAAGTGTAGTCCCCTCGTACGTTACATGTGTAGGCTTCTGGTACCGTACTTCCTTCATTCATGCGTGTAGTGGACATCTGGCCTGGGACTCTTCAAAGCATCATCTTCCATTGCTCGAGAGAGTATCACGACTCATTCGAGTACGTAAGGCCCTACTCATCTAAGTCTCACTCTCTTTCGCACAGTCCACGTCCTGTCATGTGCGCATTACTCAGTCCGCCAAGTACATACACGCCTTCTCCCCAAGCCACGCAATTTCTGCATGCTCCATGCAGATACCGGACGCAAGCCATTGCCGTAGACGACATCGTGTGCATCTAGACCACAAGGGAATCCTAAACCACCCACCACAAACCGTACAGCAGGTGTAGCACAAGTATGCATGTCGTCGTACTCTCGGGCATCCGAAAGAGCGCGATATTGGGCAGTAGGTTAGGCTCGGCGTGCGCTGTGCAACTTGGCAGATCTCCCAATCCCCGGCAACGAGAAAAAAAGCCAATGCAAACATGCGCGCAGATACCTGGCTTCAAGTTGCCAGATACGGACTGGAGTCATTGATTTTCTTTCCCCGGACGCGGCGGAGGGCAACCTATTTCGTAAATATGCCTTCCACTGCCGCCAGCAGGTCGATCCAATCCCAGTCCGACCGAAGAACGCGCGGAGCCCATCGTAACCCATGCCGAACGAGGTCTGCCAATTCTGTTTCCGTATACATGGATATCAAGGTGGACGCAAGCTGTAAAGCAAACAAGAAGTCGAGAGCCCTGCCGTAGGCGCATATGAACCGAGCCATCACGTCGTTCCCCCACGTCTGGGTGGTTACTCGTCCGTTATTGGCGCTAAGAAGCCTGAAAGTCCCATAAGAATCCAAATACAGATACTTTCTACCCTGAGAAGATGAGCTTCACTTCTCATCATCCGAGCTTGTCGAAAACCGGACCCGCCGGGCAGGTCGCGCAGGCACGTCATGGCCGTCGGAGTTGGAATTCGCATCAGGCACGTCGATTGGAAGCGACCGCTTCGTCCCATTAAGTGTTGAGGAAGCATTCGTCGCCGCAGTTGGGGGTCCGCCAATCATTAACCCTTCGTCGGAAGAGATGATACGCCCGAACCCTTTGCCAAACACCAACTGCGGTGACTGAAGCGGTGCCATCTGCGACGCACTGTCCGCTGTGCTATTGTCCGGCAACGGGATAATCTTCGCGTTCAATATCCAGTTGTAAATCGGACGGTCATCCAGAATGGACTTGCACTTCCGATGCTCTGCCTGAGTCATGTGTTGCCGTCTAGAAACGATGACCTCGTCGATGCTGTCGCGGAGCACCAGAGTCTCGACCGAGACGGGTTTCTGCTGGCTTATTCTCCGAGCTCGCCCGATGGCCTGCGCCTCAACCTGTGGGTTGAGTACGGGGTTCATGAAGTATATGCGGGACGCTGCCCACATATCAAGTCCGAACGCAGCCTGTGTAATGTCCATGAGAAGGACTCTATGTAAGGAATCCAGATGTTAACAAATTAGAAATTGCTAGGGTTTTACGGAAGAAAACTGGAGAGGGCTTCATACCGGAATGTGGGACTGTGGTTGAAGCTATTCACGTACTGAGCCTTCTTCTCAGTCGTCAGAGACTTGGCGTAAATAAGATATGTGATTTGAAGCTTTTCTTGTTAGCACAACCGCTTACGTGTGGCTAGAACTTATGCATCAGCTCGCTGCAAATCTCTAGGCTACTACTTACCACATCGAGGAGGCTGGCGATATACCAAGCTATATTCTCATTGTCGTAAAAGACGATGATCTGCTCCTCTGCTTGGTACTTCGTGATGGCATCGATCAGATACGACAACTTAGCAGAACTCGTGGCGATGACCATTGTTTCCGCCAAGGCGGCCGGTATGTCATGTTCATCTGCCGAGTGTGATATCTCAGCCATCTGATTCACCTCCGACTGTAGTGTTTCCAGCGACGATAACACGCGGCTCTTCTGCGGGCTTCTCGTGTCTCCAAGTTTCGCATTCCCCGCAAGGACTGTCTCCCGCGGGTTGCTTTGCCCACCGTCCGATTCATCGGACGTTAGTGCTTTCGAACGCTGCGTTAGACCTTCTTCAATCAGGCCTCCGTTCAATAATCTGTTCAATTCTGCAGGGGAGTTGATATGCTTTCGCACAATCTTCTGCAACGCTAGGAGCATCGGCGCGTCGGTCAATACGGGGTCCTCGTCTTTGTTATCTAGCGACCACGCCCCGCCGGCCGATCCGGGAAAGGCATGAACGTGAAGGGGCAACTCATGAAACTGGTTGCTCAGGGTCCTGATCTCGTTGGCCATCGCAACACGGCCAAAGGCTATGGCCTGTCTTAGCAATGCCTCGTCCTCGGCACTTATAGCGACGGCCTTCTTCTCTAAAAAGCTCTCCGCAGTCTCAACGCCCTTCTGCAAGTCCTCGACATTGAAGAACGAGCCGCCGAAAAAACTCGCTTGTCTTAAATTGTATACCAGCTGCAGGAGTGACTTTCGTTGTCGGGGGTGGAAGAAGTAGTCCTGGTCGGTCCGTTGCGACTGCACCGAGTTGAAGACTATGTACATGGAGAAGATATTGAGGGCTAGTTTATCTTGGTAAGAACCCTCTATAACAACTACTTTCTCATCGACCGGTGGAAGAAGCTTTCCAACCTCGGATACGGGGTGTCGAATGATAAGTGAGTTCAGTGTCGACCGAAGAGAGTCAGTTCGGCCACGGCTTCTCGAACTGTGGTGAGGCTGCATCACATAGACCGCCCAGTCCGCTGGGGTGTCTCCGGGCTCCATGAGCGTGTTCGCCCATGGACGAGCCTTTAGGTACAACGCGGCCATGGCGCCAATCCGTTCGAGGTCCTGCGCCTCACTTTGATTTGGCCCTGCCCTTGGAGACGGCAATGGCACGTCCCGGTCCGGTAACGTCTCGCCATCGATTCCGTAAAGACCTTTCGCAGGTGTACCGGTGACTATCCACCGTGAGGAAAATCTGAGACTCTCTATCCCGAGCAAGAGATTACTCTTTTGTCGGATCCTGGAACTTCCCAGTCTGTGACCTTCGTCAACGATGCAACGCTTGAAGTGTACCTGCGCTAATGACGATAAGGAAAGCGAGCTCTTGTTCGCGAAACCAGAGCTATGAAGTGCTTCGAATCTCGTCTGAGCGAAGAGGATGATGTCGTATTCAAGGAGTTCTTTCACATCCGGAATACCGGCTCGCTCTGGGCCTTTCGTACGGGATATCGTCAGTACCTTGAGGCCTTGGGTGTGCTTTTCAATTTCCTGTTGCCATTGGACAACCAAGTTGTTGGGGACAATAATGACGGTGGCTTTGCTGAGGTAAATGGTCGAGTACTTGGGCTCGAATTGCTTTGGGTGAGGGTCGCGATGTCTGTTGCCACGCAAGGTTACCCTACAGACGTCACTCGGAGGCTCCTCCGGACAGAGATAATGTCCTGGATGCCGCTCAATCGCCTTGATGCACCTAGAGAAATCCAAATCGTACTGGTCTTCTGCGGATTTGAGGTAGTACTGCCATGGAACGGAATTTCGAGTAATGAAGGACGCGACCATGTCCACTAACGAGCCCACCTTGGGTCTTACAGGGACCGCGCCTCGATACATATCCGGGGCTAGCGGGTAGAGATGTCTTGTTGCAAGAATGAGGCTGAGGCAGATGATCGTCTTCCCCGCTCCCATCTCCTCCGCCAGGATGCCGCCCGAAACTCCATCGTAGAAGCGGGGTTCTTTCAACACGACCCCGGCGGATTGATCAAAGTACCAAACATTGCCTTCTTGATCAAGCACACTCTCTAGTCTCGGGTCTAGTAACTTTTCCTGGTTGGACTCCTTCTCAAGCATGACGGCTGCGGAACGGCGCTGGTAGGGGTACAAGGTGGTGGTTAACCCCGGAACCTTGCTGTTCAAGAGGTTATCTGCTGCCTCGGAGATGTAGGGATCCGAGAGTTCTTCAGGCCGAGGGCTCGGCGACGGGATACTGTTAAATAGGGCCAAAAGAGACTGTTGGCCAGTTCCATCTTCATAGTTTGTTGGATTGCTCAGTCGTGGTGACTCGATGCGGTCGGCGTCCTCGACTGGCCAGGCACCCAACCAGACTTCATGGGAGAAGTTCAATCTTTCGAGGAGAAGGGACCGCGCCTTTTTGAGCCTTTTATCTTCGCGATCGACTGAGCGACGTTCAACATCATCCAGTAGAATATAGATGCGAAAAACCAACCCTTCCCTACTGGTGGAGGTACGATAGGTGAGGCGTATCCATCGCGCGAGAAGAAGGCCTTGGAATGGTTTCAACGCAGCGCATCGAACAAGACAAGCCTCGATGTCCTCGCATAAGTTATCTGGGGAGTCGCGCGTCGTAAATCCATTTGTTTGTGATCCTTTCTCGGGGCCATCGAACGAAATCCAACCATCCTGGCCATTGAGAGTGTTGAGTTGCTCCACCGAGAGACTTGTTTGGCTGGCTGGGACGCAAATGCATCCAATCGGGAGATAGCTACCCAAATCCGGAGCCTTACGGGCTTCTAAACCGGAAACAGGGCTCATGGTAAGGTATTGTGTCACACATTGCCCATTTCGCATGATGGAAGAGGTTGTTGATATCTCGGTGAAGGTTTATTCTGGGTCGTTGCCTGGCGAAGTTAACCAGGAATGCTGGTGATGCCGGCCGCTTCCAGTTGCTATCAACCGGCAACTACACCTGGCATTCCCTTCTTCATGAAGCACCCCTCTCTCTCTCCATGTGAAAGGTGTTGTTTTCACAATTATAGTTCAAAATAAGATTCTCTTCGAAATTATTTACTCTCAATCTCATACCTATTCAATAAACCAACTCTAAAGTCATTGTAGCGCCTCTGGTCCTGGGGAAACAGTTGATTGCTTGCTTCTAGGCGTCCAATGGACTGGTTCAGGGCATCATGAGGGAGACTTAGATCCTGAACATCAGATGTCACCGGTTCTATGATCTTGTCGGCCGTCTCATGGTCGATGATCCGATATAGTAGCTTGATAGCATTCTTGGCAGCACATGTCTCTTCACTCGATGTGTAGGATATATTTGGGTTTAGGATCCATACATGCAAGACCCTGTCATCTCTGGAGGGAGACTGTGTGCCCTCTAATTCTGGCTTACCAGGATTCTCGCGAGAAATTGGATAAATAACTGCCTTGGAGGAGCCAGAACGTGACAACGATGCTAGCAAGGTGGCGGCAAGGCACTCCGAGGCACTTGGCGCTTTTAGTGAGGATGTAGTCTGGCAATTAACTTGCCACTTGAATAAGTTGATGGACTGTTTCTCCGAATTTAGAAGCCCAGTGTCAGAGCCGCATTCAGCGCACTTGACGCTACGAAGGCGTCGTGGGCTGTTGTCATCCTTGGTTGTGATATTCTCTGGCACATCTAGGCACTGGAAAAGAGTAAGCGCGGTCATAACTAATCAAGGCCACCAAAGACAATCGAAATCATAGGGCATGTCCCTCTCATTGATCCCAGAGCATGCAAGGCCTCAGCAATGCCTGGTGAAGGGAGAGGTTGCCATAAGCAGATCATTCGCGCTAAGGCGAGATATGGCATTGGAGTCTGCTCTTGGGGTGGTGTATCGATGACCAAGCCACTGAGGGGCAGGTGCTGCCGGCTCGGCCACCTTCTTGCACCCCGGGAGGAAGCGAATACGCGATGTCGGCCGGAGTACACGATACGAGGAGGCATAGAAATGCCGAAGGGAATAGAGAGGTCATTCCTACCTTAAGATTGGTCGCATCAGATTCGAGGATCAGAAACGACGCTAGGTCAACGAAGCCCACGGCAGCCTGGGCGGAAATGGTAGCACTGGCCCCATAGCCCCTTTTCGTGAGATGGTCGTGATCCTGGTGATTACTGTTCTCGGGATCGGGCTTGTGACAATGCCAAAACTCCATCATCTCGGCCCAATTCTCGCTCGGCAGGTCTTTCCAGACCGTGATCGTCCCGGCTGGGACAAAGATGGTGCTACACTGACGGCAGGTGATGGGGGTTCCGGGTTCAAGGTCAACGGATGTCCAGGGCGGTGTGGGATACGGGTCCTGGGCTAAGAGGCCTTGCGACGGATGGCCTGCAGCTAACGGGAATCTCCAGGATAACGTCCTAGGGCTCCTCCCGGACTTTTGAATTGGTAGGCGTCCGTGAACGGACACTCTCCCTGGGAGGAGTATATCCTTAGAACTTTGTCCATGGCGGATCCCAATGCGCGTTCCGTCCGCAAACACTTCTGCCTGCGTTGTCGTATCAGGCTCTGATGGAAGAGATGCGACAACAGAGACTTGACGGATATTTAAGAGGAGCTCAGCATAGATGGTGGGTTCCATGATGTCGGTGGCTAGGATAAACACGACGGATGTAGTCTTTTATAGTCTCGGAGTATGTCGTAGCCTAACCGGATCTATGTGGGAATGCGGGTCTTCCCATTATTGTTGGTTTTGATGGTAGAAGATTAGAGGGAAAAGCTCAAAGCAAAACAAAATGTGCAGTCAAATGTAGAGATTGAGGCGTCGACGCCCTCGCGGAAAATTTGCGGCTATTGGGGGGTGAACAACTCAAATCAGGCGAGGAATGCGTGAATGCCCTGTACTGTATTAATTGCCACTGATACTGTTGAGAACTCCGCCCACCAGTCGGCGCTGTCGTCACTGGACCAGTCAACAATGGCCAGGCCTGGCCATCCAGCCAGTTAGCCTGGGCTTGACCATATGCACTTCATTGTGGCAAGTGCTGTACTGTTAGTGGTCTACTCGCCTTAACGACCCGGCCCTGGTCCAACCAAGGCGGGACTCTTCTTCTGTACCTCCAAAATCCAGGTCGTCATCCCAAAATTGTTGAGATTAACACTCAGTGCCGAGCAACGTTCCTAGAAGACACATCCTTCAGGGTTTCACCGTTGAGAAAGGCATCTGCTTCATCTTGGGTTGTGTAAGCCGACGCGCCTAATTCCCCGCATTCTCTCGAGGTGCTTGGGCAACACAGGTGTCAGACACAAGGAGAAACTGGGGACTGACAACTTACACAATCACCTGTTCCATCTCCAGGTCAACTCATCTCACAAGACAGGCAGATCTTGAAGAGCTCATCCCTAGACCTGTCAGCGTTAAGCCCACCAGGCACCCAATCCCATATCCTCAGCTTCTCCTTCATTCTTCCTTATATCTGAGCGTCAAGAGCTGGCTCTCAGATCATGTCGTCTTTTCTTTCCTACATCCCTGTTGTGAACCGCTTCGTCGGCTCTCATGCCGCGCCGGCTGTTGTCTTCGACGTCCCACCCGGCGAAGCTCACAATATCGAAACGAACCCAGACCGCCGCGCACGATGTCTAAAGCATCTTATCAGGGCAAACCATGCCAACTACTCAATCATTTACCACAATCTCCAGTTCGATAATCACAATGCTCACGTGCTTTCCTCGGCATACCTTCTGGGGGCTAATGAGGATCAACTCCGTACCATCTATGACAAGCAAATCGCCGAGCTGGAACCTTGGACTGAGTCGCCTTGTGAGATTACAGAGGAGGACTGGGTCGATTACCTAGGTGACCGTAACTATCAGCGGGCCTTTGTCGACTACTTTGAAGATCAGCTCGTTATGCGCTTCTCCTACAACTGGAAGAAGCTCTTGGAAAACTACATGTTCCAAGACAAGAGGCCACTAGTAAGTGGGCTTTTTGGAGGCCGTAAGTATTATTATTACCATCAATTATCATACCAACAATCTTACGTATGCCTTTGCAACTGCCACTGCTAACATGATTCTAAAAAGTCGGGCATCCCTTGATCCACTTGGGTTATGCATACGAAATCAACTGCAAAGAGCTGGCAATTGAGTCTCTAGCTCTGGCTTCAGTGCAGTTCAACTATTTGCATAAGTATATCGATGATCCTAAATATACAAGACCATCGCCCTTCACTTCACACTCCTTGTCGGAACTTTTGGACAAGGTTAGGGGTGATAGTCGGTTTGACAACCTATTCCCCAAGCGCCAACTCGAGAACCTCGACTTGCTTTTCGAAAAGCATGAAGACCTCTTACTCGAGTACTGGAACGCCTGGGAGATTAAAGATCCGGCGAAACAGTTTGAAGAATGCCAAGAAGCCGCCGTTTCTCTCCTTGTCGCCACAGTTGCGCCAGGAACGCACAGCTACAACTTCTTTTTGGTCCACGTCCTTACTACAAGCCATGCTATAAGAGTGTTACTGCCCCTCATCCCGGGAAAGTTCCATGAAAGTTTGGTCCGGGGTTGGGTGCTATACACTTTAGCCATCTACATTGCTCTCCTACGACCTCAAATCGACCCGGACTATATTGACCCCTCTACGTTGAAGGGCAGGCACTGGACATACGTGGAGAACAAAGCACTCACTTCTCCCTGGTCAGCAGATGCCCACTATGTCAAAGGTCAGTTTCGTCATACCCCTCGACGAGCGAATGCCCTGCCCCACATACTGACCGTCCGTAGCTATCCGCGCAATGAGAACAGCAGCACACACGTGGGGCGATGTCCATGAACGATATTTAGCTGCTGCGGTGCGGTTTGTGGATGACTTCCATGGCTGGACTTTCTAATAAACGTGTATCGGTTGATTTTAGGTTGGCAATTCATCAGGTTGTTTTAGTTGTTCCAAGGTTGGGAGTCTCAACATCATGGGCGAAAATAACGCCCGGACAATATCGCAACTTGCTTGCCTTCAATCCGTTTGATCTTATCAGTTATGACGATGGGTCGGCTGGAGTCATTGTGTTTACTACCAAGATCCAGACTGTTAATACTGAATCAAGCTATATTGCTAACATCAAATTGAACGTTCTCGAAGTTCTGCTCATCCCCCAACATTGCTATTCTTGAATTTCATCATTGGTGGAGCGACTACGAAGTAGGAGAATCGATGCCCCGCTCCAGGGCGTTGGCTACGGTGCATAGGCCCCAGTCTTTATACCATTTATGGGCCAATTAATGCGTACTGTAATTACGAAGGTACAGCACCCCTCTTGCCACTTCGATGCACCTGTGCTGAGTGCGACATGCCTGGCTGGCCCTATGAGCAAGGCTGAAATAGGAACTGACATCAATTGATGGACATTAATTAGTCCTGTCCTTCCCTTTCCAGCAAAGAGAATATGATGCAGGGCATATTCAGCCCTGTCAACAAACCATTGCCTGCCTAATTTTCCAACGAAACGAACGTATTTTGCTAACAATTCATTCCCGAACACGTCGCACGACGCTCCAATCTTTCCGAACCTCCCAATCTACCCGAACATTCATCATCTCATTGCTAAGGCTGCTGCTCCATGACTGCCCGCTAGCTAGGCGCCCTCCTCCCATCCGATGGCGCCTCCCGCGAAGCGTCGAAGGAAGAATGTCGTCGAGACGTCCGATGATGAACCGGATCGCCCACAAGACAACTTGCTAACCCGATTCCTTAATTCGTCGCCAAATCCCAAAGCCGCTGCTTCGGCTTCCTCGAGTCGCGCCCCAACTACTTCGCCTAGTCCGCTGAAGAGGGCAACTCGAGGAGCTTTAAGTGTAAATCTAGCCCATTTCTCCTTCACTCCGAGCGACCTGTGGACTCTTTCGGGCTAATCCGTATATTTCGTCCTTTAGAGCAAGAATGGTGCCAATTTTAGTCCATCTGCGAGCCCCGAGAAACTACGAAGCCGGCCCCAGAAGAAGGTTAAGATCGAAGAGAAGGGCAAGACAGCCGACCTCTTGACTCTCTTCTCGAAGCAGGCTCAAAGGTCCCAAGCATCGACAACGTCCTCCACCAGAGCGAAAACACCCGTCGACGAGATTACGAGCGACCCGATTTCCGACGACGATGATGTATCGTACCACAAGGCGCACGCGTCCTCCATTGTTGGAGAGAAGGCGAGAAAGCGCCTGTTCGGTGACCCACAAAAGACTTCCACTTCTTCGACGCGAAATCCGACCCAGATGTTTGTGCGACCGCCGAAACCCACCAGGCTAGGACGCGTGGACGACGATCTGCGCCCATGGTCGGAACGATTTGGCCCCATAAACCTGGACGAGCTCGCTGTGCACAAGAAGAAGGTAGCCGATGTGCGCAGGTGGATAGAGGGCGTTCTTAGCGGGCAACTACGCCAGAGAATTCTTTTACTTAAAGGTGCTGCTGGCACGGGGAAGACGACCACCGTCCATCTCTTGGCGAACGACATGGGCTGCGAGCTTTTAGAGTACAAGAGCCCGCTTGGGAGTTTTGTTCCGGGAATGCAGTCGCCTTCGGCCCAGTTCGAGGCTTTTCTTGGCCTCGGTGGAAAGTTTGGAGGCTTAGAACTGGAGTCCGGGCCGGAGAACCACCCAAATACTCCTAGTTCAACGTCGACGGATCTACAGCGGATAATACTCATCGAAGAGTTTCCCAACACTTTCACGCGCTCATCGACTGCTCTGACAAGTTTTCGAAATGCCCTCTTGGCCTATCTTAATGAGAACACGCCGTCTGCGGCCGACTTTACTCGGAGACCTAAGAAACCAGTCACCCCCATCATACTGGTCGTTTCAGAGACCTTGCTCACAACGACCTCCGCTTCCGCAGATAGTTTCACTGCCCATCGCTTACTAGGTCCGGAAATCATGAGACATCCCGGTACAGGGCTTATCGAGTTCAACGCCATTGCACCATCGCTCCTCACAAAAGCTCTAGAATTAGTGGTTATGAAAGAGGCAAGGAAGTCTGGGCGGCGGCGAACACCTGGGCCCCAAGTGCTGAAACGCCTCGGGGAAATTGGTGACATACGGAGCGCTGTTTCTTCTCTCGAGTTCCTATGCCTCAAGGGAGACCAGGATGCCGATTGGGGCGCAAAGATTTCGTTTACGAAGTCGAAGAGGGGTGCCAAGGATGGCATAGCCTTGACCCGCGATGAGATGGAGAGTCTAGAACAGATCACCCAGAGGGAGGCCAGCCTTGGCATATTTCACGCCGTCGGGAAGGTCGTTTACAATAAGAGGGACGAAGCTCCGGTGGCTGGAGATCCCGTCGAGACGTTACCAGCTTATCTTCAGCACTGCGCACGGCCAAAGCGGTCCCAAGTCTCCGTGGATACGTTGATTGATGAGATCGGAGCCGATACCGGCACGTTCATCTCTGCCTTGCACGAGAATTACGCTTTATCCTGCGAGTCTTCCTGCCCGGACGACGCCAATGACCCCATCGATTACATCAACGGCTGCATTGACGCTTTATCGGATAGCGACCTGCTCTGTCCATCCTGGGATTCGTTCTTTGGCGGAAGAGGCGCGTCCGGCGCGTATTTCGGCCGAGACACAGGTAGCCACATTGTCCGGCAGGACGAGATGGCCTTCCAAGTGGCCGTTCGCGGCATGTTATTCGCGCTCCCTCACCCCGTGAAGCGGATAGCATCCGGGCCGGGCAAGAGCTCGGACACGTTCAAGATGTTCTACCCCACGAGTCTCAAACTTTGGCGTTCGAAGGAAGAGATGGAAAGTCTAGTCGACGTGTGGTCTACGAAGCTGCTCAACGGCGAGGACAGCCACGCCCACAATAACCGGTCCATAACGGACGGTGCCAGCCTCTTCCTTCGCGCCTCTTCCTCTCGGAACCATCACCAGTCCCCCACCAAATCCAACAACACGGCAGCCCAGGCCAATCCCAAGCCAGAAGACGGCGGCACGGCGCCACTCCTCTCCCTCGGCAGCGCAGCCCGCCGCGAGCTCGTGCTCGAAAGGCTCCCCTACATGGCTCTCATCGGCCGCGCACGCAAGAAAACCCCGCTGCAGAACTCGACCCTCCGACAGCGCGAAATTGAAAAGGTCGTGTCCTTCCGCGGCATCGGCGTGGGGCCTGACGACGAGGCCGAGGCTGACGATGCCGACGAATGCGCCGTTGCTGGGGAGGCGTGGGCTACGGACCGGCCTACGGAGGAGGCTTCGCCTAAGAAGAAGGGATCCGCGGGGATCAGGGTTAGGGGTGGCGGAGCGGCGGCGGGACTTTCTGCTTCCGTGGCTGGGTTGCAGGTTCAGAAGCTGGTGTTGAGTGATGATGATATTGAGTCGGACTAAAACGTTCCGAAATGCAAGGTTGTAACAATGGGGTGAGGGAGGCGATACAGGTTTGATTTTTTTTCCCTTCTTCTTTTGTTTCTTTCTATTCCCGGCTCGGGAGCATGGGACACAAGTCGTCCGTAAACTGCCTGTATATATACCCATCTATCCTGCAAGGGCTGAAATCAAGGAGTACATGGTGTCTGGGAGATTATCAAACGACTCGGAGGGTATATATATGGAATAATCATCAGAAAAAAAAGTCTCGAGAGAAATACACTTAAAATCGGAATTAAGAAACGCCCACTCTCATCCAAGCAATAGATAATCGACAGTCATATATCATGAATAAACACCAAAGATTTCATTGAATCCAAATTCTTAGTACCCATCGCCCAAGGAGCAAAATACGAAGTTGTTCGCTCGCAGACAATTCTATAGACACGCCCAAAGAAAGAAAATCCCAAAATGCGAACACGTATGCCAAACTATGCCTAGAAAGAAAACGAACCCATGCTGTCTGGATATATTTTTATGCTTTTATGCCGTATTTACTCCCAAAACCAAGACGAAAAGACCAAACGGAAAACTAGGATATCCTCCTCTTAGACAGATGCACGTGTAGTTCGTGGGCCAATATTAAATGCATCGGAAGAGGATCTTTCAAGACAATAGAAAAGTAAACAAAGAACAAAAACCACTCGCAACGTATAATATGGGGCATCCCAGGCGGCGATCCGACTAGAGGGCTTTTAGGGCCGTCGAAAGTACTCAAGGCTTCTCGCCCTAGGAGAAGAAGAAAGTCTTCCGCTTCTTTTTCTTGTTATCTGACTTCCCGAGAATATCGTCAAACGTGGCTCCCTGGTTCGAAGGCGACTCGGGGCTCGTCACAGGTTGAACGCTAGAGAGGGCCGACAGGTTGCCCACAGACACGCTGCGGTGACTGTACAGGTTACCAGCTGGTGCAAGATTCACGGAGCTGCCTCGATCATGACTGACGACCCGGGAGCCACGATCAGGGGGAAGCATGAGCCCCTCTGGGAGATCGAACACTGGTTCGATGCCAAACGCAATGCTAGAGCGGTGACTGTGGTTGACAGCTCGGATCGGAAGCTGACGTGGGCCGGGTGATTGGTTTCGAGGGCGGATGACAGGGGACGCGGAGATGGAAGGCGTAGTATCGAGACTAAGCGTCGATGGCGTTCCTGCCCTTGAGTCCATGGCCGCTACTGCCGCCGCTGTTGCCGGAGGCACGCCCGAAGCTTCTTCTATTGCAGCATCGAGGGGGGGCTGGATTTGAAGCGGTTGCTGGCCCTCCTGGAGGGCGGCCTCCCACAGTTTGGCAGACAGCCAACAGTGGCTCCTGTGATAGATGGCCTCCACGCTGAATAGGACAGCATCCGCCGATAGTTCGACGTATCCGGCGCCACCCGACACTTCGTACCACAGCTTGCGAACCTGGCTGCCGTCTTCCGCCCAAGGAGGATTGCCCATAGGTGGTTCACACAAGAAGTACTCTACCCCCTCCGAGAACATCAGGCCAGGAGCATCCATGACTAGGATGGGCAATGACTGAATCACGACATACAAGAACAGCCAGTATCCGATCCTTTGGTCCGCCAAATCAGCCGCAGTCTTGCCTTTAGCCTCCTTCCCCTCAAACTCCTTAAATTCGACGAGAAATGGGTTGTGCCGGTTCGCGGTGTTAGTTTGGTAGTCGTAAGACTTCTCAAGGACTAGCCTAAGCTCATTGCCTTTGATTCTCCTGTCGAACTTTGCCTGCTCCTTTGCCGGCATCTTGTCGTACGTCTCCAGAATAGACGTCATTGTGGGGAGCATAGGGATGTCGAAAGGAATGGGTGGCAGCACAGGAGGAGACGAGTTATCGAACTCGGAAAGCATTCGCCTCAGTGCAGTTATCACAGGGTCGTCGCCTTCCTTCATCTCATGGAGCCCTTGGTCGATAACTCGGGGCGTCAGAGACTGTCGGTCGGCCAGCAGGTCGTAGAGTGCGCACATATCCGAATAAAGTGCTTTCAACACAAGCCTGTTCAGACCACTTTCTGAGAACGGGTTCTTCCGGCTGCTCGCCTTGGGTGGCCAGCTTCCAAAGACGGTTTTGTAGTAACCCAGGGTGAAGTTTCTCATTCGCGTGAACGCATTTCTCCAGTGCTTGAACCGGACATTGCGGAACTCCGTCAGGGATGTAGAATTGGCAACACCAGTGAACAACGAAGGGAAATCAAATTGCTCCAGCCGCACATTGACGTTATGCTGCCTATTGAGTAGGCCCAAATGAGCCCGGTCCAGACGTTGGCGGGTCTGGTTGGAAACCTGCTCGAATAACTGGGATTTGAGGTCAACAATAGCCGAATACTTGCCGACGGCATGGGTGAAGGCCTCATTGTAAAGTTCCGCGGAGCGCATCCTTTCACCAAGAACAAGGGCTTCAATCGTCTTCTCGCGGCTGTTCCGAACATCACCCAAGCCGATCTGGCGGATGTAGAAACCGAACGACAGGTCAACCTCCTGGCCGAAAGACAGGCCGTCGAAACTGGTGAAGGCGAACTCCTCCAAAAGCCTAGAGATCTGCATGAAGATCGCGAAAGGTGTAGGGTGAGCTTTCGTCCCAACCAGTGGCTGTCCTGTGAGGAACGCAAAAAGGTTGCGTATCGAGATTAGCCGGTCCAATGGAACCATGAGCCCTTGTGGATCGGGATTTGCAGGTTCTGGAGACGGAATATATAGGTTGTAATACGGTCCGTACTCGAACTCAGAAGTTGGGGATATCGGCGGACTAGCAGACCGAGGCCGTGTTGCATCTTCAACAGAGAGTCTGTCTCGACTACCGAATCCTCTCGTTTGGTAAAGCGTATTTTGGATGAGTTCGGTAAAGATGAGGGACGAGGCTATGGCGGAGCTTGGTATTTTAAAGGATGGACCAAAACCCGAGTCCGGCGGGTACAGGAATACGCAGACATTCGCTGCATCATTCCAAAGCTCAGGGACCTAAATATATCGATGTTAGCCGGGATATGAGATACCAGAGAGATGAAACAAGCAAATCTCACCTTTTCTGCCTTGACGAGCAAGGACGCGTTGTACTCAACACCCGAGTTCTCCGTGCTCATGGGACTAATTACCCAAGCCTCGAGTTGGTGGCCACCAGGGTCGTGCGAGTTCGAACGTGATCTTCCACCTGGCAACAAGCTTCGGCGCAATTTCTCCGCCTTCCTAGGTGGGCTTTGTTGGCCAGGCGGCGGCGAGTTCGTATCTCCATCGAAGGGTTTCGTGAGAACTCGGGCAGCAAACCCGCCATCCCTACTGGTGGGTGGTTGCGCCGACACACTCCTACCGCGAGGCTGATGATCAACAGCATCGAGGCGTCCGGTTCGCCCATGAATCCTGTCATCCATCACAGGAATAGGCATTCGGCCTTGCAAGGATGTACCACGACGTCTTTCTGGCAGCTGATCGACTGCCTTGTGCAGTTTTCCATCAGCTCCAGTGTCGACATGTTGTGGTGGTGGATATGGCTGCTCTCTCATGGCCTCAGCAGGGTTCGACAAGAAAGGTGCGGCTGGGCTCGGGAGTCTCAGCACGCCCTCGCTTTCGGGGACAAATAAAGAGGGCATTGTTGGTCGGCCTGGGTCAGCAGCATCTGGGAATGGGATAGGTGATTCTGCTGGCTCCTCTTTGGGCGGCGGCGGCGGCGGCGGGGATGGAGGAGCAGGTGGAGTGGTAAGCTCAGGCACAGGGATGAGGAGAGGTTCTTCGGCCACAGGCGCTTGGGAATTCCCGGGAGATTCGATCGGGAACAGTTCGGCAGGCACAACGCTGTTTCTTCGTGAAGTAATCGAGGTTGTTGTCGAGGAAGAGTCCCTACGAGGTATCGGTTTGCGCTTGATAGAGTGCGTCTGCGACGGTTCTAGGTGAAAGTGGAGTGTAAGTAAGCAATGCGCAGGGCGAGGGCTGCGGGGCTTTATGTATGAGGATTTTCGTTTCTTGGAATGGCGGTAGAGTCGGAATGGCTTTCAGCTTTATTCATGGAATGGGGGAGCCAGTTTCCCTCCACCCTTTCAGCTTGTGCAACAAGCTATCGAGGAGGTGGTGTTAAGGTTCCACCGGAGATGGAGAGGGCCGTCCGTCCTTTATTCGAATCACTCGCGGTCCTTGTTTCCTTGGACTGGGGCAATACACAAAAAGATACTCCAAATATAAATTTTTTGCCATGTCAAAGAGAACAATTGAAAGGGGATAATGGGTGTAGTAATAATTTTTTTATTTTGGGAGTAGAGGGGAATGTTCTCACAGGTCGAGAAAGGGAAGGTACGAAGGGAGGACATGAAGGGAGGTCACTTACCCGACGTCATACTCGCCATGGTCGATGAAAGCGCTGCCAGAGTGTAGTACTTAGTACTTTGAAGTGCGACTTGCCTGGGTGTGCCCAATCAACAAAGGGAGAACAACAGGAACAAACGCACTAGATGCCTGATGAAGCGACTCGATGTACTTCGTAGTGTAGACGGAAATAGGGTCAGGACCGTATGTTCCTTGTCCGCTTCAGCATCCGGTGTACGAAGGCTTGGGTGGCTGAGCCAAGGCTTGGTGGTGGATACAAGCGCGCGATGGCTGTTTCTGCTCGACTCTAGTTGAGGATGGCTTCGGCCGGTTCCTTCTGCCTCGTGTTCACCTCGCGTCGCCGCGTTTGAAGTATTACGAAGTCCTGGAAAATAAGGAAGATCGGCCGAGTTGGGATTTAAACCGGTTCAGACGGGGATCGACAACGAGCATCCACTCGCTTTCGCTGGGTTGGAGGAAGAAAAAAAGTTTCGACTGCCCCTCCTCATTCGTCTCTGCGCCCAATCCTAGCTTTGGTGGCTGCTGTCAAATTGGACCAAAACTTGAAAGAGAGCAACCACCATCTGTTGTAAATCCAAATCCTTGTTCGTCGCCGTCGTGGTGGCCAGTTCTCTGGGCTTTGCAGTGCTTTGCAGTACTTCCTTCGTACGTACGCGCTCTCTCGGCTTTCAGGAATATCCACTATGGATGCATCACGAAACCGGGCGTTAGCTCTAATGACGCAACCCGCCGCGTCGTCGGCTGAGCAGAGCTGACGGCTCCGTGGTGTGCTGCAAGTACCCCTGAAGGTGAAGATTTGTTGAGTCTGCGCTTGCCGGACACCAAGTCCGCACGAGCAGTGAAGATCGGATTTTGGAAATGGGGGGAGAAAAATCGAGATTTGGAGGGAGAGAATTATTCAAAAGGAAGCAGAGACATCTTGGGATTCCAAAGGTCCGAAGGGACCGAGACAAGCAAGGGGTCCAGTTTAATGTCTGTCCTCTTTTCCCGTCACTTCTTCTCCCTTAACTGGCCAGGCCATCTCCAACGAATTTCGGGACCCGACCGACCTCCTTAAAAGAGCAGGATCTACCTTTGTACGAAGGACGCTACAATCCTTCGCCTGAGGATCTAGTCCAAGCCCCTGCAATTGGAACCTGTTGGCAAGGGATTTCTATTTCGAGATGGGCCTGGCCCAGCTACCCACTGCCAACGGGAACCTGAAGCAAATCCACCAGACCGTGCCATGTGGAACATAGGCTCCTCCTTCTAATATACTAATTATCCTTCTAATATCCCATCGCCACTAGGGCGCCGCGTTCTCCTATTACTGATTCTTGGCCGGCTAAATAGTGATGCTCATCCTCGTGTACCAGCCTGGTTACTTTTTAGATGTCAAGAAATAAGAGCGAGTCCCGCGGAGTCGGGTCCTGTCGTCATCACGGACATCATCACAAGGCTCTGTCACCATGCATAAACCGACATGCACAGCGATCGAGACTGCAGCTTCAACGTGCACCAACTCGTAGTTGCGCCAGTTGTTCTCGAGATATTATTAGCCTAAAGGTGGTCAGCTGAAGCAATATTGATGCAGACCTTGGTTGCCCACCCAGCCTTGCCAGCTTGGCCCAATTCCTTCAAAAAGGATCAAGGTCACCATCCTCGAGACCTCCATGACACGCTCGCTTCTTCGCCAACAAGCACAAAGGTATCGATCGAATTAATTGCCATGATAGCCGCAGAGTCGGGGCTGCCTTATTCTCCCGACATGTTCAGCGCGGGATTCGCCGAGCATAGCCATTTCCTATTAATGGACGGGGCCTCCCTCGTACGAAGAACGTGAGCGTCCTTGGAGTACCGATTTGTGCAGCACCTCTGGCTGAGGGTGAGATGATGACATCAGGATGTACCGAGGCGTGTCTGAGACTCTGAGGCACAGGGCTGAAGCGCACGCCATGATCGCGTCGCAGTTTCCGAAGCGCCTCCAAACGGCTCTTGGAGGAATACAAGTTTGGCGCATCTGTCTTATACTACCTGTGTAAAAGTACACTCATTCGCACGTACGAAGTAGCACTTCATCCCATCCCCCTCGCAGGTCTTTTCATTAATGTTGGGGTGAAGACTTCTATTTGGCTCATCTCCCAAAGACGCAAGGGTCAATGTAGAACATGATCGTTGGTTTGCCCAATTGAATCTTCCCGGTCTGAACACAATGACAGGGATTGCGGTACCCTCGGCTTGCCTGCCAGCTCCGATTACCAAAGAGGAATGACTTGGTAGAGGGAAATAATGTTATCGGGGTACTGAAAGGAAAGACGAAGAAAAAAGAAAATCTACTTCGAAGGATGACAAGAGAGGGAAACGAAGATATAGCTGCCTTCCAACAAGAGTATATGAAGTCAGACGGTGGTGAGGTTGTGAGAGCGGATTTGACTGTAAACGGCCATTGAATAAAATTTGTTTGGGACGGGGGGAGGGCCTGAAACCGAATTGGGGAAAATACCTCAGTCGTGTTACCTTTGTATAATCAAGCAAGAGGCCACCTGAGCACACCCTATGCCAGGTGTCCAACTTTTGGCAAACTGACAGAGGGGGTCAGGTGAATTTACACGTGTGTGTCAGTTGCCAACAGCCGATCTTTGCGGGTTCCAAGTTCACGTCTTCAAATGTGAAAGCGAATCAACCTTGATCCATCACCATCAAGAGACACAAATGAGGCAAGGCAGCCAAAGCCACCGAATCAGGTCGCTAACCGACTTTGGCGACCCAATGGATTGGGCGATAGCATATCCAGCGCCCGCTTAGCTGAAGGCCGTCCCTGTTCCTCGATCCACGGCCCTCCACCCTCATCACAAGCCACGATCTTCCCCAGCACGAGACCGCATGAGTTTGGCGCCGGACGAACCACACAGGATCCCGATAACCTGGGAAACTCCCTCCGAGTCAATCCGAACCCGTAGGCCCTTCTTTTCTATCTATTCTACGACCGTGTTTAGAGCCAACAACCTCGGTTCCCAATCGTTTTCACGAGGAGGGGGAACAGAGCGGCTGTGGGAACTCTCAAGCCCAGATATGCACACTCCACGTCTTCCACGATAGTATACCAGTACATGTACTCTTCGGCTACGGGTTCGTAAGAGATGGCTCGGAAAGGGGCAACTCATAGTCCCGTCTATTGGAAAGGATCATCACCTACTTGTGCTACGCATGCACTGTCCCTTTGCGTGTGCCACACACAGCCAGATCCTGCTTGATAGGGCCTCATTGAAGCCAGCGGTCGATTGCGAAACGCCTCAAAACCACGCCTTCAAACCCGGTTGGGAAATAGACCATCAGGCCGCACTCCCAGGTTGTCACTAGGACTTCTCATTGACAGAATGCGATGCACGTTTCTGCCATGCGACCACCCTGTGGTCTGCCAGTAACACTCGAGGACGTGAAGGTTGGGTTTCACCGAGCTCCTAACCCCACGCCATAGGCCTATAAACGTGCTGCCTGGCTTGATTACGAGATTCATTCAGGATATTCGTACCGCATCAGGCGAACTGAGTTGGGAGTGGCAACAAGTAGAGCCTGGTGTCCCCGTTAACGGAATATCCTGAACCGGTGCCTATGCTTACCTCCGTTAGCTAGAGACGCGTAAATATCAAAGACTTTGGCTAGCCGTCGGCCTGCAACCGCCGAATAACAAGAGTTGTGTGTGTGTGTGTGCGTGCGTGCGTGCGTGCGTGCGTGCGTGTGTGTGTGTGTGTGTCGGTGGCTCCGTCTCCTAGGACGTCGCCATTTGAGACATTCGATGTCCTGATAGTGGCGCCAACTCGTATAATGTAGAGGCATATGTCGCAGATGTTGAGAGGAGACGTCTAGTTGTCCCCAAAACTGTTCACGCCAGCACCAGTTTGCAGGTGCCACAAAGGTTATTGTTGACGTCTCGCGTGAGTTGACAATGGAAAATGGAAAGCAATTTACAACCTCGTCTCCGTAATGGCCTCGGTCATATATGCAAAGAATCGGCCGCCGTGTATATACTGCATGGCGGCGCGGGGGGGGGGGTTGTCGATCCTAGGTGGTTTCTTTAACCACGTTGCAGAATCCACGCATTGCGGCAATTTGCATTCGAGCCAATTTAGGGCGAGAACACTGTATGAGAGTGTGCGGGACGTATTTGTATGCATACTTATCTGGCTGGGACGATTCCCAACTGCCTTGGCGATTGAAATTCGGTGTAAGTTCGCGCTCTTGATGCTTCGCCCACCTGCACCAGACCACTGTGGGGGTCGAAAAGTGCGAAGCAATTTGATACTTCAAGTTTATACTTACACCCCTCCATTATTTCTGACCCACCAAAATGCCACATTCCAGTCGAGTGTAGTAGTACCAGACTTAGTCTAACGCAATGATAAATATTATTCTAAACCAGATCTGTCACGTCGCGTTGTGGTACGGTACAGTACGACGATCCGCACTACCCCGGGCGCCTTTCAAGGGTAAGCAGGAACCCACGCGGAACAGGGCACAAGGGATTTCCGACTGGCTATGACAAGCGCCTAGGGCAAACAATGAAAAACTAAGGACAAGGCTTGCTAGTTAGAGACCTCTTCCTATAGGCGGGTGGGATTCGGGATGTTGCAGGTGAAGTCGGGCAGCAAAGGCTTCCTAAGGTATCTCGACAACATTGGTCCATCGATCAGACGGATACGATTTACAGGGTCGGCAAAGTAACCTAGAATCTGCAAGGAATCTGCGGAGCTGCGGGAGGGGCCGCTTCCCCGATTCGACTAATTTTTGTAGCTTTGTAGTGCCTGTTATGATGAGGTGTTGCGAGAACCTCCCTCACTATCGTGTTCCAGCCTTCCCCCGGCCGGTGCTCCGTCGCACGCCGAAAATCCGCGACCAAGGAGGGATGAAGTCCCCAGAGAAAGTCACATGACCGGTCACGGGCCATGACCATCGAGAACCCATGGCGACCCATGGCGATGGTTCAATTTTCGGTGGAATGCGGGCCTGTCATTGGTCCCATTTATCTGGGTCGACAGGGGCATTGGCCAATAAGATGTCCGGATCTCACCGAATCTGGGTCCGGGGGACGAGAGCAGAGTTGGAGAAGCAGGGAAAGAGGCCCCAAGTTAGATAGAGAAGATAATCTTTTGCACAAGAGACAAATCTCTACTGTCTTGATCTCACGAGGATTGCAATTGAGACTTTTGAAAGAACTTGAGTTCGTCTGAAGGAGCCATCTGACCAAGACCCGCACAACGGATCCCAGATTCAGGCTTACACGCACACCCCCCCCTTAACGGCCACCGAGATTGGCACCAGTGACTTACACGGCTAACAGCAGCGAGCTGCCATATTGGACACCAGCCCACACCTCCCAGCCATGGCTTCACCCCTACCCATGGGACATGGCTTTGTCTCGCATATCCCATCCCCTGCGGGTGATATCGAATATGAAAAGTACTTTGACTTCGCGGCGTGGGAGCGGGACCAGGGTAACGGGGTGACTCGATCATCCGAGGGCTCTTCTAGCTATACCCCGGCCCTGACAACCGATTCTATGATGACACCCCCCTCTGAGCACTCTGACGGCTTCCTGGACGCTTATTACAACAGCGGGCTCTTAAACAGCCTCCCCGACGTCCGGCAATACGATGACGACTGGACCTATCCTCATCAAGACCCCAGTCAAGACGCTTTCCCTCATGAATTTTCTTCCCTCATGCTAAACTCAAGCTCCTCCGCCTCTTCTTCTTCGCCCTCTTCCTCATCATCTTCATCCTACTCTTCCTCCCCTCCTCGCTACTCCTCCTCGTCGCCTCCGTCGTCCGCCGCCTCCCCGCCATCCTACCCGCCTTCGCCACCCGCTCACAGGTCCTCGTCGCCAAAGCAGCACAGCCGCAAGTCCTCATCTTCGTCTTCCAGCAAATCTAGCAGCAGCAAGAGCAGCAAAAAGAGGCATCTTCAGCATCCCGAGCAGACGGCTGAGGTCAGGGAGAATGGAGCGTGTATAAAATGCCGGATTCGACGAGTTCGTGTAAGCGCATACCCCTGCTCGATTTGCACAATCCCAAAAAATGCAATTTCCCAAAGTCCTCCTTTTTATGTTTCAATACAAAAAATTTCCCATCACGCTACTAGTTGATTTTTTTTTTTTTTTTCCTCGCAATCCACGGCATTTTCCTTAGCGTCTGATCTTTAATCTCCTTTTGCCTCTCCTCCCCTCTTCTCGTTTTCCCTTTAAAAACCCGTGCGGCTCTTCGCGAAATCGTCGTTGGGAAAGGCTGGTACTAAGACGGGACCCATATAAGTGCGATCTGCGTGTTTGCGCCCAGTGCAAGAAGTTTGAGTACTTATGCATCCACGAGCAACTGTCAACAATTGGACCCGTTTTTGTTAACATCCATGGTAAGTCCCTTGTCTTTTTATTGTTCTTCTTATTCCCTTTTTCTGCCCTTGCAGATTGCTTTTCCACCTTCGAATCCTTGGGCTCCCCGCAAACTTGCATTACCTCCTGTCTTAGACGTGGATCATTTGCGGGCGGGGGGTGTAGAAGTGGCACGAAGTGGCAGGGGGACCTGTCCTGCCTCCGTCCATATAAGTCCCCAGTACTCTTTGAGAAACCCAAGACTAATTTCCACCCCCCCTTTCTCCGTCACACAGACAAAGCTGGAGAATCGGTCCGAAGAGATGATCTTACTGGCCGAGTCGTCTACGCCCCCATCTCCTTTTCCGAGACGGACCCATCGGCCCCGACGATGCAGCTCTGCATCCAGGCCTACCATCCGGAGAACGGTGGTCGGCTGAGCGGACCCAACTGTGCCATCCCGAGGGAGCACATTCCGAGCTGGGGTTCTCTCGCCCGGTGGGCCGGTCAGCAGATTCTATACGAATCTAAGACCCCGTTCCGAAAGGCCGTCGAAACCTTTGTGATGGCTTACTCGGATCGGCCCAATAGCAGGGACTACTACTTGCCCAAGGTGAGCTCCAAAAAAGGCAGCTCCCACCGACAGCCGCAATAGAAGCTAACCGCTCACCTAGTTCGACCTTGTTGACCGGGTCCGAAAATTGACTTGCATGTTCAAGATCTGGATGACGCAGCACACGCAGAACTCGAGCCACAGCAATGGTATTTACTACCGGACGTCTAAGGGCGTCATGCGCCTTCCCTACTCCGTTCACGAGGAGCTCCGTCACATTGCCAAGAAGGCCATGGAGTCTCTCGAGCGCGACATCCTCAGCGAACTCGACGGCTGCATGACCCAAAGCAAGGCCGTTCAGCCCTTTGAGAAGCCCCTTCTGTGGGTCTGCTTGTGGCAGCTAATCTTTGTCTACCGACAACTTCTGAGCAGCTGTAAGTTTATTAATAGAGAGATTCAGCCGTCTTGGCATACATGTGGGAAGACAGTGTACTAATGCGGAGATCTACACAGTGTCCCACAGCAGCCAGAAGAGATGTCGAGAAGTCACCCGCAGACTGTACACTGCGTTGGTGGCCTACTACACAGGCTTCTTCTACACGCCTAAGAGCCTCAACCTCGAGCTCGATCTCTCCCGCGCGAGGATGCCTGTTGAGCTGAAGTACGAGCTTTCTGCGCTTTTCCAGTCTATTCTCGACAACCGAGTTGATTTCTGTAAGTTCGTTCCCATAGGCACAATAGCCCTGATTCCGATTATACTGGATATGTGCTAATCATCTCGATAGACCAAGCGCTCCGCGGCTCTAAGAACGAGTTTGACAACCTTCTCGGCTCGACAATTGTTGAGAATGAGCTAAAGAGACTATTGAAGCGACGAAGCCGAAAATCGACATCCTCCCGAAGCACCAAAGTCGTCGATGCGCATGACGATGGCGACGACGAGGACGAGGACTATTGAGTGATGAGATACGACCTTACGCTTTGCATATGCGCGTTCAGACTTTTTGTCCTTTGTCTTTTGAACTTTGCTATGCTTTACCCATTCGCTATTCTCGACATTTCCTTTCTGCATTTTGGTCGGACAAGCTTCTTTTCTAATTTCTTACGATGAGATTTGATGTTGGCTACGAAGAAACGGGGGCAGTATGATGACAAAAACATGAGCGACGGAAAAGCTAGGACCTGAAACCCTGTTCCTCCCGGAGGTTCTGGGCACGATATTTCCTTTTTAGAGATGATGATTGATGAGTTTTTAGTCGAGGCGGCTACGCGTTATTTCATACATGGCATGAGGCACGAGTCGACGATTTGAAAAAGATAACGAAGAAAATCTAGTTATGAGGTTTTAGTTTATTAAAAAGAAGGCATTTTACTGAAGCTTAGATATCTCGACGCGGACTTTGATATCGCTCTTCTTTCCTCTTTGCTTTCCGATATCTTCAACCACCTTCTCAAGAACTGTCGTATCCACGCCCTGCAACGCATAGGGGGCAATCTGGAGCTTGAGTTTAATCTTGTCCTTCTTCTTGCCGTTATCCAGTGATGCAGAGATTCTAGGACAGAAATTAGCGACCTTCGATAGCAAACTCGCTAATACATATAGATCTAGAAAAAGAGAAGGAAAGAAAGAGGAGGGGAAAAAATAGGAGTGTCATACTTGATAGCGTTTGTGATATCCTCGGCCTTTTTGGGCTTGAATGGGATGACGATTCCCAAGATATTCGCCACCACCCCAAGGTACTCAGCCCAAAAACCGGAAGTCTTATTCGCCGCATCCAGAAGACCTTTCAAACCCGTGTACAACTGCGCATCGATCGGTCCAAGACTCGATCCCCACCTCGCCGTTGCCGTCATTCCCAGAACCGCTCTAGCGAGATGCGTCAGTCCGGCCGCCTTAGGATCTCTTGTCACGGCCTCATGCAGCACGTATGCAGCGTTGGTATAGACATCTTCTCCAAGACGGTACCAAATCCTCTGCACGAACAGGGGCACAAGGCCAAGTGAGAAGATGGTTGGCACTGATGAGAGGTCCTGGTCCTTTGGTAGCGCATCTCTCAAGACGGCAGTGGCGGCATCGATTACGGGTTTGTCAGCCGGCGATACGTTCGCGAGTGCCTCCAACGGGTTAGACTCTCGGAGCTCGCGCGGAAGTTTCATAAGCAGAGCTCCATCTCTGTTGGAACCCGTACAAAAGGTCGCCGTGCGGATAGCCGGAACCGCGGCGATGAAAGCCTCGAGGACCTCCAGGACGGCGGGGAACTGGCTCCTCCGACGCTTCGACATGGCGAAGATCTTGCCGCCGAACTCTTCGTTGACTTCCTGCATACGCCTGGTCTGTGAAAAGAAACTTCCGGGGACGGTATACTCTCCGACAGACGGGATGGGATAAGGTTGCACGGGATCGTTGTGCATCAACATCGAGCCATAGCCCCGGAAACCTCCGCCGCACAGGTAAACATCGAGGCCCTGGCCGGCAGCCAAACACTCTTTCAGAGACGGGAACTTTTCGCAAAGAATAGCAAAAGCAGAGCGCATTCCCGAGCGTAACACTTCCTTTTGAGTGGCAGCAACTTTAGCGTCCCCCTGGAGCACGTGAATAAACCTCGCGGCCCCAAATGGCAACGACACACCCGCCAGCGCAGCCTTGACCTCATATTCGGGCAACCGCGTGTCTGCCCAGGCCATCTGCACCGACCCACCACCTAGATCCAGAAACAACCCACCGCGATCGATGTTGACGAAGGAGCTCCGAGAACCCATGATGGCTCCGAAGAGAGTCTCGATCTCGGGAGCCAGGACGTGCACGCCTACGCCGGCATGCTCATGGATAGCATCGAGCATCGCCGAGGCGTTGGAAGCTCGACGCATGGCTTCTGTGGCGAGAACGGAGAAGTTCTCCGGCGCTACGCCATGCGCGTCGGCGATGCGCCGGAAGCGCGCGAGGGTTTCCGAGACTAGGGTGATTGTCGCTTGGGGGAAGTTTAGGTCTGTTGATGAGGGTGGTGCAGAGGATGAGAGGGCGTCAAAGAGGGAGATGCCTGCACGTTCGCGGTAGATGCATTTTAGGAGGCGGGTGAATGGCGGGGTGAGATCTGTGATGGTGAAGCGGATGCCATTGCTAAGGGTGGGGGAGGGGCAAGCGAGAAGTGTCAGCGGCGGTTATTTACACTTGGATCTGGGTATCTTTACAAGATCTAACGAGATCTGGGGATCTGCTAACCTTCCCATGTCAACAATGGCGTAGAGCTGGTTTGGGGAGTCGGGACTCCATCCCGTGAGCTCTTCCTTGAAGTTGGAGATCGTGATGTACTTAGTTTTTGCTGCCATGGCGGGGTACCTGAAGGGTTGCAGAGCTGCAATGGGTGCGCCAAACGGGAATGTTTCGGGCACTCTTATCAATTGATCTGGATTAAGTCGAAATGAGGCAAGGGTCCACAGAGGGAATGACAGATATGAAGAATAAGGAAACTATTTCCTTGGTCTTGTGAGGGTTGGGCGAGATATAAATACCTGACCCATCAATGGATGATCATTGTAGCATCATTGTGATCGAGTTATAGTCTTATACCGATTAATCAAATTCTCTATTGCTCACGTAAACGTCTTGTCGAATTGAAATCCCACCAGACACTATTGAATTTCTAGACTCACTTCAACCTATCCTGAGCCAATTAGTGATACATAGCATGAGTTCTCCTCAGCTGGGCAGCATCAATCCTCGCATTATGGCCACCAAGTTTTCACCCATTTCGCCCAATCAACGCCCGGCATACGCCAGAATAGTGTCGTGTGCTCGTCCTTCCACATCATCGTATCCTCGGGCTCGGGGACCTTCAAGATAGGCTTTCTGCCATACGCTTCCGCCCTCGCAATGGCGAGGTCGCCTGAGAACTTGCTCATGCCCAATCCCACCATTTTCGTCGCGTGCTTCATAATCTCATAGTCCACGATGGCTTGTTGGTCGTATGTGAGCTTCCGGAGCTGCTCTAGATCGCCGCCTTCTAGTAGCATTTCTTTCGTTACGACTGTAAGGTTGAACTCTCGAGCTCCTTCCACGAATTCGGTAATCGTCTCCCGTGGCCCGCCGGTCGCGAGAAACGCTATCTTGAGTCCTGTGTCGGTGACATATTTGACGCTTTCGGATGCCTGGTAGGCGAACTCGGGGATCGATTTCCCTAGCTCATCTTCCACGTCGGCGTCGATGCGGAGGTGGATTCCAGCAAAACCGTCCCCATCGCGGCCAGAGCGCGGGTCGACATTCGCGCCGTATTTCCCTGATAGTTTGAAGAGGGCTGCGCCGGCAAGGAGTCGGGCGTCGCGCCGGAAACGCAGGAGAGCACTGATATCATGGCGAGTTTCTGGACTGTCGGAGTAAACAGGGAAACCCATCCCTGAAGGCATCAACTGCACGCGATAAGGGTCACCCTGTGGTCTGCTGTTCAGCCTTTTCGTGGATCGTATTGCCTCGATGTAAATGTCAAACTTGGCCTTCCAATGCGCAGGAGCAGGAATGGTGGAGACTCTGGCCATCTCCTCCCATTCACCGAAAACATCGTTTGTCTTGAAATCTATTGGCGTAAGAAGGCTAGGCACGTCGTGGAGATCAGAAATGCTAGCGTAGGCTTTCATCTGGGGACAATGGGCTTCCAATGTGTCCCTGAGATGTTGGAAGTCGAACATGTAGTCCATGGGGAGGCCTGTGGGAGGGGCATGCGCTCGTCTCTGATGCCGGTAGTCGCGGTCTTTGCGTTTGACGATGTTTGGAAGGATGAGGGTGGATGCTGGACGCGTAGGTCTAAGTATCGAATGGTCTGAGTGAAGGTATCCCGCCTGCGATTGGACTCACCTCCTGTCTCTATTGCAAGGCGAATACACTGGAGCTCCCATTGTCGAACTGAGGCGATCCCACCCTCTGCGACATAACAGCCGAACACTCTCTCTGGATACCAGTTCTTGCTCGAGCACAGCGCTTCGAGAGCCGAGCCGTCAGAGCCGCCGTTTATGTCATTCTGCATGAAGCGTTCCATAAACACCACCTTGGAATCCTTGAACCGGAGGATTACTTCGTCTGCGTATGGCTTTCCCGAGTGCGTGAAGTAATGAAAGAAGAGGACCAAGAGAACGAAAGCCGCGACCCTTCTCGCAAGCGGAAGGTACCGCGCTATCCGCGTTACGACTTGAGTATGAAGCATCTTCTATGGTGCCTCTGCCTCTGCTCTGGTAGCAAGCAATGCCAGTTGCTTCAAAGGCTCGTTTTTCCGCAGAAGATAGAAGAGGCGGGGGATGTGGAGGAGAAACTGCCTCGCATATCTGGGATACCTCCCCGAGTAACCGAAGTATGTTACATATCACAGGATCAGATGCCGGAATGCGCTATCGATTGAACTCGTAATGGAAGCTATCCAAAGGCGGCACATGTCTAAGACAGAAAGGAGTCCTTGCCATGATTGCAAAAGCAAGTGCGACCTAACTACGAAGGTGTCTTGCCCGTGATCGCCTCAGCGAGCGAGGAGAAGGGAAGAACGGAGGCCGATGAGACAACATAGAGTGACACACACCTTTCCTTGGTATCGGCAGCGGAAAGATTGGGATGACCAAGGAGCTCGAAAACATGGTTTTTTTCCCCTTCTCTATTTTTGTCTGGACAGATGGTAGATTCTTTAGGTTCGTGTCAGTCTTGGACGATTGCTGGCGATAAGACCTACTACCAACTGGTGTTCCATGGGGGATTCCGCTTCTGGGCAAGCTCACACCATTGACCCATTGTCTTGGACAAGTCTAAGACGGTCTCTCCGCCCGTCTCCTGTCCGATTTTCACTGACATCGCTTGGCGGGAGTCTCTTTTTGGTGTGTTCAGGTACTAGCATTTAGCAAATATCATCTTCTCAGCGAGACTGGTCACGATTTCGTGCTGCGTGGCACCGGACACTGAGATATCGTCATGGCGCCATAGAGCTCAATTTCCCTGATCTAACCTCCAGTCACCCAAACTCGCCCTGGTGCGAAGGAATCGTCCTACTGTGTTGCTTTTGATAATTTGCCGTTTTACTTCGTACATTTTGGCTTGTTTCAGATGTTAGAGTTGTACCAACTTCTGTGGTTGGCACATGGCCCCGTCTGAAAAATTGTTTGCAGCACGGCACGAAGTAAGGGACAAGCGTGTATGGATCAGGGATGGATTTTGAATTCAGTCGAGCTGCCACTAGTGTTTTGGCCGCCAACTTAAATGAACCTTGCACGAAGTAAGCGTGAATCGAGCGGGAAGGAATGAGGTCAATGCCCGCCGTGATGGTTCATGGGTCGCTTTCTGCCACCTTAAGGGATCTAGGGATCCCTTGATTTATATAATATCTGTACCGAATCCAGGCAGGGATCAGGCCGGCGGGATTTCATTGACTTGCGGTTCGGGTTGGTCGTGTTCCTATAATTCCAGCGGCTTAATAGAGATGAAACTTCTAGGCTCGACTTAAGAACATGGGTTGATCTTAGTTTATCATCACTCGGTAATCGGCTGGCGCATGAACGTCTTTGTTGGTGATACCCCTCCAATCTTGGGGGAAAACTAAGAGGTAATAACTTTTAATTATGTCGCCCGCAAGACAGGGATAGAAACATCGGCGACGTTGACAGAGCTTCTTGAATCATCTCGGCCCAAATCAAACGACAACCACCAGTCGCGTCGTTTTTCATTCCAGCGCGTTTCCCAAACAGCAACATGTGTCCTTCACCGCCTACTTTGTATGTGCTCCTGTTGCCAGGGGATATTCGTTGATGCGAGGCTTCGTATCCACTTCCAGCCTAGCACTTTGTGATACGGTACTAGATTACTTTGCTCTACCATGTCGGCTTCACCGCATCTTAGCTCAGACCGTGCTCTGGCTTCCTTAACTGCGTGTGCCTGAAGCGTGGCAATGCGGGGTGGTCCACTTCAGCACTTCAGCTGTGGTCTTTAACATTGATCTAGTGTACGAAGAAGTCTCCTGCCAGCAAGCACGATGTAAGCCCTAACGAACTGGGCCTGGCTAAAGGCACAAAACTTGCGCTTGCGGGTAAGAATGCAGTAGGCAAGGCCGGTGCCCACTGGAGTCGGTGAGGAATGCCGAAGCCCCAGAGTCACGATAGATCCAAGTCTACATGTGCTGAGCTAAACTTATTTTGCTGTGCACGTCGTATGTGGTGGGGAGCTGATCCCTGATGAGCACTGCCGAATATGGCACTCTGGGCCTTGCTCTTTCGGGGGTTTATTACGAAAGAAGAGGCAAAACGGGGTTTCCCCGATGGCGAAGTACGAAGTAGTTCCTTTCTTCGAAGTAAACTAAGTTCTCGGATGTTCTTATCAAGGAGACTTCCGCAGCCTTGGACTGGGAGAGGATATTGATACATGGGATTTGTAAAGTACACTCAGTATAAGAAGTACTACATAGGCGACTTATTACCGAGGTACAAAATGGCAAATACCGTTGTAATTGGCAAATTCTTTAGGCGTTATTACTTCGTACGAGGCCAGACCATTTTTCACTTTGGAATTCTTGGGGACAGTCGTGGACCGAATTGATATTGGACATTTGGTACCTTCGTACTCAACGGCGACAAAGTACTTCGTGCCTCATAGATTCTGGAAAAAAATGCCCCTGCCGCACATCATCATTATGCAACGACTTCACACAGTTTATCCTAACTGCACAAAATACACTGTGTTGCATTCACCGTTGGAGGCTTGAAAAGCGGGGCTACCCTAGTACAAAGCGCGACAGGCGCGTTTTTTCGTGTCAGGGACGCGGTTTCTCCAAGAATTTTGGACGTCAGTCCCCGCCCACCTCAATTGACAACTGGCAGGTGCCCCTCATCTTTGTCGACAACTTGAGGGTTTATTGATTGCAGGTGTTTCTAGAAAATTAGTAGCGACTCGTCATCGAGAAGAAACAAACTGGCGACAGACTGATCGCGTCACAACACAGCTGTAGGAATAAAAGTCTGCTGCTAGGAGCCGAATCTTGATGCGAACTCCTCAATGGTTGGTTTGGTGTGATGTCTTTAATATTTGTTGTACCTTGTCAGTTTGTCACTATTGGTCTTCGTCATCACATCCTGTCCATTTTCTGTTGCCTCCGGGTCGAGCTTCCGAGTTGTCGACGCACGTGTAAGGGATGCGGGTGTGGGGTGAAGAGACTGATCAAGAGCGAGCCATGTCATAGTTCTGGCCAATGCGAAAACTGCCTCAGCTTTTAAAGCCCGCTTGGGTAGGCAGGCGATTGAAGACGAGAGTTACAACGACATCAGATGCGATGTTGAGTGTTGTCTGAGTATCGGCCCAGTCGAGCAGGTAGCTTGTACAAATAGTAGTCTCAATCGTTCCAGGCCAAGCCAACGAGGACGACAAACAGCTGCCGGAGAGCTGCGGTTTACTTCGCAGCAACCCAATGCCCAATGACAGCCGCAAACAACAGCATGATCCCAGCCATCGCCCGAACCAATCCTTTGGTCTGGCGCGCTTCTCGCCAGACGCGACTCCTCCAAATCGATTCGCTATGGATGAACTCCATCCGGCCTCAGCTATCCGTTTTCATAGCTCCCGTTCGCCGCTTTTGAGAGTTGGGGATCGATGCATATGCACTCCTGACTGTCGTGTCCCCCAGGACTGGCCACAATCTGCGCCTCCACCCGTATCCTTTTACATTAGCGGGATGCATCAACCTGTCGAGCGGTCGCCGCAAGCTAAAGGCGAAGGCCTATGGCATAGCGCCAGGATAACTGAGCCCACTTCTTCCACTGCTAGGCGAGCCCACCGAACCGAATACAACATATCCTGCAGAACAACACGAAGCAAGTGCTTGACTTGCCATCATGTTTCCGGAGCCAGGGGCTTGCTGATGAGAGGTCAATTATCCTAGGGGGTAATGTTCTATTTCACTATTTTACCTCGTCTTTTTTTTTTTTCTTTTTTTCCCGCCAGGTAAGGCATATCCAAAGCTGGCCCGGATATTACTCACGTCTTCGCACAGAATTACAGGACCAGCTTGATCTTGGTCTCAAAAATCCACATTCCTTCAATGTACAATCGTCTTCCGCGGCCTGCACGAAGTCAAGGGACATGGCATTTAATACATGGCGCAAGAAGAACCGGACCCGCCCCCATGAAATATCTACGAAGTACACGTACAATTGTAGGGCCCGCAAGGTGATCTGACGACTCGTGGACATGATCTTCCCAATGTCGGCTTGTTGATGGTCCATCCATGCCAACTATTGCCTCAACGCTACCCGACTGCAGGGACTCTTGACTGCATGGGCACAAGACGCACGATGCGACTGACGAAAATGCGCTATTCCCCTCACGGAGTGTGAATAGTGTACATCCGACTCTGACTACTCAGTAGATATGATCAATTGATATCTCTTACCGCCCAGGTTTCTTCAACTACTTCGTACCAACGTCAGTGGTACGGTACATATGTAGACAACATTGATGGACATCAAATTTGATCCTTGTCCTTCCCTTTGAACAAGGTTCTGAAGTACTGCACTAGTTGAGTGTACTTGTAGTCTTGTATGCCCTGGCTAAGCTTTGAATTAGCGTAGGTACCTCTATTATCTTGCTCCCAAACAGAATCGGTACAAAGTAAAAGTGCGAAATAGGTATCTTGGTACATCCACAGTGCCTGCCTAGCCACGCTAATTTTGTGTTTACGCTGTGTTGCTTCACTGTTCAGGACAGATCAGACAGCACAGAGCAGAGAACCACGTTTGATTTGGTCAATTGACACTGATTAGCTTGTACTCTAGGCTCCGTGCCCCGTGCTAAGTACAAAGTTGGTAAGTACTGGATGCCAGGCACTGTACGAAGTATCGATTGTCCGGCAGGTACGAAGACGCGGGTAGTGTACACTCCTTTGTACCGTCCTGGCCCTAGTTCCCATGTTCCTTCATTACTCGAGATGCTCAGCTAAACTACAACCGCCGGTTATTACAGCCCATTTCCCTGTTCCAATTTTGCCGCTCTTTCCTCCTCCCATCGATCTTGAAAGAGTTACCACTACCCTCTTTTTTTTTCTTCTTGTCCTCATTTCATTTTTCCTCCTTCTCCAACATCCCCCCTCCCCCAATTTACTAACCCTCAAGTCTTTCTTTTCTTTCCTTTTTTTCGTTATTATCTCCTTTGTGCTTGTTGGTGGCCGACAATCTTCCAAACGGCGTGGTGGTGCCAATTCCTGAGCTTGGTCTGTTGTCACCTCTTGAAGAAGCAAGATTGATCGAGTCAAGGCCGCCCTTACCCCAATCTCCACTGGCCGCCACCCTAAATTCCATTCCGCCTGTCGCAGAGCGAGCACAGAGCACAGGAGAACCACGCCTACGACCCCAGAATTGCGGCACCGAACCCAACGATCTTTGCCCATTAATTCCCTAGTCCTCATCCCCCATGATTAGTGTGCCCACGATTCCCACGACGCTACGACGCCCTCTAATATTTTCCTCTCCACTCCATTTCATCGCAATTCTGCTCCATATCCTGCCGATTTAAGCACACTCTATTCTTCACTTTTTGCTGGGTCCAGCGACGGGACTCATTCGCGCGTGTCTGCAGGTTTCTTGCTACTGCATTTAATTTCTTGATCGTCGGCTTTCTGGATAAAGCGCCACTTCCGCTCCGTCCGATCTGTCCCCAGCCATCCGACTTTCTGTCGCACTCGACGCCCAGCTTAGCCCGCTATTGACGAACCCGCGCAGAACAAACCGCATAGCAACAAGAGGTCGGTCTTGGAGAATTAAATTTATCGATCAGGTCGTGAAAAGCACCTGTCTTCTACGCTTTGATGGACCGACACCTTGTCTCGCATCGTCCCTCTTCAACCCCTTGACCTATCGCGCGACACGCCTTGAACCTGGCTGCAACGGCGCGTCTACTACCCCATTTTCTCTCCTTCGATATCTCGACCTCGATTTCTTAGGAGCTCGGTCTCTCCTTTTCTTTGTTCTTACCATTATCCTCGCCGAAACACGGGTTCTCTTTCGACGCGGTTACCCTTTTTTATCCGAAATATCCTATTACAATTTCGTCGCATTCCATCAGGCGCAACACAACCACGGAGACCATGAGCGCGATCCATTCCGGTGCGGCTACCCTACCAAGGGGTTTCCGCTACCACGACCCCGACTTCCCAGAGCCCCGAACGCCTGAACCCTTAGCTACAACAGACAGCGAAGCCCAGCCGCCATCTCCTCCACGCCCGAAGTTTAGGCTCAAGCGTCGCAACGCGTCGCAAGCATCGTATCTGACTGCGCCTACACAGCAGTTCCTCGCATCCGTTGCCGCCGCCGATGTCCCGATTCCCAGTATTGAGGTTCCCGACATTGAAGAGCCGGCCGAATCTTCTACACGCGCTGCACCCTTTCCTCTTCTTCCGCGGTTCAGCATTCAAGAATGTGGAATGCCCCTCCAGAGGCTGAGGGCGAGCACATTTTCTCCTCCAAAGACACCCGCGCCAGACGCAGGCGCATCTCTATCATCGTCACGACGGTATCCTGACTGGACTATTGACTCTGCGATCAGCAGTTCCGAGTCTAGCCCCGAAGGCGAATCGAGCCGGCCATCTACCGCGAGATCCACCCATACCAGTGTCTCTCTCTTTAGTCGTATCTCGCTGGCCTCCGACGAGGCCCACTGCATAAGTCCCGAATACGAACGGGAATCTTCACAGGTGTTCAACCAAATTACCGACGATATCCCCCAGGCCCTCCCCGCCAAATCAAAAGGGAAAATGCGAAGGGCGCCGTGGACGAAGGCAATGAGTGAGCATCTGTGGTCAACGTATTTAATGTACTGTCAAGACCCCAAGGTGACACCCTTCCGCGCTGGCCGAAATGGTATTCCTCCTGATGGAGTCTGTGTTCGCGTCGCACGGGAGGCGAAGCGGAGCTGGAAGGGATCGAGACCCCTTCTCACCGTTGAGCAGAAGAGCGGAAGCAACACTCCCACAGCCGACGGCCCAAATGCCTATATCCAGTGGCCCCACACATGTTCTGCGACGCGAGCTCGCCTACGAGAATTGTGCCGAATGAAGGCAGCATCGTCGGCCGCCCGCACACACCAATATCTCTCTCACAGCCCTACCCCCTTCGGACGAGCGATCGCTCGTCACTGGAACCGCAAATCTACCCCGCTTCGATCGCCCTCTGTCTTCTCGGCCCGTGACATGAACATGTCACTGGCTCTCAGCACCGCCGACTCCATGCAGCCGACTGGCCCACTGGCGCAGTTGACGAGCTCAGCCCTAGAGTCTACGGTACTAGAAAACCCTGCCACGGAGCCTGTAGTCGAGCCTACCCAATTTAGTTTGGAACTCCCTGAAAGCCTTCGCAACCGGCTTGGTTCTCCCTTCACTGCCCGAAGTTATGGGCCTAGCTCCACCAATACTCTGGCTGGCGGCTTCTCTTTCCGTTCGTCGATGCCCCAGCGCCAGACCAACACCTTTGAGCCTCGTCGTGGCGGGCTTCAATCACCAGCGCGACTCACAAGGAGCCGATCGAATACTCTCCAAAAGCGTAGATCTCGCCAAGCAGCCAGCGAATTGCGGAAGGGCAAGCGACCTAGTCTTGGGTCAGATCTATGGACTGCGCCAGGATTTGCAGGCGACAGTCTCGCTAGTGCAAGCACGACAGCCAAACCCGAGCTGGAGTTCAGCTCGACTAGCTCGAGGCAGCATGACGATCTTTTTGTCCCGCGCACCACTCATATCGAAGAGTTGGTGGCGACAGCCGAACCATCAGTCCCGAGCGGGTCAAAGTTTCCCGCGATGGCATCTACTGCAAACCTTGCGCTTCCTGCTGCTCAACCACCGCGGCTCGGCTCCCCATTCTCGGCCCCGCCCTCTAGCCTCTCATTCCCGAATCGTCTCTCCCAACCTCAAGACCTCGCTTTTGGCGAAGTCCGTCGCCCTTTCGCTACTATTCAGCAGCCTGCTGCCAATGATGCCGATACCCCTGCGAGGGCGGCGAACCTTGCCAGTCGATTGACTTACATCAATGAGCGCCTAAGAGAGTTCCGACAGCGGGATCATACTTGGAGACGATCGGAATCTCCATTTTAACTAGGCGGTTATGAGTGCCTCTATGACCTCCGCTGCTACACCGCGAAAGGAGCTACTACTGCAACATCCTCGCTTTGATTTCCGCCTTATGATAGGGGCCATCTCGATTTGCATACTTGCATATCTCAGGCGTACATTTCTTTTGTTTCGTTTTCCCTTCTGCTTCCTCTGACGCATCTCTGCCTCTCAGGAATTTTATTTTGAAATCGGGGGTTTTCCCCTTCTTTTTCTTTTATTTTTTCCCCTTCTGTTCCTCTCTGGGTATTATCACGGCCGGCGTTTTATGAAAAGTTACGACGATACGAAAACCATCATGTTCTTTTTTCTGGAGGGTTCATGTATAGATGATCATACTCCTCTTCTCGACGTTCTTCTTCGACTCTTATCCTGTTACGTTTATTTGCCAACTTAGCTTTCGCCTTTACCTTTCTACTTTCTACTTCTTATATGCCTTGGCGTGCCTTCGGAATACCAGTTTCCTTACAAGGAGGCTCCAGGAGGATTGTCTTTTTTAACTTTTTTTACCCTTTATTTTTCCCTCTCTTCTCTTCATCTCATTTCTTCATTACTTTCCTTCATTCCTCTTTTACCTTTTTGTTCTTGTCCCCTCCATTTGGACGTGTCAAGATTACAGTTATGATGAGGGTATGACAATGTTGACCGAGCTGATGTCGATCTGAGAGACGAATGGGAGGGCCAGAAGGTGGCCTTGCCTATTTAGTATCTATAAATGACGAATTTTTTTCCATAAAGAAAACCGGATCGCTGTCTGATTTTGAGAGACCGGCATGAATTGCGTTGCTCGTGCCTCTCTGCGGCTGTCGCTTTCTCGTATCCTCAGCTCGAGGCGCTGTTCCTGCCGATCATTACTCCATTCCTCCATGTAACACTGCACGAGCAGCCATTAAACCAGAAAAGGGAAGAAGAGAAAAAAACCAAGGGCAAGTTCCGGCCGGGGCTTGAGGCGAGGGTCGCTTCGCATGACCTTAATCAAATGCAAGCTGTACGAGGACAGAGCGCAGACAAGATTGAATGACTTGCGCATTCAAGAATGGGTCCTCGAGGAGGGGCGTTTTGACCATCCTTGACGCATGACATCACGGGAATGAACCCTTGCGGGAGGTTGTCGAAATTAATTTCCATCAACTTGAGTGTAAATGGATGCAAGCACTTTAATAGTTACCCCTTCAATTGATGTTTTATTTTACTTTTTTTGTAGTATCCCGGTTTAAGCTATCAATGCATCTCGAGTACATTTATTTGAATTTTTTTTTCTCATTCTGGAAAGAGATCTGTGCTTTCTTCTGGAGCGGGTATAATAAGAGATAGGAAAATGGGGGAGATTATCGACTTGGACCCCGCGATGGAACGAGTGCCGCTCGCATCGGAAGAAGAGAAAGATGGGGGGTATGGCGTATTTGCTATTTCGGCAAACAAAATTGTATGGGGACAAAGGGAATGGTTGCCCGCAAAGGGTGGTCTCGAATGCTATAGATGTTGCCTAAGAGTGCTTCGAGGAACCAAGAAGAAGTGAACAGGAAGGAAAAATAAAATAAAAAAAAGGACGAAAAGGAAAAGTCATAAGAAACGTGAGGCTGGACAGACTGCTCCAGTCGTAAATGTAAAGATGCTTGTTCCAACTTTCCATCGCCAAACCTAGCGTGCGTCCACCATAAAAACCACGCTTCATATCTGGCTCCCCGAGATAGACCTAAGCCGCCTCAAAGGCTTCGGCACGTCCGGATTCCCTGGCGTCTTCGAAGCCTCCTCGAACCCGCTAATGTCCTCAACAAGAGGAGCCATGATGGGCATCCTCTTAAGCTTCATCTCCGCCAAATCGTGGGGACACTTCTTCTCTCCAACAGCGGCGCGGTGCGTGTGAAATGCGCACTGCCGAAAGGCGAAGCGTCGCTCCTCGTTACGCAGACGGTTGGCGGGGATGCGAAGCTGAGGGTTCTTGACGCGGATATCTAGGCCGGAGACGGACATCTTGCGGAGGTGGTTGGCGTACTCGGCGCTGAACACCGGGAATGTCTTGAGCAGGATGTGGAACTGGGCGGGGACGGAGTCTGGTGTGCGGTCGAGGGAGTTTGTGGAGGAGAGCGTGTAAGCGACCATGGCGACGGCCCAGCGGCGGAGGCGCAGCGAGGCCGAGGGGGAACACTGCTCGTAGAGGAAGGCGATGAAGCGGGGCGTTACGTCCCAGTCGCGGCGGAGGTAGAGGTCCTGGATGGCGTCCATGGCCGTATCTTGCAGTGTGGGGATGTTGAGGGTCGACGCGAAGAGGTGCAGGCGCACCAGGGCCCAGTGGAGCTTCTGGCAGAGGGTGGGCGAGTCGACGCCCTTGGGGACGTTGGCGGCCTGGCTGCAGGCCATGGTGATGGTGTCGTCGAGGTACTTGCGGAAGGAGACTTGGCTGTGGACCCAGGTGACGAACAGCTCGAACATGGCGGGCGAGTCGTGTGGAAGGTGCATGACGGAGGAGTCGTCTACGAGCTTGAGCTTCTCTTGGAAATAGGATGAGGCGGCGCAGAGCTGGGCCCTGTTGATGATGAATTCTCGGTTCTCGCGGCCGACATAGACGCGGATGAGCTCTCCATAAGCATATCTAGTAGCGGGTTTGTTAGCATAAGTAGGACTCGGAATCTCGTATGTGAGAGCTTCTCTCGAGAGCTTACCTGTATCTGATGGAAGCTGTGGAGGCACTCCTGGTGAGAGATTTGGAGATGGCCATCTTGATTCTCGTGTTCCTTTCTTTCTAATTTCTTTTTCTTTTTCTTTTTTTTTTTTTTTGGTTCTCCCCTTTTCTGACTTATATTCCCAGTGTCCCCCGTCTTCCTGAGCCAGAGCAGGAGACTTATAAAAGACAAAAATAGGCCCGGCCTGTCAAGAGCGAAACGAAGAAATGCAGCGAACACCCCAAGATAAAAAAAGGCTCAGCCTGTGAGTCGTGCTAAAAGGAAACGAGCCCCGAGCGGAAAGGAGAGAGCAGGAGAGGGATGTGTTATAGTAGCTATAGAGAACAGGGGTGGGTTGGATGCAGCTGCTCTCACGGACAAATCTCCCGTGCACGTTCTTCGTGACCCTGGGCGCTCAGCCTTGACCTTATGCAAGGGGAAATGGTGAAGAAGAAGTAAAGAAGAAGAAGAAGCAGCTAAATGCAAACCACAAATGAAATGCAAATGGAAAAGCGAAGAACCTGCTCAGCAGATGAAAAGAGAAAAAAAAAAAAAAGAAAAAAAAAAAAAAAAAAAAGAAAAAGAAAAGAAAAGGAAGAGGAAGCTTGAGGGGAGCTAGGGGGTTGTTATCATGGGCAGGAATAAGACGAAGAGATGAGAATAATAAAAAGACCTCGAAACGAAACGCTCCGCACACGCCGGGCTTTGCTTGAACGATCATCTGAATTTTTTCCCGTTCTCTTCGATGATTTACGAGGTTTCCATTGCTCATTCATGCGAGGCGGAGTCAGGGAAAGCTCGGGATGCCCTTGCTGGTAACTGTATCAGATCTCTGGGGGATGGACCCTCGCAAGACACTAACAATGGACATCTACGAGTGACATGGTATCGTGGGGGGTTTTGCAGGCAGTTGCAGGCATTTCTTGCAGGGAATGGGGAGTATCGAGAAGCATATCGGTGTTAAGCTTGTTTCAGTGAGACTTTATCCAGCTCGGGATTTGACGATGCATACCGGGGTTCGACGTCAACCAGGGGCAGTGCGAAGGAAGCAAAGAAGAGCCATCGCAATTGGTGAGTCTGCTTAGCACTTACTCGTCACAGGTATTGCTCCGAGAACTGAGAACCGCATGTGGAGCTGTCGGCCCTGAGATCAAGGTGATCCGGGGAAGGGAGCCAGTGACAGGCTGCTCTTCTCCTGTCCCTCATGCACCGTTATCGCTTAAGCAGCTCGCGGGTCTCTCGGGTTCTCGTCCCCTTTGTCCTTACCTTCCCCTCCCTCTTTCTCATCCTCATTCCCATTCCCATTCCCGTTCCCTTTCTCAGAATCTCAGATTTGGTACTGATGGCACCGCCTTGCCAGGACTTTCATCTCGTTTGCAGGCAAGATCGGTGCAAGCACACGGTCTGAGGGTGTAGCAATGAAGGCCAGGGACCAGTCACGATCAGGTAAAAGCTCCAGGTAAATGCAGTCGGCCAGGCACAAGCATACCAGGTCACAATGGATGGATCCGTCGTGAGCCAAGCCGTGTTTCAAAAAAGGCCGTGTAAAACACGATCGCTTGCGTCTTAAGAGGCTTAAGAGGGTCAGGGCTACACGTGATTGGCCACCGACGGGCTGGGAGCATGGGTCGGGGGAGTTTTGGGGGGTTTTGGTGAGTCTGGTGGCTGCAGAGGAGCCCTGTATTGGGTACTTTCAAATCACTTGCAGAACTCGTATTTTACTATGGCGGTCGAGGAACATTCTTGTTCTAGGAACATCAATCGAGTTGGCCCCGGTAAATCCATGACGTCGAGGATTGGGGGGAACCAAGACGGGACGTCCGCTACAAGAACAATTGAATGGAGAATTACCTGTTACGTGAGCATTCCAGCATTCACGGAACGGGGCATCTTCTTGAATCACAATACAGCCGTACCTGACTTCATCCAGTTTCAATGTTCCTGGAGTCCGATCCGAGGAATACGGGAGAGTCGAGGTTCCCCGGTATCTTCAGGTTGTCCACAGCAGGGGCCACCACCCTGAAAAGAAAACGTAACCTATTTTAGCCGGAGATCGCCCCAACTATGCGATGAGGTGTTCCCCATGTTCGTTCTCTTCCGTCTTTGGCCCTTGGAGCTTGGAGCCCATTTCGGCTCGTAATAGATCCGCGATTAAGTTCATCCCAGCTTCATGCTGTGCCTGGTTTGTGGCTACCCTAACCGCGACCCCAACCGCAACGGGGACCAACATTGGCCCGAAACAACTTCGATCTGGAAGGCCCTGGAATATTCTCTCCTGGCACGTGTATTTAGCCTCATGATTCAGCCATACTTTGAGATCTGGTCAGAAGCGTCGATGAAATATGTACGCATGTCGGCATCACAACCTCCCGGCAGTGAGGAGGCGAGGAGGTGAGAAGAGGGGATTGTAGAAGAAGTGTGCAACGAGATGGGGATGAGAAATCCGATGTATCCAGGCTCTCCTGGCGCCGAAGCACGCAATTGCTGGCTTCATAGGAAGCTCACCGGGTTGTTTTGCGCTCGGAGACTATAATTCCTTCGTCCCTCGGAAACTGATTGCGACCCTTGCCATCGTACCGAGATTACCTGGATCGAGGTGCTCCCAAGGACGCAGTAATACTCGTGAATTCTGATCTAGGAAGAACGTGTTGAGGGTCTATCCAGGAACGGCGCACACTTTAACTCTAAGTCCTAACCCCTGTCGGTGCGTGCTGCCCCGGCTGGCTTGGCCGCTCCCAGATAAGGAGCTTTAAATTTGTCGCACCAAGCGTTAAATGCGACTATTTCCTACAAAGACCAGGGAGTCGGCAAGGGGCGGGGATACATCCACTCGATAATACCGAGCAACCGAAAACGGTCTTGGATTCGTCTTACAAAGGATGAGTTAACAGAGGAAGAGGAGCCGAATCTGAGGATGGACCGGCCGAACAATCTGGAGAACGATACCGATCCATCCGAATCCTCGAGATCAATGCCATTTGATGCCATTGTAAATAGAATGATGCAATTCGAGCACGAATTGATCAATACATTATCAACCTTTGCTTGTCCTTCAGTCGGTCTCAAGCCGCCCGCCCCTCCCCCGCAGAAAAGTCTCCGGCTGGCACGATGCTGATAAATCCACAAAATCGAACGGCACAGGACAGGAACAATCGAGCTTTTGAGTGTTGATAGTGATCGCTAATCAATCGGTTTACTCCATTTACTCCAACACTAACCTCCTAACCATCGCGAACCCCGCATGAAAAATCGTAGTGTGTAACAGGAGTAAACTAGACTTATAGCGAGTGGCCCGTCCCTAACCTAATACGAAGTAGAAAATCATCGAATCTTTCTCTGATGTGGGTATCTGAATCTATATTCTCAACCCGGCAACCCACTTACAGCATCGTCTCCCTGGTCAACTGATCTTCCTACATCTTCCTGCACAACAAGACTCTCGTGAATAGTGTTCGAGGAGAACCTCAAACATCGTAATTTGAATCTGAAGACCATACCCTCCTCCCTCCTAATATCTCACCATGGCTCCTACCGCAGCCCCCCGAGCCCCGGGTGCGCCTTACTTCACCCCGGAGCAATCCCCACCAGCAGGGACCCCTCTCAAGACCGAGAACCTACCGACTCTCTTTACGCCTCTAAAGATCCGGGGCGTCACTCTTCACCACCGATTTGCCGTGAGTCCCATGTGCACCTTCAGTAAGTGAGCCCTCATAACCGAAACCCTCCGTCCCTATGCCAGCCCCCCGCTAACGTCCTCCGCAGGCTCCGAGGATGGCCACCTAACCGACTGGCACCTCGTCCACCTCGGCCAATTCGCCTTCAACGGCGCCGGCCTCGTCATCGTAGAAGCCACCGCCGTCGAAGCTCGCGGCCGCATCTCCCCCCACGACGCCGGCCTCTGGACAGACAGCCAGATCGCACCCCTGAAGCGCATCGTCGACTACGTCCACAGCCAAGGCCAAAAGATTGGCATTCAGCTCGCGCATGCCGGGAGGAAAGCAAGCGATTTGCCGCCCTGGGTCGGCAGGAATTTAACCTACGCCAAGCCAGAGCAGGGTGGTTGGCCGGATGACATCGTGGCGCCAAGTGCGATCGCTTATAGCGAGGCGTATCCTACGCCGAAGGAGTTGACGGTGGAGGAGATTCAGGAATTTCTGAAAAGTTATGCCGCGGCTGCGAGGCGGGCTGTCGAAGCTGGATTCGGTAAGTTGGGGAGAGACAATGATAGCAGTATATGTGGAGTTTGTTCTTTGGAAACGGCGGCTGACATCTTTTTTTTAAGACCTTATCGAGATTCACGGTGCCCACGGGTATCTGATTTCAGAATTCTTGTCCCCGGTTACAAACGTAGGTTCTGGACCCGAAATCTCTGCCTAACCCGATTCGAAACCTTTTCTAACTTTCACGCTCAGCGACGGACCGACCAATACGGCGGCAGCTTCGAAAACCGCACCCGCCTCGTCACCGAAGTCATCCAAACCGTCCGCGCCGTCATCCCCGAAGCCATGCCCCTCTTCCTCCGAGTCTCCGCCACCGAGTGGCTCGAATACACGGGCGAGCCCTCCTGGGACCTCGAATCCACCATCCGCCTCGCCAAGACTCTCCCCGCCCTCGGCGTCGATCTTCTAGACGTCAGCTCCGCCGGCAACAGCCCCAAGCAAAAGATCCGCATGGGCGATCCGTTCTACCAGTCCGATCTGGCGGGCAAGATCCGCGCCGCCATTAAAGAGGAAGGGTTGAATCTGCTCATCGGCGCTGTTGGGATGATTAATGTGCCTGAGAGGGCGAGGCTGACGGTTCAGGATGGGCCGTTGGAGGGGCAGGAGGAGGGCAAGATCGAGCCGCCGAGGGCCGATCTTTGCTTGGTGGGTAAGCAGTTCTTGAGGGAGCCGAATTGGGTGCTCAAGGTTGGTGATGCGTTGGGCGTGCCTCTTCAGAAACCCGTTCAGTATGGATATGTCTTGAAGCATAGGATGTAAATAAACCGTTGCATGAGCGACGCAGATCGCGGATCACTCTTAGACACAGTTTTTAGTTTATACAACACGAACAACACATCGGCGAATATATATATATATATATATATTTATATATAACCTCTTCACTCTTACCCATACATAGCCAACTCAACCCGGCTGTAATAATCACTCTTCAACCCCAAATCCCACTCAAACACCACTAACTCCTCGGTTCCTCGTTGCAACCCCATTCAACTCCGACGCTATTCTCCCTCCTTCAAATCCTCCTCCACAAGTCCGGTAGACGAATACCCCGCCTTCTTTCCTTTAAGCTACAGCACAGCTCCCCTGCTTTCCCATGGGCGGGTACTCCTTGCCGCCGCGCTCGACCTTGGGCTCGCAGGTGCACCATTGGGCTTTATCGACCGTGTCCATGACGGAGGGGACGTGGTTTCCACAGCCCCACCAGGTCTTCTTGTCTTTTTGGATGTTAGTGTAAGGGAAAGGGAAAGGGAAAGGGAAAGGGAAAGGGAAAGGGATATGAATGACGCGGCCGAGTTGATGGCGGGGTTTTACACATACGACAAGTGTTGCAAGTGGCCGGTCTGCACATTGTGAGGGATGGGTTAGCTGGTGTAGAACTTGTTTCAAAAATAAACTCTTTTTGTTCCTCGGGTGTAGGAATCTTGGAGGTGTAGAGAAGTAGAGAAGTAGAGAAGTAGAGAAGTAGAGAAGTAGTTTGGAGATGAGGTGACAGATCAATTGATATCTTGCGTGGGGAAGGTGCGGTATAAGTCTGCTCATATCGTCATGACTAACAGCAACAGGTGCTAACTCCATAGGCCTGAGCTAGGAATAGAGCCCGCTGATAGAACCGAACCGAAGCCCCATCCCCAGTTAGAATCGGGGTTTTCGACCCTAACACGCGGAAAGGAGATCTCTCGACCCTCTAAGCTCGCCGGATGACCGGGGTGCTCCCATGCCATCTTTGCCATCTTCGTATCCTCGCCTCGCCCTATCACCGCAAGCTTTTCAAGCTTATGCAGGAGATAACTGGCATGCGTTCGATCTGTTCAAATCACGCATGAAGTCATAATATGGGGTGCATCAGACGGGATGGAGACAGACAGTCGCCGACTACTCTAGAAGTCGGCGACCACCACCTCGCCCGGATAGAGAGAAGGGAGAAGTACGGTGTAGTTTCGCCAGGTACTGTGCTTCGTGTTTAGAAATACAGAATCTGGGAACCTACCGTCTAGTGCTGAAATAGAACTGCAGTAATTTCCTTTCTTCTCAGTTAGAACATATTGAAGCTGCACCGTTGAGCTGGCAGGGAGAGTGTCGGTCCAGTTGGTCAATCAGTGCTGTCGAGCTCAGTTGTTGCCCCTGCTCCCCACTTCCGTCATCAAAATTTACCCCTCATTCATTGTTATCAATGCTCTCTCCCTGTCCAAATCTGCCCCGCCATCAAAATGTTGTCGCCGACAACCAAGCTTTTTTCTCTCTTTGCCCGATTCTCCCAGCTCCCCGCCCACGCGACTTAACAACAGTCTTCACCGAGCCCGGAATATTCATACAATCCCCGATCATCGTAACTCTATATTTAGAGCCCGTCTATTAGTAATTGTCGAAATCATCGCCGTTCAAAAGCCCAACAACCATGACCGAAGACGACCAACACGAAGTTTCTCTGGACCCCGGTCGCGAGGTCGTCTACTGCGGTGGTATGTCACACCGCCCACGCAATTGCTTCGAATCCCCATGCTCTCTCGTATCCATCTTCCCATGGCTGATAATTTGAACTTCTACTTCCAGTCTGCAGTCTACCACCAGAGGTGCTGCAAAACCCTTAAATCCCTCCCGACGTCTTCCGCGTAACGAGCGTCAATGTTCCGAGATAGAAACACGAAACTTCTGACGATGGCGTAGTACTGCGAATATGGAGGCACCGTGAAGAAATGCCAGGAATGGCTCGAGAAGACCCATGTTGATATGTACCAGCAAATCTGGTCTCCCGGTACGATCTTGACGCGTGTGAAGACGTCCCAACATCCATCGATAATATACCGGATCGCTAACGCGTGTCCCTTTCTCCTTTCCCACGGTATTAGAAGCCCTAGAAGCCGCGACCGCCTCCCTCTCCGTCGACGCCCAGAAGCGCGCTGCCAAAGACGCCCAGAAGAAGGCCGCCAAGGCCGAGGCCGCGTTGCAGAAGCAGGCTGATAAGCTCGCCAAGAGCGTCGTCACCATCAAGCGCATCGAGCGCAACAAGAAGAAGTTTGTTACGGCCGTCTCTGGTCTTGAAGCCTTTGGATTGGACTTGAAGAAGGCACGTAATCTGCTGATCTTCTTTCTTCCTCATTTCTTGGGAATGAACCTCTCATCCATGAACTAACTTCGACTGTTATGATAGATTGCCAAGGAGTTTGGCAAAAAGTTTGCTACAGGCTCGTCAGTCACTAAGACCCCCAGTGGTGGAGAGGAGATTGTTGTGCAAGGAGACGTGAGCCCCGAGATAGAAGACCTCCTGCTGGAACACTACAAGGAGATTCCGCCTGACAACATCGAACTTGTCGACGACAAGAAAAAGAAGAAGGCTGCAGGATAATGGCTTTGCTCTCATTTGTACGAGCGTTTCGTCGTTTGTGTGAACCTGCTAAATCCTGTATATATACTTGATTTTAAAACCTATACCCGTAAACCGAACCCATGTCCCTTGAGAAATGATTATGCCCGAACGCCACTCTGTAACCAATGAAGTAATATGCCGTTTCCGATTCAGCCCAATGCCATCCGTGTCTCCACTAACCTCGCTTCCTGAGCACCCGGGTAGTTGTGGGAGCTGATGCCGTCGTAGTCTTGGCGGCGGTCTTTGCAGCGGCCGTCCTCTTCGCCGTAGCCGCTGCAGTAGTAGTGGTGGCTCTCTTCGTTGTTGTGGTTGCGGTCTTCCTCGCCGCAGGAGCCCGGGTCGTCTTCCTCACCACGGTGGACGTACTCTCGTTGCTGGCGTTACTTGAGGCACTAACCCGACGCGTGGCAGCAGCCCGAGAAGTTGTCGTCCTTGTCGCGGTGGTGGCTGCGGGTCTCCTACCACGGGTTGTTCCCGTGGACGCGGCTGCCGAACTAGAACTAGTACTAACAGTTGATGCCGTCGTGGCCTTGCGGACTCCGGCGGCGCGTGTAGCCTTTGCCTTCTCCACCATGGTCGAGAGTAGGCCGGCGCCGCGTTGGGTCGTTGGGGGCTTGGTAGGTGACGCGGGTCGAGCGATGAGGGACTTGGTGGGAGAGGGGGGGGGGGCGCGTTTTCTGGGGGTGAGGCGAGAGTTGGAAGATGTGGGAGAGAGGATCTGGGCGGGTTGGGTTGCTGCGACGTTCGCTCCGCGAGTTCTCTTTTTAGGATTCTCGATGCCGAGCTCGTTTTCCTTGTCGGGTCCGACAAATTCGTCGCTATTTCCCGAAACTCGTAAGTCTGCCTGCTATAATCGTGAGGTACATAGGTATAAACAAACCTTGATCTCTTGTATCCTCGTGGCGGCTTAAAGGGGGAATGGGCCAGTGATTGTGAGGACTTTTGCGGACTCAGTCTGGGGTGAATGTCCTTCATGGGGACTGGCGGAGGGCGCGTCGAGGCGCCTGCGCGTTCCTGTTGTTTCTCAAGCTTGGCGAGGAGCTCGCCCATGATCATCTTCCGAAGGGAGATTGGAATGCGATTAACACGAATCTCGATCCTGGATCGGAGGCCCTGGGCCTGAAGGTTGTATTGTGCTCGTAACCGCCTGGCGCGTTCGGTAACTGCCAACGATTTGTTAGAACGACGCGTCTCTTATTTTCGTCCCCCTGCGACAACCCTCGGGATGAAGGCATTTCCTGGTTTAGGTTGAGACTAACTCTCGAGCTGTAGGTTGTCGATGAGAGCCTGCTTCTGGGCAATCGTGAGTCCAGCTTTCCTCATCTTAATAGGACTTCTGTTATGACGAGGTGTCCGCGTTGGCGTCCCCGTTTTCGTGGGGACTGTCATTGTTCGCGGCGGCGATTCGCCTGAATGCCGCTTCTTTGTCCGTACGGGTGCCATTATTATCGCGATTTTTTATCGATTTATGCGGTAAGGATGTGCGAAGATATATTGATGCAATTCGTCGAGAGAGAAGATGTCTTCCAGTCCAGCAGCAGGAGTCTTTTGAGAGGAGATGAGACCTGTGTGGTTCATAGATTGGCTTTGTCTGCAGCATCTCTTCCGGCGTGGTGTCATTGGCTGAAATCGGGTTCATGTAAACAAACTTCCTCGTGGGGCGAAGCTTGGATCGCTGACATAATAAAACTTGGTGATCTCAAGCTCTCACAAGCTATGGAGGTAGACAGTACAGCAAACACATCGCAATTCCGCGTCTGGTCCATGTATCTCTACTAACGAACCATTTCCCCAAGACGACACCAGGCTGAACCGCCTTACGCATTCGAGCTCTGTTCGGCACCTTCAAACCAGCAACCACTCTCCAACAAGCTCTACACCTTCTGCGCACCATACCACCGACACCAGCTTCCCTTTCAGCTCTGTGGAGGACACTTCTTCCTATCTCGTCTCTATCCAATATTGAATAATTCGATCACCTCCAATTTGCCAATCGACCGATCTTCTCCCGAAACTTCCCTGCCACCTCGCCCAACATGGTTCTCGAAGCGGTGATGATTGTCGTTGACAACAGCGAAAGCAGTCGCAATGGAGATTACCAACCTACGAGATTCGAGGCGCAGGCCGACGCAGCGAACATCATCTTCCAGAGCATTGTCCAGGGCAATCCCGAATCCTCTGTCGGACTCATGAGCATGGGCGGCAAGGGACCGGAGGTCCTCGCCACTTTTACAACCGATCCCGGCAAGATCCTCGATGGCTTGCACCGAACGAAGAGGCAGATTAAGGGCAAGTCGAACCTTGCTGTGGGAATACAAATAGCAGGAGTATGTGTTTCGCCCTCTCTTTATTGTCTGCTTTTGTCTTTGAGATGGCTTTCGCCTCGTTTCGCTCCTGAGAATGCTAACCTATTGATCTCCGCATATAGCTTGCCCTTAAGCACCGCCAGAACAACTCCCAACGACAACGCATAATAGTATTCATCTGCTCTCCCGTCGACGACGACGAAAAGAGGCTCGTCACGCTGGCCAAGAAGATGAAGAAGCTGAACGTCACGATCGATTTCATCCATTTCGGTGACCTCGATGACGAGGCTACGCAAAAGAAACTCGAAGCTTTCAACAAAGCCGTCAAGTCTGCCGACGGCTCCCACTTCGTGACGATCCCCCCGAGCAGTAAGCTCCTCAGCGACCAGCTCATCGCGACGCCCATAATCTCGGGCGATAACCCACCCCCGGCTGCGACGGGAGGCATGGGCGGCGAGGGCGCGGATGGCTTCGATTTTGATCCCAACATGGAGCCCGAGCTGGCTTTGGCTATCCGTATGAGTCTTGAGGAGGAGAGGGCTCGTCAGGAGAAGGCTGCCAAGGAGGAGGAGGAGAGGGCCAAGAAGGAGTCGCTGGCTGCGGTTCCGGAGGAGGGAGAGGCGTCTGGTTCTGGTTCGGGTGATAAGAAGGGCGACGATAAGAAAGACAACAGTGGTGATAAGATGGATACTTCGTAAGTGGGATGAAGGTATTAGTAGGCAGGTCAATTTTGGTGTTGTCCACTCATCGGGATACATTTGTACAATTAGAGGCTGGCTTGTCATAGAAGTTGCAAATCCGCAGGCTTTACAGTCATGGTTGTTTCGTCGTATTATTTGCTCTGGCGCACTGGGACATTATGCTACCACTAAACAATACGGAATGTTTCTCTCCATATATTCAGAGAGGTTTCAACTCCAGTGTGGACACAATAAGAAAGAAAGAAAATCAATGCCTTTATCCCTTCACCCACCCCCATTCCCAATGCCGCTTGCCTCGTCTGGAGAAAACGAAAATCACCTGCTATTAATCTCCCTGATATACGAAAGCAGCTTCCTATCAAAAGCATCACACCTCACCGGCATCTCCAGCTGGTAGAACGGGTTCTTCATAACATAGTCGCAGTATAGCTCATAGATACGCCGTATCGTCACGTCGACGTTGGCCTGCGTCGTCTCGCTAAACAGTAAGAACTTAGTCCCCGTAAGCGTGTTGAAGCACTGCAGGCGGAAATTTTCCGTCTCGAGGACTTCGAGGCCCGAGGGGGGTTCGGGGCGCGAGGGGATGGCGTTGGGGCCCGCTGGGGTTTGGGTGTGTTTGAAAGGGCTGAGTCGGGTTGTGATGGCGTGGACGCTGTAGGAAAGGTGTCAGTTGGGGCAAGTAGGGAGAGAGGCGGAGAGGGGCAGCTTGACGTTACCCGTGGAATGTGCCGGCTAGGACAAGATAGTCGTTTGTGCTTAGTTGGTTGAGGCCGCCTTCGTGGAAGGTCTTGTTGTAAATTAGGCCGCCGGCCTTGTTGATAATGATGAGGGCGTAGATGGTCCTATATAGAGGTGTGAGCGGCTCCCTCGGACAAAAAGAAACTATATATAGGCGAGAAATAGGTGACTTCATACATGATGTATGTTGCCCGTAGGCCTGTATTGAGCTTGCTCCCTCCTTGCTGGGTCCTCAGGAGAAAGTGTGGGGTTTAATGACTGGTCTCGTGTCCTCTCTAGATGAGCTGGGGACCAAGCTATGAAGAGGTCTCTGTGTCTCAACGATACTAATCCCGGTATGGCTGATGCCAAAGGTGTCTCTAATTGTTGGCTCAGTGGCTCCTATGAGTAGATTGATGTTCTAGGGTTGAACAAGATCGACTCTCCTCCAATTCTCAGGCGAAGGTCTTTGTGAAGAGGTGTATGAGCGCTGAGGACATACAGGATAAGCTATCTACATTTCCTTGGGTTAATAAGTTGCTAGAAAAGCTACTATAGTGCTAGTACTTACAGAAATTGTAAAATGGGGTTTTAGATGAATAAATTTCTGTTATTCTATCTCAATATTGATCTCACATCAAACAAAGTATCACTGGAGTTCCCAGATCTGGTTCATCATCAACGACCCCTAACTCTTGGTTCCAAGGACCCTAGAGCCTGCCAGCTGTCAACCCCGAACTCTGTTTTACCCGAAAATTCACCGCCACCGCCAAGTCAGAACTTCACAGCAAAGAGAACAAAAGGTTGCCGCCAAACCAGAGGAGCCCTCACATTCGAAGCTCCAAATATCCATTTCGAACCTTCCTCGACCAATTCCCTTTCACCTCGTTCCCTCCAAAACGACACGAGGCGAACCCTCCCGCACCCGAATCGACCACATCCACCGCGAACTCCCAACAATGTCTGAAAACCAGGACGGCGCTCTCCCCCGCGCTCAACCCCTCCCCAAGCGGAACGTCCCCCCTCGCGTATCGAGGCCGAGGCCCGCGCAGCCCGGTAACGAGGAGGCCGGCGCGGTGCTGAACCTCGGCGAGTTTCAGGATGTCGACACGTTGACTTTGTCTGAAGCTTCTCTCGTCATCAATGCCCTCATCGCCAAGCGGAGGATGGACCATAGGAATGTCAATGAGACTGAGTACGTCCTTTTACATTGCACATGATACTGGTTTCCAGGCACCAAACTCGGGGGCTATGGCGTACCGGGGAATATATGGCGTGTTTGCGCTCTCAGGGAGAGGAAACAAATGGGCGGCTAGGAAAGATTCAGACATGCCCTGCTGACGTGTGCGCCTTTGCTTTTCAGGATGCTTCAGCAAACCCTCACTTATCTCGACAACTTTGCCCGATTCACGAGAAAGGAGAACGTTGAAGCCGTGGAGCGCCTTCTCAGCTCCTGCACACAATTATCAAAGTTTGAGAGGGCTCAGCTCGGTATGTTTTTCTTGTCAATTCCGCCACCCAAAAACACCGCTCGCCACCGCGCGACTGTAGACGGCTCTCTTTTTGTCGCAAACCCTCTAGGATGTCCTTTTCTAATCGCTTGACCTGCTAGGCTCACTCTGCTGCGAATATGCCGAAGAGGCGAAGACGCTGATCCCTTCGCTACAGGACAAAATCAGCGACGAGGAGCTTCAGCACCTCCTCGATGAAATCTCGAACCTCCAGGGCAAATAAGGACGACCTCGTCAAGTACGATGTGATGATTTACGAAGTAAAAGGAGGATGGCAATCCATCGATATGATACTCGGAGTCTGGCGAGGCAACTAGACACCCGCTCTAGTAGAGAGCTTCACTACCATGTCCGCCGTTGCGAGAGGAGAGAGAGAAAGCTTCGGGTGACTGATGCTATTCTCTATGTTATTGTTCCGACTTTGATACCCACCATTAGACCATTCATGATCCCTTCGTCCGAGGTATTCCAACCGTGATGCTAGATGACGACGTCCTTATGACCGCCCTCTCTCTTATCGCCACTACGCCCGTCATACCGAGTTCTACATGATACGATGACGACTGTTGAAGAAGGCATGTCTTGGTGAGCCGAATTAGGCCAGAAGGGAGACGAACTCGCATTATACCACCGTTTATTGAGCGACTCTCGAGTCAGCCATGGTGGATGTACGATATGGGAGACGTGAGGAAGGCCTTATAAAAGGAGATGCAGGAACAAAATCTCATGTTTTGCCAATGATCTTTTTCATAGCGCTGCTCTTTATTCTTCCTCCAGCTAAAGTATTCCAAAATTCCATAAATCAAAGGGTATCTCCTCGAACAAAACAAGGGCCGCGCCTGTCAGATTTCCTTCATGAACCGATGTGATGTATGAGCCCTGAACAAAGTGCCATTCAATGTACCGATTCCGCTCATGTAAGACTATAAAAAAAGGCCGATAGGAAAAACAACCGTAACTCCAGTGGAAATGGGAAATGCAGTATTTTACCGGGTGATATCAGGACTGCCCTCGAACCTGGACCAACTCGTCACATACATCCTCCTACTCCTCTCCTCATCCGTAGCCGTGAACGTCGCTCGTGGAGGAGAAGAATCCTCAGCCACCGGTTCAAGTGGCGTCGACTGCGGCCGAGCAACATTAGCAGCGCCACTCTGGACTCCTAATCCCTGGAGTGCAGCACCTCCTGTCGTGGCCGACGACGGTGGGTTGGCTGGAAGCTCTGAGATGGGTCTGGGAGACGGGGTGGCGTCCATTTCCTGGACGAAGACGGGCGAGGAATCGAGTTGCGGGACGGTGGGGAAACCCTCGACACTGAGGGTGTGTCTCGAGAAGGGAGAGGGGCTTCCGGCGAGAGTGTCGGAGGCCATGGAGCTGACGTAGCTGATTCTCGAGTCGCGCGCATCTCCATTTCCAATACCGGGCGTGGTTACGTTCGTCGTCGGTGTGCTGACTATTTTTCCTCCGAAGGGGGCGAAGACGCCGTTGTAGCCTTCTTGCGGAGTCTGGAGCACGGTGGAGGCGGGCGTTTCTGGCATGCCGGCACCTTTGTCGCTATCGATTCCAGGGACGTTGGCCATCGGAGGTGGATAGTCGGCTTGTGCAGGGGTATAATTATACGACTCCTTGGCTTTCTTCCTTCTGCGCAGGAAGAGAAAGATCAGAAGGGCCAGGAGAGCGATGCCGAGAAGAGCGCCGACTACTATCCCGGCAATGGCGCCGGAAGATAGCTTCTTACTTCCTCCATCGTTCGAACCGCCGATTCCCGCCTCGCCGCCCCCGGCTAGACCATTGCCTCCATTAATGCCCGTTTGTAACGGTCCGCCTCCAGCTATGATTGTCGTGGAGGCAACCGTCGTCACCGCTTGTCCATTGCTGTCTGTCGTTGTTACCGTGAAGACTGACGTCTTAGTCGCCTCTGGGGGTGTCGTAGTGCTTCTGTCAGGATTAGGGGTCGTCTTGTCGTTGTTGGTCGAGGTTCGAGCATTGCCGTTTCCGCTGCTATTGTTTCCGCCGCCAGTGCTTCCGCCATTGTTGCCGCTATTGTTCCCACCGCCGCCTGAATTATTGTCTGGACAACCCTCCTTCATGGCGCAAGGGTCGACGGAGCAGCAACCGCTAAAATTATTTATGGCGCATCGGTAGAAGTTGGTTCCCGAGGAGCACTCGCCGGCCTGACGGCCAAAGAGAGCCGGTAGGTCGACCTCGGCCCTCTGGGCTGGGCGTCGTCGTATTACTCGCATGGTGCCCCGGTTGTCTGGTTCGAATTGTTAAAGACAGGAATTGGAAGAGCACTCGTCGTTGCCTTGTACCAGGCCTGATTTCGTGTAAGCCGCCGTTCTTGATATGCCTCAATTGGTTTTCAGTCTACGCCCTTTGTCTTTAGAGGATACCAAAAGCTCCACCGTAGTAATGGCGCAATTGAGGAATATCCCTTAGAAATCCTCCGCTCTTCTCATCGCAATCACGTCACCACTTTCGGTCTCGAGGGGCACATCCAACCGTAAACAAGAGAGTTTTCCTCCCCGCTCGGGGCCTTTGTGATCGAGTCCTGTTGGTAGCAGGTTTCGAGGGACTCGTGTTTGATCTTCCGGACGATAGGATTCGTTCGGGTAGCCGGTTAGCTCATTGAGGTAACACAGGAAAGACGGCTCGAGGAGGGATGGTACGAGGGGCGTGGGGGAAGCGAGGAAAGCTTGAAAGAAGGAGGAAGAGAGAGAGAAAGAGAAAGAGAAATTGAACAACCAGTAGATGGTATGAGGCTAAAGAAATGAGGGGACTATGAAGAGCTCTTAGTATGCAACTGAGAGGATTTCCATGAGCAGGGATTTCCGGTTAACCCAAAGAGGCGGGAAGGATCAGATACGATCATTACTACTTTTAACCTTTCCCATGCAAGTTGGTGTTGGTGGTCCAACACAAGGTAGCATTGGGCAGCCTGCTCTTTTCTTTCTTTGACTTGTCCGTCCATGCACCCTACACAGGTAAATTCTTGTACATCGTGCATTAGAGCCAACACTCTGGGCAAGGCTCCCTCTCAGTGGCTAAACCATTCAAGATGGTCAATCCACAATGAAGAGGACAGACACCGATTCCTTCACCAGACTTGAAGAGTGGGCCGTTGGCCAACCCACCTGCGACTTTTCGGTAGTACAAAGCAATATTGATTCTAGAAGGACCGAGGCAAGAAGTCTTGTCATACGGAGTAGTTCATCAAGACTTGGCGTTCGCAGCGCCACGAGACAGCAAGAGAGAAGGGCGGCCGATGCCAGGCTTGTCCCTTTCCTCCTGTTATTGTGAGGATCGGATGTGGGCTGCGGTAAGCTTAGTCGAACGACATCGTCCTGGTTTGTTCAGCTGTTCGGTTCCTCCATGTTAGTTTTGATATGAGGTGAGGAGGTTGATTTCGGAGTTGGGCGGGTGTGAGGCTCCTTTCTTCTCTTGGCCTGCAGGCTGCAGGATTCGCCCGAGAAGGAAAGGGAGGCAGTGGCGGAGGATACGTTTCTTTCTCGGCGCCGGTATTCAAGCCTTGCTGGACAACCGAGCTGAGATTTTGGTACTTCTCAGAGGACGGTGATTTTTAGACAAGGTAAGGTGGTCGCTGTCTTGGTGCCAGACTGGGCCGGATGGCGATTGTACACATGGAAGTGGCCAGCGATCGAACCAAGATTTAGCTTAACGACAAGAACAAGGGGGGTTCAGGTTCAGGAAGACCCATCATACGTGAATAAAATTCGAAAAGTAGAGAGATCGGAAGAGCCAAACAACATGTCGCGTATGTACTTCGTATATCGACATACCTGGGTAGAGAGTCAATCTCTATTCTTAGCACCATTATCAATTGGTGTTTCCCTCTGAATGGTCGATCCTCGCTCGGCTCTGACCCGTATAACTTTATTAGGGGCCGGGGCTGTCATCCCAAATGGTGCAGCAATGCTTCGTAGTTTACCACGAGGATGCACCTTCACACAGCCCCCAACACAAGTACGAGTTTTCTTCTTGGCACAGCATCAGGCTCGGGGATTCTGGAAACAAGCATAAATGTCCCCTCCCTAAATTGGCCCACTGCGATGTCTCGACAAAGTCTTCCAATCGCGATGGACCATGTCGTTACGACTCAAGCAAGCCAACTCTATGACAAAAGAAAGGGGAATGTAATAATACATCGATTAATAAATTAGACGGAATGAAATGTTTCGATTAAAAAAAAAAAAGAAATGTTCAATACCCTTAACCAAGTTCTGGTTTAATTGGCCAAAAAAAGGGAGCCTTTCTGCACTAGCCCGGAATCGAACCGGGGGCTAGTCGAAACTGTGAAATGGCAACGACCAATTTTACCACTAAACCACTAGTGCGTTTGTTGATGGAAAATTGTTGCCCTGAGCCAGATGAAAAAGAAACATGCATTTGCCACTCAGTTTTTGCAACGGCCTTGATCACTCTCTTTGACGAGCTCGACTCTAGTAGGACAGGCAGTTTAATCGAAGGCTGAGTTATCGAGAATGGCATATCTTTACTCGAGTCTACATTTCACCAACTCCTGTAGAATGACTGATAAGTGCATTCATTGATTGCTCCAGAGGATGGTTCTCACTCCTGCCCAAGTCTGCATGCAATATGGACACGGTCGTGGTTCACTACTATGTATAAATCAACTTGATCTCAAATGCCCGTCTATTCTCTGGCCTCCCCCGAAAGGCAACTAATAATGCTATCGAATGAAATGCATTTACGTATAGTCAACAAGTAACTCCTCCAAAATAATAGATTCCCAGAAATTATTTTCCCTTTTTTCCCCTTCCTCTTCTCTACCGCAACTTTTCGAGAAGCAGCTTGCTACCCTGGTTTCCACCCGACTTCGGTGGCGCCGCCGGCCCCTTCTTCTTGTTCCCAGCGCCCTTGTCCTTCTTATCCGCCTTCTTCTTCTTGGGCTCCTCGCTTCCAGCCGCCGCCTTCTCGAGGGCGGAAGTATTCTTCTTCAACGTAGATTTGAGCTCCTTCTTCTCCTCAAAGTCCTCCGCCTCCAACATGTTGACGACGACAAAGGAGCTGGGACCCGTCGCCCAGCTCACGATGTGATCCTTGATGAGCGGATACAAGACGTTGGCGAAGTTCAGCGGAGGATCCACCTTCTTGACCGTACCCGACGCCTTGTCGTACTTGCCGCCCGCAATCAGCGACTTCAGTAACCGGCCGCCATGAGGTGTCCGGGAAATGTGCGGCTGCAGCTCGCTAGCGGTATCGTCGATACTGGCGTTGGCTTCACCAGGGTTGCCAGCGGCATTCGCGGCAATAGCCTCCAACGCTGCCGTCTTGTCTCCGACGGCGGAGAACATGATCTCCGCCATGAGCTGGCACCCGAAAGAGTCATGCACCAACGTCGGAGCCGCCAGAGCGACTCCCTTCAAAAGCTGTGGCGACATGGCAACGACCAGTTCCTTTGTTCGCATATCGCCGTCCTTCTTACTCGTAGTCTTGCGAATCTCGTGAACTTCATTGAGAATCTCGAGATCATCTTGGAGAGTACCGGGAAAGACGGATTTTGAAGCTCCTTCGAGTAGATAGAGAGTTGTAGCCCTCGCGTTGGGGTTGCTTGACGCGGCCATCAGACTCTCGGCAGCCTGTTCGTCAGATTCGCCAAAGAGCTCGGGGAAGATAGCCTTGGCAGTCATCTTTGTATCGTCGATGACGTCGTACGCGGTGAGGATGACAATGTGGGCGTACGGGTCGCCCGACATCATCGAAATGGTGTCCTTGTACGTCTTGAGAAGCTGCTTCCTGTCCTTGGCCGTGCCGTTGGCAAGCATGAGGCTCACGAGATGCGCGCCGCATCGGGTGAAGGCCATGTTCTTCAGAAGATCTCCTTCTTCGTCTCCCTTGACCATCTCGAAGAACTCGTTGTACTCTTCGGAACCGACGGTGACGTTTCGGAAATATTGATACATGGCATCGTGGAGCATCGTGAATCCAGTCATCTTCTTTTGCACCAACGAGTTGATCATATCCCAGAGATACTTCATAATTGGTCCGCGTTTCGCGGGCTGTTCCTCGAGAATCTTGGCGAGGTCGCCGGTGGGAGAGGTGCTGGAGGTTTGCAGAAGAGCAAATTCGGGGCCGTACCACTCCCTGAGAAGCATTGCCTTCTGGTCTTTCGTAGCCGCGACGCGGTAGATGTCGTCGAGAATCCACGATGCCTCGGGGTGGTTGATGAGCCTGCGAACCCTGCCATAAAACTCCGAGATGATCATGTCCTTGACCTCGGCATCGCTCTGGACCATCAGCTTTCCAATCAAAAACTTGGCATACCTGCTCTCGGCGAGCTGAGAATAGGCGCCCCGGAGTTCCTTGGCAATCATCTTCTTCTGCTCCACGGTAGCGTACTTGACGGCAGTCTGTACAGCTCTCACGGCGTCGTGCTTCAGGACGAAATCCTTCATACGACCGGTGATGATGGTATATAGCTCCTCAATCAACTTCTTGCGCTCCTCGGCGGGCACGTGTGACTTTCGTCGTAGGCGCTCCCAAATTTTCTTGGTTCGTTGGAGCTCGTCGGCGAGGGGCTTCGCGGCCTTGCGCTCTTTCATGAGCTGCCTCTGCTCGGCGTGGATCTCTCGGGAGGTTTTGGCATCTTCTTCTCAGGTTGTCAGACCAAGGTTCTTTAGCACAAAAAAAAAAAAATGGAAAGGAAACAAAAAGAGATTACATACTCTTCTTCTCCGCGTTCTTTAACATAGTAGGGGTTTTGTACGCAGGTTTTCCATTCGCTTTCTGGCCCCCAAACTTTGGCCCTGTGCTGTTCAACTTGACGCCGCCATCTTCGGAATCGGAAGAAGACTCCATGTCGCTATCGCTGTCGCTCACGGAATCGGAATCGGAGTTGGAGTCGAGGTCCATACGATCCTCTTGGATCCGAGCCTTCTTGGGCGAAGCCGCAGGACCAGCACGGCCCCCAGAAGCCTTCCTCTTGGCGCCAGCAGCTGTGCTTTTGACACCCATTGAATGAATGAACAAATATTTATGGATTGGGGAGAGGGGGAAAGGGGTGATGTAGAGAATTAAAGAGGGAGGAGAGAGAAGTTGTGGCAGCAAAAGCTGTATTGGTAGCGTACCAGGTTGGCCCAGTAAATTTTTTGGGAAATTTTTTTTTCTGCAGGTTGAATTCTGGGCGGTGACGGTACCACTTCCCCGCCATTGATCAATTGGTCCACACCCACAAACCACTCGGATCCACCCCTCATCATCTCACCGATATTTATCCAAGTCTCACCGAGAGCTTCTCATCGCTGCCTCTATAGGACCGCACGTCAGGAGCTGAAGGTGACCGTACAAATGAACAAGAAAAAAATGCAAGTGATAGTTGGTCATTTCAATCTTCTGCGAGATCACTCCCAAGTCGTGGCCGTTGCAACCACGTTTGAGTTTATCAACAGCAACTTCTTGATCTTGAACTTCGCCAACTTTTCCCGAGCTCAGCCTCGTTATCAGAAATATGTACATGGAATAGAATGAGCATCCAATACGCAGGCATGTTCCCAGCCCAAAGCTCAATGACAACATCACATCTTTAGTAGTCGTCACCGTATTCATAACCAGGATCAACACCTGTCGGAGTCGCCGTCTCGAAGGTCGTCACAGTCATAGTGCTCGGGCATGGAGGCTTTGCGTACGACGGCGTGCTGCAAATATCATGACAGCTATTCACCATATCAGCAAAACTCATGCGCATCCAGCAGACCATAGGCGAGGGGATTGTTAGGACTTACCCGCCATACCACATTCCGCACTCATTGACATAATCGATGCAGAGAGTGATGTCAGAGCAGCTCTCAGAAATCGGTTCGGGAGACGCGACAGTGGGCTCAGGGGTGATGGAGCATGGTGTGGTAGGCCTAGATAGCGTCGGAGTAGCACAAACGTCGAAGCAGCTATCCGACAAGTGTTGTTAGTTCCGACTCGTTCATCCAGCTTTTCTCTCATCGCCAATGAGCGGCACACAAGTCATTGCTTACGTTCCCCAGCCATTGCCACACTCATCGATGCCATCGGCACAAAGAATCAAGGACCCATTCCTCTCACACTGCTCTTCCATGCCGGGAGGGTAAGATTGAGACGAGGTGGGCGTTGGCTTGGTTTTTGTCCTCCTCGTCCGTGTCGGCTTCACAATGGTGGTCTTCTTAGTGCTAGTCGGGCAGACGGGCGTGATGAAGGAAGGTGTGGGGGTAGCGCAGTAGTCGTAACATCTTATGGGCGTTCAGATTAGATCTTGATACATCTTCCTTGATATGGAAGAATTTGTTCTGAGAAGGGTATATACCTACCCGCCATATTTCATCATGCACTCGTTGACTTTGTCAACACAGATTATGTGCTCCCCGCCATCAGAGCACTCAGGGCGCTTGGTAGGCTTAACTGCGTGAGTTTTCAAGGTAGAAGTGGTGGTAGGACAAGGCGGCGGTGTGAACGTAGGCCAAGGGGTACAGTCAGGAAAGCAGCTGAGTTCCATGTCAGTGATGGCCGTCACTATTCCCAGAGCCCAAGATATTCATTCTACTGCAGACTCACCCTCCATACATCAAACCGCATTCATTGATATAGTCGGCACACACGGTAACGGAGCTGCAATCACTCGAAGGCTCCTCTGTAGGTTCTGGAGGATACTCAGGGCTCTTTGTTGGATCGGGAGGCCTGATGACAGCATATGTGGGCAGAGGAGTATCGACATCACAAGGAGGCGGAGTTGGACTCTTCTCCGGCTCACAAGTGTTGTAGCACCTACGAAGCATGTCCTATTAGCATCCATCATCCAGGAGATTGATTGCTCACCACGAATGGGGATTTATACCCTCCCCATCCGACCCCGCACGCGTTGATCCCGTCGATGCATAGTGTAACGGGCTCACAATGAGTTTTCGGCGGCTTCGCGATAACGATGCTCACGAAGGAAAGCAGCAAGACAATGGCAGCCTTACGCAACATCATGACGACAATAGAGGTATGTGTAATCCAGGAATTGCTGCCGGCAACAATTGAAGAAGTCGGAATGTGTTCCTGATCTGATATCCCCCAAAATTGATTAGAAAACAAGTGGCCCTGACAGCTTATATTAATATACACAATGTTTCAATCTCAAATCAACTCGATCGGAATTTTCCCGAAGTGGGATGCTCCTTCCTGGCGCCAGACGTCATCTCTGTCTTGGACTTTCGCCTCCTCGCAAATAAATCTCCATATAAGCACGATTCATTCCTATTCAGGTCAGTCTCCGAATAGAAAGCGGACCATCACTTTCTGCATACTCGGCACCGTTCGTATCTCGGCAAGTCTTACTTTCAGCCGAGAGAATCATAAGAGAAAGAAAGAAGAAACGAAGGAAAATGAAACGAAACCCGGCAGTAGGTTAAATTCCCTCGCATTTTTGTCTCCGATTCTCAGAATAACCCCACGTCCCGGGGTAAAGATAAACCACAAGTGACCATCGCTTCGGTGCAAGAACACGGTCGTATATATTCAGCCGTCGCCCTAAAGGCAAGCGAGGTAGAGAAGAGAAAGCGATCGACGACGGTAGCCATTCCGAGCGATTCTCTCCCGCGGGACGGAAATAGCAAGCGGTAAATTATCGTAGGCGACGTGAATGCCCGGAATCAGATGGAGATTCCAAAATACAGGGTCCAACCAATATAGAGATTGATGTCAACGGACGAGTAGTCTATCCAAGACTGGGCTTACCGGGCTTGCAAGTCAGAAAAAGCACCATGATGCGCTCTCCCGCTGCGCATTCCATCAAACCCGACCGGAAACCAGGGCGTGGGCCGTTGAAAGCTGATGCCAGTCCGGTTCGGTAGCATCATGCACCTACCCGGTGGCGTCGCCCGGGGAAACTGATAATGGACTTGGCAACTATTTACCTTCGTTGAACTGAAGAAGTCCTGGAATCAAGTTGCCATCAAGTCCCAGGGGTAGCAACGGCCGTAGTTGGCCCTCGTTGGAATACCACGTAGACAAGAGTTAATGGTCCGAAATCTACCAGCAGGCTGGGGTTAACTTTCGCCATTTCCCCCGCTGGGTGGCCATTTTGTCTCACTCTCCATATCCAAGCCCTCCATATGCGGCGTTAGTCGTGATCAACAAGAACATGACATCAGTGACGCGCTTCCTGCATTTTCCCAGCCCGACGCCGAAGAACCTACGAAGTAGACTCGAGGTGCGAGTGGAGGGCGACCCCGAAAAACAAGAATGCAGGACAGCGAGGTCTGATTCGGAGGTGCAGTTAGTTTCGAACCAGACGAATGTGGAGAGAGAACTGGAGAGTTAAGTGGTGATGAGTGGTGATGCCGTCTCGCGAGGACAGACAAGAAAGCAAACAAAACCTTGGCGATATGGTATGACTTTTGCCTTTCTTTCGATCCAACGAGCAAGGAGAAAGACAATGCCTCATCACCTGAGCTCAAATCTACTCCACATCACAAGAAAAGTTCTTCGGAAAAAAGTATCATCCCCCGGATTGCCGCTTATCCACGGAACTGCTTTGCTCGGGCGAGCATACGAAGTATCTTGTCCCTGGCCACGGGCAGAAAGTTGTCAAAAGGAAGGCGGAAGCCAAGCTAGGACGACAGACGGTATAGCACACCCAAGCCTCCAAGCGGTAGCAGAAAATGAGGGCACAAACATGAGGCCCACTTGAAAGGTCCATTGGGGGCTTCCCGAGAGAATCGTTCTATGCCCAGGCCACCTTCCGTTGCCGCCCCTCAGCTCACCCGGTTGTTCCAAAAGATGCCGAGGCGGTCACGCCAGGACGGCGGAGCCGGGCAGGCTTGACTGGACCGCGTCGAAAGGGGTGGGTTCAATATTGATGCGAGGGTGTCGGGGAGAGTCCAGAAATTTCTTTTTTATATTAATTAATATCGGTAGGCGGGTGGTTGGAAGTATTTATAGGCTGGCTGTGCATGTACATGGCAGTAGCGCGAAACGAGAAAAAAAAAAAAAAAAAGTGAGATGGGAGCTAATAATAGCAACACTTATGTAGATTGATCTTGCCCACTGGTTCGAATGTGGTGGGCGGGATCTTCCCTCGAAAAGGTAGGGTCCGGATAGATCCTGACCACTGTTTCCCAAATCACGACCACTGAACCTCAAAGAGCAACAATACAGCACCCCCCAATGCAACCGCATAAACAAATGTTTGTACCTCTACTGTGTCGGGTATGCTCCATCTCAGGGCAAAAGTTACCGCCATCACCATAGGCACATTTTAGCCTGGGCTAGAGCAGGTCTTGTATTGAGCCTATGATAGAATTTTAGTTTAAGTATGATAGTTCAAGTAGCTGTTATAGCATGGAACAATTGAAAGAGGAATGTTTAGAGATAAATTCATTCTGACTGAAGTTGGGTACAAAAATAAATTTGGTAGAGTGGGATGTATTGGGGGTGTTCTACCGTTGCTCATGGTCATATGTGATTTGGGAAAAAGTGATCGGGATCTATTCGTATCTGGACCCAAATGGAACCGGACTCTGGTGATGATGTCCCGGTATCTTGCGTTGTCATCAGTCTTGACTCAATTCTTTGTGGGGAACGTTTAAAAATTTTATTGGACAAGGACCAGGACTCGAAGAGATCCGATCATTCGTCTCATTGAGTGCTGGAACGTTGCTTGTGCTCGGCTTCGTTCCCACTGGTTTCCCCGGCTGTGGAGTATCATCGGACCAGATCTTGATCTTGATCAAAACTGATTCGATTTCGTGCATCTATTACGTCTGAAGCTGCATCTTCAGACCTGCTCCAGCGACCATTTCCACCACGTGGGGGGTTTGAGACCCAGCAAGACTCCTCAGCTCGGCATCGATTGTCCGTTGCAAGCCGCGATGCTCATAGTGAAAACTCACAATGTCGCTCCTCGCTCCATCCCCGTCACCCTCGCCGTCACCGAGTCACCAGCTCAAGGCCGTAAACCGAAAACCCCGAACCGGTCGCCGCCCCAGCCTCCGCCCCACCACCCGGTGTTTCCCCGATTTGGCAGGTCAAAACTGGGTTAAAATCTCCGGCTTTTCAGTTCCGTCAGCCCCATCAATCCCATCAATGGACATTTTGCCCTGCAATTCATCCGGGATATGCATTTATTAGGGAGGGCGACGAGGGAGCCGCCAAATCCGATTTCACGAGTGAGTCGACGGAAGGCGTGATCACTGCGTGATTGGGATTCATATCGAGGATGAGGTGAATTGTCTTCTGGTATCTTTCTCGTAGCACATACCTGCAGAGCTGAAGGCTGCATAGAAGAGCATGGGATCGGATGGAACATTCAGGATGAACAGTGTTGCCATGAAAGAGAAGAGTAATCCACTAGCAGAACATTTTGATAGCTCCAAGGGTTTCCTTTTCTTCCTACGAAGCAGGCAACCCTTTCGAGGTCGCATGTTCCTGCCTCGTCCCAGAAAAAGGATGCATCTCGAATTAACCCCTGTTCCTGAATCCAACAGAACAGAAACAGGAACAGCCACACATTGCAACCTCACCGTCCAAGACAGCACATCACTACTTGTAAAATCGACGATTACTCAAAACCGTCTCTTCCATAGTCACGCCCATGTCGACATCGACGTTCAAGTCGCTTGATTCCGTCTGATCAAGCATGTTGATATCCATCTATAGCCGTCTACCTTACCCTGCCATGTACGCAGGCATCAATTCTATCAATGTACCTCTACTGGGCTTTCTCAGTAGGGATTGATCCCAATCAAGGATGGAGGGTTCACTCCATCTAAGCCATATAAACTTAAATATGTCAGATGCATCCGTTGATTCCCTTGATATACACCAGATGCCTGCTACCTTGCATTTAAACGAGAAAGCAAGCACAGGGCAACGGTAATAAGAAAAAGGCCAGAAAAAAGCAGGTCGATGCCAACCCTGGTATCTATGGATGATTCTTCTCCTCGATAGAATAACCTCTGATATATTGAACAAATGGCCCTGGATTTTTGATTGATTCGAAAGTGTTACTACTATTTTGGGCACCAAAACACTTCGTCTTCTTAACCAGCTTCTTGTCTAGGAAACTTTAGCTACAAGGCACGCAGGGAGGCGAAATCTCGATTCAAGCTCCTGCATCTCGTTTCTGTCTGGAACTTTGGCCGGACGGTACGATTTTTTTTTTTTTTTTTTTCATCCTCACCTCATCCCTTGCTTGAAGAGAAGGGGCGCCGTCTCCCTTTGGCCCTCGCTTGGTGTCGGCAAAACCACCTCATGATGAAAGCAAGCATTGGTGATCCACTGATCATTTTCGTCTCGGCAATATTGGCGTTGGAGGCAATGCCATCGCGGGCCGCAGGATCGATCATCTCGCGAGGCACACACTCACGCGCTCGACGGTAGCAAAGCTGCTATCAACTTAGTATGCAGCAATCTATGTTCATGTTTCTTTTCACACACACACAAAGATATATAAAGATGGCATCATCCATCCTATTCGAATCGTTTTTCTGTGCATCGTTCTCTCCTTCCAAGCAACAAGACACCTAGCTCCTTCCGAGTTCCCCTTACCTACAAGTCTATCACGATCAAGACATTTCGCGATTCGAAATACTCTGACTTCCCCCAACATTCCCCCGTCTTTTCTTGGCCTACGAGTAAAAAAACACATTCCCACCATGAAGCTTCTCTTGGCACTCTCCGTCCTCGCCGCCTCGGCTCTAGCCACCCCCGTCGAGCTTAACACCCGCCAACGCGGTGAATTTAGCCGCTACGAACTTCGGATCGCAAGGTAAGCGCAGCCCCCCAAATCCACGGCTCGCTTTCAGAAAAGGAAAAAAACAAAAGAAAAAAGCGATGTATGGCCTAGAAAAGCTAAACATGAGGCTAACTCCTTTCTACCAATTTACAGTGGGGCCGCCGATACTCCCTTCGCCGGGGGTGCTGTGAGCATCAAGGACGGCAAGCTCGGTTTCTTCGGCGACGACGGAGCAGGCGTCTTCGTCGACGTCGATGAGGGCTCCCAAGCTTCCAACAGCGTCCGCATTACCATCGACGGCGAGGAAGATTCGGAGTCCTACGTCAGTCTCGCCGGCGATGACAAAGACGGCCTCCGCGGCGTCGTGGTTTCCGACAGCCCGAGCGAAGGCGCTCTCTTCAGGTTCGGTGAGATAGATGATGCTGGATATGCCAAGATCACACGGGAGGGTGGCGGCAGGTGGGTTGTTGAGAGCGTTAGAGATGACGACTACGAGCTCTTGTGGTGGGATGGTAAGTGATTTTTGACCCTAGAAATCCTGTCTCGTTTCCTTGTTCATGAATCCGTCAAGGCTTTGAGATTCATGAATGGCAAGGAGTCCTGGGGCTAACAGGTTCGTTCCTTTCTAGGCGAGGGCTACACCTTGGCCATTACTTTCCCCGTAGAGTTGGTGGGCCGCCTCGCGGCTCAAAGCCGGAAGCCTAGGGACTAATTACCGCTAAACTTCTTGTTCTCATTGTCCATCATCCAATCCCTTTAGACTGGCTACTACGGAAGATGGACTCATGGCTATAACTGAGTCGAGGGCTGGATCAGGCACGAATCTGGGTCCCGCGGCGCCTCTTTCCAGGCCTTCTCTTTATCGTTTTTATAATTTTTTTTTTCTGGTTTTGGCTCGTATTTTTATAGGTAAAATTGCAGAGGGAAAAAATTGTCCTAGTTTTGAAAATGTTCTGAAGTTGCATCGTGAGCTGTTGCTTGTAAGTTGTTTGCCTCCTTCGCATGTACGTTGTACTTTAGGAGGAGCTCGAAACTCAACGCCCAGGACCTGAGGTGGAAGGAAGCAGGCGCAAGAAACATTGGACGATGTGCCCATGTCTTCAAATCTAGTGTACGAAGTACATAGCTACGACTCTCCTCTGGACGCAGTGTCGTCATCAGCCTACCTGGTCCTGGTCTGCCAAGCCTCCAGATCTCATGTACCCCTGGAGGAATTGTTCTAGATGACTTCGCTTGGGGTTACCCTTGTCCGAACGAAGAAGGCGAGGACGAAGTCGAGACGAAAACAAAGAAATCCTCGGGGTTCGCCTCGGAAGCGGCAACGGGAAAAAGATAAAGGAGGGCTCGGACAAGGAAGGAGAGAGCTCAAGGCGAAAGGGGGGAAATATGCGGAGAGGTGTGGGATGATAAGATGCTAATGAGTAGGAAATAAATGAATTGGCGCACATGATTCTGTTTATAGATCGAGGAAGCCCTGTCGAATGCAACTTTTCGTATTGGTGCAAAATGCTGGAGATAGCAATTGATCCGATGACTTTGAACCGTGGGTCCGTTGGAGGCGTCATCCGCATCCTCTTACGAAGTGTCATCAATATATATCATCAATATATTGAGGGTTGTTCTGTAGTAGATGGTCGCTTTATATCAAGTAGCAGGGGCGTTTTCCCATCCTACAGGCCTACCCAAGATTCCTTTCACTTCGGGGTTCTGACCTACCATTTACCTCTCTGGCTATTACTTGTATATTACAGAACAGCGCATCGATCGCTAATGCGTGGGAATAGGCACGCGAGATGAATGTGCGGGCGGCATGCGAACGCTCAAGATTGCAGGATTGCGCGAACTTGCGGCTTGACCGACAGGGAAGCGCTCTATGTACTCCCCTGAAGAGCGTCTGAGATGGAGGGAGGGTGTGCCAACGGACTGTCCTTACAACTCTTTCCCATTCCTTCCATGGAGATGCTGAAATGGAAGGAGGCGAACAGACTACTCGATGGTGCTAGACGTCATGTGGTAAATATATATAAACGCGTGAGCTGAGATGACTGAAATTGTTAGGTCTCCATGTTAATCTTCATCCTTGATGGCGGAGGGAAAGCCTTGTCAATTGTTCCATCTCAGCCTCCATTCGCCCCACCAAGGGCACTTTATCTGGAGTCGATGGCGTTCATGCTGATGAGGGCCCTGCCCGTGCTACTTGACGCGAGCGGACCAGTCATTCAAAGGACTGGGCCAGGACTTGGAGAGGAATAAGATCATTCACTGGCCTTTCCTGAACAGGGATGCCGTAACCGAGGATAGGGCGTCTATCAGGTTCAATCTAAGTGTTGGCGCAAAGCCTCAGTAATTTCGGGAGACAGAGGCAGCAATATAAGTGTGCATCGAGGTTCACCTGGTTGATGGAATCTCGCGTAATATTGAACACGGGCGTGGAACGAAAAAATCCCGGGGATTGATTGCACTTGATGAAATGCGCATCTCGTGTTGGAGATGAGAGGCTGATGAACGATTTACATACCTCAACGACAATATTAATTGACCGTCGTACTGGCCGTCGTACTGACCGGGCAGGGCATGGCCAGCTGACCAGCGAGAGAGATCAATCAAAGTTCATTTTGTTCAAATATTGATCCAGGTACTCTCGTCAATGACATAATCTCTTGATGCGTGTACGAGTGATTGCAGTAAATGAGTATTAAATGCAGTCAAGGTGGTCTGGCGTTTCCAGGAGGATCAATTCCTTTACCAGAGCTCAGAAAGGCTGAGGCGGCAGTACAAAACTTTGGGGGTTTTGGAGAGAGGGGGGTTAAGTGGGTATTATTGGTGATATCGACGGAAAGAGCATTCCTCTTCAGTGACGGTTGTGAGTCTTGGCTGGTCAATCTCAACGTCGACATTGATAGGCGTGTGGGTATGGAATCAAACCCTCGGGCGGCCGCCATGCCAGAACAGCCAGTTCACCGTAACCAAAACCTAGAGGCTCAGCGACGAATTTTCATAGAATACGATGTATTCAATGCTCACCATCACCGCCAACGTCGTGTTTCCCAAAACACTTTTAAATATGAATGGAGTTACCTGCCTGAGCAGGGGGTTGCTTGCTTGGAGCCATCACACACTGCGCCATCTTAATCTCGACAAGTAACGGATAAATGCAAAGTAGCGTCATGAAGCCTGTTCCGGCCTGCCCCCAGAGGGTCATAAGAGCCCACGACCAGGGACTGACGTGCTCGAATCCAACCTCGCGGACCACAGAATTGCCCTCGTACGCATACGCATAATATCTTCCCAGTACCCTTGAGGAATCGGGAATTAATAACGAAACGATGGGCAAGGATGATTACCCCGTTAACCAGGATAAAAGACGATACTACTGAACACTGAACTACGGAGTAGACGATAGTAGCTAAGGGTGTGTTTAGAAAGTGGATTTCTACACGTATGTCCTCGTGCGAAGTACAGAGAGATCAATACATGGATCCGATCCGGCGATGAACGTGAATCCACAAACATAGACCCCATTTGAAAGTTTTCCAGGCAAAAATGGATGAGGATCTGACAAACTATGTTGCGCATCAGAAACTCTAAACTGCTCGGCGAGCTCATCAAGGGAAGAATCACCTCGAAGTGGTGAATCGCATCACCGCCAAACGGAAGATCATCGACGACAATCCCCCTCAAAACTCACCGCATGAACTCGGTTTTTTATTCTCTGTCCCACGTAACTGGTTCTACTGAACCCCTATTTCCTTTTTTCCCACTCTCTTTTGCCTTTTGATCCGGTCCAGCCTTCTTGATGCTCTGGCTCCCATTGGATTTGGAGCGTGTATGATCCTCCTACTCTCGATTCACCCGGATCGTCAGCCACGACCTTTTCTCCTCACCTCACGGCTACTTACCAGTCTTTCACAATTTCCGGATCCCGCAGCTTCTTCCTAAAATCCGGGCACGTAGCCATTTTCATCACCAGAAAATCCTCGCGAGTCCTTCGAAACCTTATTTCCCCGTTATCTGTTGAGCGGAAGCCAATCGGCCAGCTCCCACTATCCTCGGCCGCACACTACACACCCCTCCCACCTTCATCTTTTTGTCCAGCCGCCTTCCACAGCCGCCAACCTCACATCACACACATCGTTACAGTGCGTTGGAAAGCCAAAACAATATGAGAGCGATCGACCGTTTAAACCCGGAATGAGCACCCAAAGTGTAAAGGAAAATCGCCAATGCTCTATTGCTTTGTACATGTATTTGTAGTCGTACTTTGTGGAACATAATCCTGCACGGTATCGACAGTTCGATGGCCACGCTCTATAACTGGCAGAGCTCAAAGTACTGCTTGGTTGTAACACTCTCAGGACCCTACCGTAATTCAAGATTCTTGGTAAAATAAGCCATTGATGACATTGATGTATCTTTAACTGATTAACGAGTGTACTATACTCTTTTCTCTAGAAGGCTTTCTTGTACAACATGAATTGGGTATTCCGGGCCCGTCATGCACCCTCCACATGAAATGTCCGTATCCCCACGTTTGGACTCCAACCCCCGGAAACGCCAGTGCCATTTACTCTTTAAAAAGAATGAGCTGTTTAATAAATCATCGTAGCGAGAAAGCGCCGCCACCCAGGGCAGGCGCGGGGAAGTAGGAAAAAAAAAGACGAGGCTGTAAATGCGTAAAATGTCAGAAAACACTGATGGATGGACTGATCCCACCATTTACTTCGTATACCGCCACAGTAGCGAAGCTCCTTCCAACACAGGCAGGTTCGCCGGTTTTGTAACCCCAATCGCGCCCTTATCGGCCTGGTAAGTCGTGTACAGCGCCTTCATAAACCTCCTCTTGAACCGTCTCCAGTCATCGTTGGTCGGCCACGGATCGCACCACATGCCTTCCTCCTCGAAGTTCTCCTTTAGGCTATCGAGGTAGTCCTCACGGTCCTCGTCTATGGCGAGCGGATAGTATAGGAATTCGTTGTGATGCGGACGGCGCGGATAGTGGTAGTTGATGTTGCTCTCAATGTCGAATTTGAAGCGGTAAGCTTGGTGCACGAGCTGCGGTCTGTACTGCATCGCCTGGTTGAGCTGTGCATGTTGTTGTTGAGTTGATGGAGGAGGCGGAGTGGGGGAGAGCGACGGGAGAGGTTGAGGAGACACGGGCTCGCTTGGTGGCGGGGTCCAGGGTGATATTGAGTCGAACTTGTTACTGCTAGGAGGTATGTTGCTGTAGTTGTTGGGAGAATGAAGCATCACGTTGCTGGAGTTGTGAGAGTAAGAATACCGGAAATCAAACTCGAACTGGAACTGGAATTCCTGGTGAACGACGAATAGGAGCTTTTTTAACTTAGGAAGCTTGGCCAGTCTCGCTAGCAGCTTCGACATGTTGCTCTTGGACACTCTCCAGCTGAGTACGGGGTGACAGATTCCGGTGTGCATCCCGTACGAGGTTCCCAACGCAAGGTGCACCACGTTGTCTCTGACAAGCGGTATTTGGCTGAGGAAGTGAAGTGTCCGAAGGAGCCTCTTGACGAGGAGGTACGGTTCGAGAAGAAGGATGTCTCGCGAGAGATCCACGTATTTTGTCGTCGAGGATAGTGTTAATGGCTTATAATGCCTCAACACGAAGGCTCGGGACTCCTGGCAGACTGCTGCGAGGGCTGGAGGGGGCTCATGGTGGATGTTGGCGAACATGAGCCCTGTTTGAGGCGGCGTTTT